CTTTTAATTCTAAGACATGGCGCAGTGGAAAGAGCATCTGCATGAAAGTCGCGGAGTAAGGAGTTGATCCTTACGTCGTGGGTTTAAATCCCACTGTGGGAAGTGGAGACCGGTGTAGCATAATATTTTGATACCGCGATATATTGAACCCGGGTTCAAAATATGATGGCCTTAAAATATTGAGTCCCCCTGCCCTTTATATTTATGAGGGAGGGGGTTCAAAATATTATGGCCATAAAATATTGAATCCCCATGCCCTTTTAATTTATGGGGGAGGGGGATCAAAATATTATGGCCATAAAATATTGAGTCCCCCTGTCCTTATTTCAAAGGGAGGGGGGTTCAAAATATTATGGCCATGATATGTTGAATCCCCTATCCTTTTAATTTAAGAGGGAGGGGGGTTCAATATTATGGCCATAAAATATGGAGTCCCCCTGCCCTTTATATTTATGAGGGAGGGGGACTGTTATGGCCATAATATTTTGAACCCCCTCCCTGTAAAATTAAATGAGTAGGGGACTCGACATTTTATTGCCATAATATTTTGAACCTCCCTCCCTCTTAAATTAAAAGGATAGGGGGGTTCAATATTTTATGGCCATAATATTTTGAACACCCTCCCTGTAAAATAAGAAGGACAGGGGGACTCAATATTTTATGCCCATAATATTTTGAACCCCCCTCCCTCTAAAATTAAAAGGACAGGGGCACTCGATATTTTATGGCCATAATATTTTGAACCCCGGGTTCAATATTTTATAGGGGGGTTCAATATTTTGCAGTGATATTTTGAACATCGCGGGGTTCAATATATTATATGACACCGGTCCTCTGGATGATACCATATAAACTGAGGTCCCGTGTCGCAGGAGGTGCTGGCACAAAAAACATCACTCAATGCTCAATGGCCCTGAGTGCCGAGCATAGGCAGATTTCCAGCTCTCTACCGGCAAGTGGTGGCCGGCAAGTGGTGGCGTCTCCATATGAGTGAAAAATTCTCAAGGGGGATGTTAAACAACAAACAATTCTAAGATTTTATAATCTTATAACAATCAAACAAACCTTTGTTGATGAAGTCCAGTCCCTTTTCACATACTTGCTTTGGCAGTAGACTGTTGACAAATACTGGAATTATTGTCCCACAAGGTTGTCCTGATTCCAAACAAACACTGATGTTCAAATTCACCAAGTACTTCCCAGTCCCTCCAAAAAAGTCCAGATCAATTACCTTAAAACTGAAAGTTTCAAAATGAATGAGATAAAATTATATTATAATTTAGCCATCAAGTTTCCTTTTTTGTTCAGTATAATGCAGATAAAAATTTTCTTTTTATAAAATCTATACACTCTTTACTTAGCCTGAAATTAAAACTCCAACTTCTTATACTTACTCCACTACTACCAGTCCAAATAAATCAAACTTCTCATTTTGTCCAAACTTGTAACCAAACAGACTTTTGTTGAATTTCAGGTTTTCTATTCCCACCCTGAGTTGATGATCACATGGACTGATTTCTACAAATGTCTCCACAGAGAAGCCTGTGTGAGGTACGCTGACACAACACTGTACACCTGTACAGGATTTCTGTAGATGACAGGTGACAATACTGGAATCCAGGACAGGTTTACTGATGTCTCTGTCTGACACGCAGCCTAAATGAAGAAGACAAGTTTGGTTAAGAAAATTTTAGCTTAATTTTTTTGAAGGATTTTTAAACAGCTTGACTACATGTCCAAATTATCTAAAAAGTTATTGTTTTCAATTACCAAAAAAATGTGAAATTACAGAATTCCTTTTGTTACAATACCTGAAGTCCATCCTTGGTAGGGATTTTTATAGAGTTCCTTCTCATTATTACAGGTCTGGGTCTTTAAGAATTTTGTAAGGCCAAGCGTTTCTGTAAGTTTTAATGAATTGCTCTGGGAGAGAACATCTGAAGGACTCAGCTTATTCAACGATAACCAACTGGAGTATGAAAAGTCTGAAACAAGTTAAAATACTGCATGATTATATTTAAAAATTTTCTAGGAATACTGTAGATTCCTTTTTTAACACAAATACTTAATACAGTGAAATGGGCATTAGATGTCAAATTCCAAGAACAATAATTTGTGGTTGGACCGTTGATCTAGAGGGTTTACCTGAATTTAATACCTAAAAATATCGTGAAAGTAATTTTTATGTGAATTTTGCAAAAATTACTTCTTTGTGTATCATTAGGAATACATTATAATACTCTCATTCATTGCAACTTACTTGCAACTTTGAATCCATTAAACCAAGCACAGAATGGTTTAGACACGAGGTAGTTACTGACAATGGTGTTCTCCAGCTGACAAGGTGACCCATCACTGAAGCACACACTGAGCCTCATGTCTATAAGGTACTGGCCTTGACCAATCAAATCTGTAATCTTGTACCTATGGATGCAAATCATTTTCGGTAGAAAAACTTTGATTAGAGACTAAAACTAACGGTACCTCTATTCAAAGGTATTACAAACCACGTAAAGCGAAAATTCAACATTTTTGAATATACTTCTAATTTCACAAGATGAAACACACCCTTTAAGTCCGGCTTAATGGTGGCTTATAGGTCCTTAATGGTGGTTTAATGGTTGTCTTTAAGTCACCATTAAGCACCTTTAAGTAACATTTACACCACCATTAAGTTACCATAAAGCCAACTCAACGTCCTTAATGGGTGCTTAAATGTATCTTAATGGTAGCTTAATGGTGGCTTACAGGTCCTTAATGGTAACTTTTAGACCACCATTAAGTCACCATTAAGCTACCATTAAGCTAGACTTACAGGTGCTTAATGTCCAAACTCCATTAAGCTACCATTAAGCCACCATTAAGCCAAAGTTAAGTCACATTACGCAGTCGATAATATTGTTTATATGGGTGAAAAATTATTTTTATAGTGATTTGTTATCAATATTATAAATGTAGAGTTCGCTTATATCTTGATTTGGTAAAAATGAAAAAGAACGAAATTCAAAATCCAAAAATAAAAAAAAACGCCACAGTCGGGGCGCGATCCCATGACCTTAGGGTTGCAAGGCGAACGCCTTATCCATTAGGCTATCGCCGCTCTTGATAATGTGATGAAAATATTAAATATTTAACCTTTATTTTTTTCAAATTTGTTTGGACTTGTAAAGGTATTTACTAGTATTTTGTTGAACATTTCCAAAAGTCTTGAATTGATTTATTAATCAAAATATAAACAATTTTATTTGTGGATCTTAACACATTAATATAAATTTCTACACTGAGTTCGGCTTTTAGATTGATGTAATGTGATTGAGTTCTTCGCTCTGTTATTCGAAAATTTTCGAAATGTAAGCATTAAATCATGATTGAAAATAAATTTATTATAGATAAAACACAAAAGTCTATCATCGAAAAAGAGAGGAAAAACAGATTCTACTATTATTTTTAATATACTGCGGATTAACGGTTTCTGTGTTAACAATTTAGTGACAATCCTCGCGTAAGAGTTACCTGGTTAATTACCATGAATTACGTTTACAAAAACTTTTTTTAGAATATCATATTCAGTTTCAATTCTTTTTGTATCATAATGGGTATCAAAATAATTGACTTTTTACGATGAATCATAATTTTTAATTTGTTATATGCTTGCGTTAAATTTAAAATTTTTAAAAAAAATAATTGATCATTAAAATCTGTCAGTGTACGTTGTGTATGTATAGTTTCCTGTTAGTTAACCGGGGACGGGGGGACACCTAATTAAGGTCCATTGTCTGACCAGTCGGTTTACTGTACACTGATCATCTGTTAATCTTACCCCGTTTCTCAATGTGTATACATCTGGTCGGATGTCATGTTTAGTCTAATCGGCTGTTCCTCTGAAAATCGATTTTGAAATAACAATCATTGAAGACCGACTAGATTTTGACAGAATACTTACCACTGCATTATTAAAAAAAATAACGAATTAATTAGAATTATTCATGATGTAAAAGCCATTAAAAAGTTTTTCATGGTAAGTCAATCTTTGAAAACTAAACATTTGTATACCAGTAGCCCCCCCCCCAATAAAAAAGGACAGAGATTTTTTTTCATGAGATTATATAGTTATATTCCTGTGAATTCTGTAGCGGAATGTTTCTTTTAACACATGAAATAAAAATACCATTTTGTTTTTAAAAAGTAATATATATTTTGTGTTCATGAATATAGATAATTTTAAGAACAAATTGATTTTTGGTATTGTAAATTTAAGATATTTCACAAGGACTTGCTCACTGTGTGTAATAATTAATTATTTTTAAAAATCATATACACTAAAAATAAAAACAACGCATGTAATAATGATGTATTTAAAAAAATAATACTGTGAAATCACTAATTTTCAGGGGGGTTTAATTTTCGTTGTTTTCGTGGTATGAAGAGACCCACGAATTTATGCCCACCACGAAATGTAAATTTTTATATGCACAACCACCAAAACGTTCTTCATCCACGAAATCAAATCCCCACGAAGCAACATTTTTTCCCCAAACCACGAAAATTTGACCCCACGATGATTTTACAGTATACAGTTCTGATACAGGATGTCTTGTTTTATTATCACTGTAAATGATTTGAAGAAAAAATTAGACACCTCGAGCAAGCCCCTGTGGCCATTAGCTAACTTTGTTCCCAGTGATCAAGTTTATGCATGTTGACAAAAAACTCGTAGAAATTATGATCGAGACAGAGTTATGAGTTGGAATAGATTTTGCGTAAATGATATTAAAATAACTAAAAGTTAGTTCAAAGATTCTATATAAGATGCGTAAAAGTTTAATGAGGGTTGACCATTAAGTCACCATTAAGCTCAGCTTAATGGTGGCTTAATGGTAGCTTAATGAAGTTTGGACATTAAGCACCTGTAAGTTGCAGCTTAATGGTGGCTTAAAGGAATTAACTTCTTTAAGCCACCATTAAGTCACCATTAAGCTACCATTAAGCGATTGCTTAAAGGTGGTCTTTCGTCTTGTGTTTAAAAATATGCTCCAAAATGTGAGCTAGTGGTTCAAGATCATGCATACATGAGGCTTCAAGAGAGAGGGATCAGGGACCACATTGGTCTATAAGTACTTTATATTTTGATTACATGTTTATTTCAAAATGATTTAGATTGCAAGTTAGCATGAAAACAGAAACTGAGAATACAATTGCTGTAAGAACTATGGCCATTTCATTGTAATTATAGTGAAAAATGAAGGTGAATAGCTATATGAAATTACTAATTAAGATGAATTTCCCTGTTTACAGTGGCTAAACCATGTGGCATAATATGTTAAAAGACATTCAAACTGAAGATTAATGCCAAAACTGGAAGGGTTCACTTGGCAGCTCTGCAGTTGTGTAGCCAGTGTAGTAATAAACTATACAGGTGCTGCTACATATGCAATCAAAGATAATAATTTGAAGATTAACCCAATGTAAATGCCCAAAAAATATAACATACTTAATTGAAAAGACTTGGTCAATGCTGAATTTCTGTTCCTTTCCAAAGTGGAAGCTCACAAGAGAAAGTTCCCATCGGAAGGTCTCTATTTGTAACAGTAAGGAGTGAGCACAAGCATCAATACTGATGGTGTAGTTCAGAGTCCTTCTAATGAGAGAGATGTCTGTGCAGCATTGTATAGCAGTACATCTAGAGAAGATCCTACAGTTTGTATCAGCAGGCAGAGTTGGGAGGTAGGAAGAAACATTCTGCACACAGGATGGATCTAGTTTTGTGACAAAAATAATTTATTTATTGTTCATTAAACACAATTTTAAATCATACAATTATGTACAAAACATTTGAAGAATTAAGATAACAAAGTTTTAGCTATGCACTTTGTATTTACTTAAAAATCCAACCTTGATTTAATAAAATAACACTTCAAACATTGAATGTTATATCCTGGCTGCATTGTTATAAATCTCAACATTAAAAATATCATTTTGGAAGTACCTAAAGTGAAGCCTGATGCTGTCCTGGCAAAATTAGATTGGTTGCAAGGAATGTCATTGAAAAAACTGCCAACACCCAGATAATCCAACAACTGATCTGCTAATATGCTTGACAGGGAAGTAATAGAGGTTGGTATTCCTTTACTGATGAGGTAATCATTCAGACTAAAACCTAACAATGAAAGACAAGGATTCAAAGTAAAAGTTTATATCAGATTCTTAAATCTTATCATATGTAATGAAGGGTAAGTTTTAATCACTAAAAGACACTTACCTGAAATAGCAAAGGCTTGCATACTAAAATTACATGGTATGATTGATATTTTCACATCTTGCATGATAGGAATGCTCAGCATACAGTCCCCTTTACTTTCAAAACAAGCACTGAATTTGATGTTGAATACAAACGCAGATTCGACAGAGAGGTAATCAATTTTATATCTAAAAAAAAAACCAAAGTAAAATTTAAGGTAATTCCACCCTCCTATGATGTCATAGGTTTTTGCAAACTGTAATTAGTATAAATTCATACCTAATAGAACAATATCTCTTGGAAGAATGCTTTACAATAGGTGTAATGATAAATATTGTTAAGTTTAAGAATTTAAAAAATGCATATTTTCTATATTTAATCAATTATTCAATCTTTAAAAAATGTTGACAAGGGCAATAACTCCTTCTAAGGTATTTGCTTTATTGTAAAATAGTTTCCCTGATATTCACAAATCAAAAGTATCTTTTAAGTAGGAAGTATTTAAGAACACTCAGCATCAGAATTATGCATTTTAACCAGTTTTTACATATTTTTCATAATACTGTTTACAAAAAATGTGCGATTTTTTATGTTGACATACACTTCTGTTTATTTATGTTTCGCATCTTAAATAATATGGTGACCTGTACATTTTATGCAATAATTGGATAGTTTAAAGCATATTAAATGAAAATAAATGCAGTTTTTGTTCTTTGAACCTATAAAATTGTGAGGGTGGAAACACCTTAAGAAATTTATACTGTGTTGTGAGATGTGTATTGTTTCATTATGTATATAATTAGTAACATTAAGTTTCTTGAACATTCCAGAGTGGTCAACATGTTTGGTCATTTTATCTAGAACATTCTTAAATTTTGTGTATGTCCAGATTGTTCCAGTAATATCATGTTTTAACAATTTCTAGAATATTCTAGATTTATATTACTGTATAAATACCCTGTCAATTCGATGCATAATAATACTTTGTCGTATAAGCACTCATTGAGATATAAATGGGATATATTTTCACTGGGACATTGTGTGCAGCAACGGACACTCTGATGTATGTATTTTTAGATTCTTGCTAAGTTTGTACTTTATGTTTGATATATTTATTATATATTACTGTAAATAAATTATTGTTAAGTTTAAATTGTGTTATTGATCTTTGCTGGCATTTCGGGTAATTCTGACCCATAACAGAATTGGGGGCTCGTCTGGGATCAAGAATTTCTTGCACTTTTGCAGTTTATTGTCAGAATTTTTGTTAATTGAACCTTAAATTTAATTATAAGCCAGCAGAAATCAACATGGTGTTTTCGGTCACAGACTTTCTTAGTTCACCAAGTGTTCAGGTTTTTGATACGTTAAAAAAGGATGACTTGATCGCATTAGGTTTACATTTTGGGTTAGATGTTAAATCCTCTCAGAAAAAGCAAGACATTAGAATTAAGGTTGCAAACAAACTAGTAGAAGAAAACATCTTTGAAAAATACGATCTTCCAGAATACACAGTTAAATCAGAGTTAGGCTCTTATAAAATGGCTGAATATCAGTTTCAATTAGAGTTAGAGAAAATGCGATTTGAAAGAGAAAAATTAGAAAGAGAAAGAGAAGAACGAGAGAGTGAACGAAAATTTGAATTAGACAAATTAGAAAGACAAGAGCGAGAAAGAGAGCGTGAAATGAACTTTGAATTAGAGAAATTAAAATTACAGAACCAACCAGAACCGTCAGTTGTCAAAACTGAATTTGACGCAGCAAAAAATATCAGATTAGTTCCAAAATTTCAAGAAAAATCTGTAGACAAATATTTTCCACAATTCGAAAAGGTAGCAGAGAATCTTAAATGGCCACGAAATGTTTGGTCAACAATGTTACAAAGTGTACTGGTTGGAAAAGCGGCTGAGGTATACTCTGCACTAGGGGTAGTTGAGAGTTCAGACTATGAGAAGGTCAAAGCAGCAATATTAAAAGCATATGAATTAGTACCTGAAGCGTATAGACAAAAGTTCAGAAAGTATAGAAAGTTTGATAATCAAACATTTGTTGAATTTTCACGAGAGAAAGAAGATTTATTCGATCACTGGTTTAGATCTAAGAAACTTGATAAAATTTTTGCTAATTTGCGCCAAGTCATCCTGGTAGAAGAGTTTAAGGAATGTGTTCCTCAAGATTTGAAAACACATTTAGAAGATAAGAATGTGAAAACTCTTGAAGAGGCAGCAGTCATATATGATACTTATGCTCTGTCTCATAAAAAGGATTTTGTTTCAAGATCTCAGAATAGCAGTAATTCTACCAATTCAGACACATATAAAAAGAGTGGTTCAGGGTCTCAGTCTTTCACAAGTTCCCAGTCTCCATCCCAAGGTGGTTTTAAGTCCGGTTCAGGACGTGTTGAAGGATCGTCTGGAATAGGGTCACTTCCTACTTGTAGTTATTGTAAGAAAAAGGGTCATCTGATCAGTGAATGCTTTAAACTTAAGAGAAAAAATGATTTTGATAAAACTCAACCACATGCTTGTGCGGCAGTTAGAGGTGATAGAGAAGCCTTAGTTTCGATTTGTTCTGACACTCCTGATGTCCAGGGTTCACAGTCCAGTTCTATTGATTCTATGGAGGATTATAAGCCCTTTATGTCTCAGGGATTTGTTTCACTCGGTGACTCTAGCGAAATAAAACCTGTCCAGATTTTGAGAGATACTGGTGCTGCACAGACGTTATTGTTAGAGGGCGTGCTTCCTTTGTCTGAGCAGACTTCTACTGGTGGGTCAGTTTTATTACAGGGTGTGGAGCTAGGCGTCATTGATGTTCCCCTGCATAGAATTAGTTTGAAGTCAGATTTAGTTACTGGACCTGTTATCGTAGGTGTTCGACCTACTCTTCCCGTTCCAGGCATTTCTTTGTTGTTAGGCAATGATCTGGCTGGTGGAAAAGTTGTACCAGATCCTATAGTTTGTGAGAAGATCACTCCAGATGTCATGTATAATGATGAAGATGATGACATTTATCCAGCCTGTGCTGTTACTAGAGCGATGGCCAGAAGACGAGAAATGGAGGCAGACCATACTCAAGCCTTTGACGAGACGAATTCCTCTGTTGATATTGATTTGAATGACACTTTCTTATCTGACCTTAATGGCACTCAAACAAACATGGAACCACACAGTATCAAGAAGCAAGAGAAGAAAGAACTGTTACCAAAATTTGGTGGTGAGGATGATGAGTTGCATCCACTAGTTAGCAAAGGCAAGGACATCCTCAGCCGAGAACGTTTACTCTCTGAACAACATAAAGACCCAGATATCATTCAACTTAGTAAGAGGGCACTTCCACCAGAAGAGGCTACTAAAGTTGGAGAATGCTTCTATATGAAAGATGGCATCCTTATGCGAAAATGGCGACCACCTGATGCTTCTCCAGATGAAGTGTGGCGTGTTGTTCACCAGATAGTGGTCCCAGCTGCTTATCGTCGAGATGTCATGAGTTTAGCTCACGATACACCTATGGCTGGTCATTTAGGTATCAATAAGACTTCTAATAGGATTTTGAGTCATTTTTATTGGCCTAAGCTAAGAAAGGATGTTTCGAAGTTTTGCAAGTCATGCCACGTCTGTCAGATGGTAGGTAAACCAAATCAGAAGATACCATCTGCTCCTCTCCAACCCATTCCAGCTTTTGAAGAACCGTTTAGTCGAGTATTAGTGGATTGTGTAGGACCTTTGCCTAGGACCAGATCTGGAAACCAGTATTTACTTACCATTATGTGTACATCCACTCGATTTCCTGAAGCCATACCTCTACGGAATATAAAGGCAAAGAGCATAGTTAAGGCCCTAACCAAGTTTTTCAGTTTTGTAGGAGCACCCAAGGCAATTCAGCCGGATCAAGGCTCAAATTTTATGTCGGGGTTGTTCCAGCAAGTCATGCATGAGTTGGGTATAAGGCAATATAGATCAACTGCTTATCATCCTGAGTCCCAGGGAGCGCTAGAACGTTTTCATCAAACCCTAAAAACAATGCTGAAGACCTATTGTTACCAAATGATTTCAAAGAAAAACTTTACAATGCTTGTAAATTAGCACAAGAAAATTTGAAGAATTCTCAGATGAAAATGAAAATGTGGTATGACAAAGATGCCAGAAATAGGGTGTTTAAGCCAGGTGATAAGGTTCTTGTATTTTTACCTATTCCTGGTCATCCTTTACAGGCCAGATTTTATGGCCCTTACGAAATTGAAAGCAAGATCAGTGATGTAAACTATGTAGTTAAGACACCAGGTCGACGTAAAGAGAAACGGGTTTGTCACATTAACATGTTAAAAGAGTATTTTGAAAGGTGTGACCAAAATTCTGTAAAACCAGTTTCCACTTTAGCCAATGCTAAGACTGTTCAAAATTATATTGAAAGTGATACGAGTGTAGAAATGAATGAGAAAGATTGTAATCAGAGTGTTCGTTTGAAAAACTCAGAAATTTTGGCTGATTTTGATGCCAAACTTGGACATTTGAACATTCACCAAAAAGAACAAGTTAAAAACTTGATGAATGAGTATCATCAAATCTTCTCGGATGTTCCAAAGAAAACTAATGCAGCTTGTCATGATGTTATAGTTGGCGACGCTCTGCCTATCAAACAACATCCGTACCGTCTAAATCCAATAAAATTGCAGTACCTAAGAAGGGAAGTGCAGTACATGTTGGACAATGACATTGTTGAACCTAGTAAAAGTGATTGGAGCTCACCGTGTATTCTTGTACAAAAACAGGACGGTTCTTACCGATTATGTACAGACTTTAGGAAGGTGAATTCTGTCACCAAAACTGATTCATATCCAATACCTAGAATCGATGACTGTATTGACAACATTGGAAACGCGAAATTTGTCAGTAAATTTGACCTGTTGAAAGGCTACTGGCAAGTACCGTTAACAGAAAGAGCAAAAGAAATATCTGCTTTTGCTACACCAGATGGACTTTACCAGTATAAAGTAATGCCTTTTGGCATGAAAAACGCACCGGCTACATTCCAAAGGGTGATTCACTCCCTTCTTCAAGACCTTGAGGGATGCGAGGCCTACATTGATGATGTCGTCATATATAGCAACACATGGGACGAACATCTCCGAATCATGCGTGCTTTATTTGACATTTTAGCTAAAGCAAACTTAACTGTGAATCTTGAGAAGAGCGAATTTTGTCATGCTTATGTAGAGTATTTAGGTCATAAAGTAGGTCAAGGTTATGTTACACCCATAATGGCTAAAGTGGAAGCTATTGCAAAGTTCCCGATTCCTACAAACAAGAAAGAATTAATGAGGTTTTTGGGCATGGCTGGGTTTTACAGAAAATTTTGTCCAAATTTTTCCTCAGTAGTTAGTCCACTTACAAATCTTTTACAAAAGAGGGTTAACTTTGAATGGACAAAGGACTGTGAAAAATCCTTTCATAAAATCAAATCTATCCTGATGAGCAACCCAGTTCTGTCATCTCCAGATTTTTCTAAGCAATTTAAGTTAACTGTTGATGCTAGTGATGTTGGAATCGGGGCAGCTTTGTTTCAAGAACATAGTGATAATGTAGATAGAGTTGTTTCTTATTTTTCAAAGAAACTTACAAAATGTCAACGAAATTATTCTACTATTGAAAAAGAATGCCTTGCTTTGTTGTTAGCTTTACAGCATTTTGATGTTTATTTGAATGTTACTTTGCATCCAATTCTTGTGTATACTGATCACAACCCCCTGACATTTTTGCATAAATTGTCAAACAAGAATCAAAGACTGACTAGATGGAGTTTGTTGTTACAAGAATACAACATAACAATTAAGCATATCAAAGGCAAAGACAATGTTATTGCAGACGCCTTGTCAAGAGTATCCTAAACATACTAGATTTTGTATTAATGTACATGTTTTACAATTTAAGTTTTTCATTGACATTCAAACTTTTAAGGGGGGAGGTGTTGTGAGATGTGTATTGTTTCATTATGTATATAATTAGTAACATTAAGTTTCTTGAACATTCCAGAGTGGTCAACATGTTTGGTCATTTTATCTAGAACATTCTTAAATTTTGTGTATGTCCAGATTGGTCCAGTAATATCATGTTTTAACAATTTCTAGAATATTCTAGATTTATATTACTGTATAAATACCCTGTCAATTCGATGCATAATAATACTTTGTCGTATAAGCACTCATTGAGATATAAATGGGATATATTTTCACTGGGACATTGTGTGCAGCAACGGACACTCTGATGTATGTATTTTTAGATTCTTGCTAAGTTTGTACTTTATGTTTGATATATTTATTATATATTACTGTAAATAAATTATTGTTAAGTTTAAATTGTGTTATTGATCTTTGCTGGCATTTCGGGTAATTCTGACCCATAACAACTGTAAAATTTACTTATTCTTAGAATATAAACATGATAAATATGTTGAATAAATCTTGAACAGAAGAATCAACTTACACCAATCTGAATACATTCTGTATTGTATAAGTTTCCCAAGATGAAAATTTGAAATCCTTGAGCATGATCACAATTTCCAGTTTTTCTAACATAATGAAAACTTTTCCTTTGCATCTGTCCACGCTGACTTCAAACTGGACAGCTGTTTTTAGTAGAGCTATATCTGTGCAGCATTTGATACCCGAGCAGGCGGAAGAGAGAGCACATGATGTATGACTGGGTACAGGTTGAACAGACACTATTGTTGGACAGGCTGAAAGCATTTGTGAACACATATAAATGCCAAGATTAAAACAGAACAAAGAATTACTAAAAGCGCTAGAAGCTTAAAGGACCAGTAAGTGGTTCAATTGGCATCTTTTCTTAAAATCAGAAACATTATTCTAATGAAAGTTAAGTCTCTATGGATTCTTGTTTTACTTTTTTCAAAAATTCATAAACTGTGAATATTGATATTCAAGCATTGACTTTCATTATGAATTGTATGTCCACAAAAATAAATATCAATGAACCTTTGTTTTTTTTAGCAATTTATAAAAATTGACTCCACAAGAAAAAGCTCAAATACAAAAATTATTCCTACACAGTTATTATTTAATAGTTTCAAAGATAATCTCAAACAAATCATGGTGATTTTGGTATAATAAATTCCACAGCAGCATTAACTTTAAATTCATACCGCTTAGGTTCCAGTTGGCACTGCCTGCTAAATACTGTGACCTTTTACACATTGGATCCAGCATGTAGTTGGAAAGCTTCAATTTTGATTTCAGCAGATCAACAGCCCACTGTTCAAGTGTCATGTTATTTCCAAAATTTCCAATATCTTTCATCCATTTAATTAATGAAAAATCTAAAGATAGTATAAACCATTGACAGTACATATTCCTTTGTTAAAGAGTTAAGAAACTGTTTAAGCAATTCAAATACTACATGTCAAATTCATCACCTGGAATTGCAAATCCTCCTGCACTAAAATTACAAAGTGGTTTTGGCAGTCTGAAATCTTGCAAAATTGTCATTTCATTTTCACAGGCCTTGTTTTTAGAAAAGCAGAGTTTTGCTTTGAGATCAACCACAATTTCTCCAAGCAGATGTAAATCATTAATCATATACCTAAAAGTTAGAAAGAAATAATCACACAATGTTCTGAAAAAAATCAAATATAAGGAAATTTTTATCATAATGATTTTTACTCACTCCAGCTGCAAAATTCCAAATAGCTGTGCAGTTCTCTTGGTTCCCATGGGATAATCAAACAATGAAATGACAAACTTCATTTTCTCCAGTGTGATGACCAGGGTCTCTCCACAAGAGTCTACAGTGACTGAGATCTGGTAGGACGTCCCAGTGATCGAGTCATCAAAACAACAGCTGATACCAGTACAGGAGGTGTTGATGTAGCAGTTGATATTACTTGGCAAGGTAGGCGGATTCACTTTACATGCTGCATTAAATTTACACATTTAAAAAATAAGAAAATTCAGTAGATAACTTATTTGTTGCTCTAATTCCAAGGTTGGCAAGATTTGATTACATTTGATTGTAAAATAAATGCATTATTTCAACATAATTAGTTTTGGCATTTGCATAGTTTTAATATTAGACAAATATAATATCCACTTGAGTATGATACATCTGATATCAGGAGAAAGCTTATAATGCTCATTTCAGCCTGAGAATTTATATATTCAATAAATTGTGCCTCATTTTGCTCTATCAGTTTTTTTTTTGGTTATATTCAATATTGTTTGCTATCAGTTTTTTTAATCCTTCATTTGTTTTATACCTGTGGGTACATTCCACCCATTGTGTGTCTCTGGATCATAAGGTGCAGCATTCCTAGAACACCCAATCCCTACATATTCCTCAACACCCAACTCCCTCAATAACTTCTGGGCCTGTTCATGGGTCAAAACAGAGCCAAAACCATGCAAGGTTTTCCAAGATGAAAGGTCAAATCCTGAAGATATGCAAAGTGTTTTAAGATAACGGACTGTTTAAAAGTACATCCAGAACCAATTTCATACATATTCACTCAGAAGGTTATTTCAAATAAGTCGGTAAACTAGAAATATACAACTTAACTTTTTCCTTCAAGCTAAACTGTCTATTTATCCTTATTGGCTACATTATGAGAAAAAAACATGGACATGTAAACCTATTAAATTTTAACATTTTACAGATTTCACAAAATTCTAACCAGGATTCAGGTAGTCAAGTTCCATGCTGCAGAGTTGTTTAGGTAGTATAGTATTGTGGAATATAACCACAGAGTACACACAATCTGAGAGATCAGAGGTCTCCATACAAACACTCAGGTTCATGTTCAACAGGTACTTCTTCTCCATAACCATGTTCTGGATGTTGAAACTGTTCAAACAAATCATTCTCATCATTATATAACATTATTAAAAGGGAGTGCCCTAAATAGGACCACACATTTAAAGCTAATTGATATTTGCATCTATTCTAACAATACACATCTTAATACAAAAAATTACATGAGCAACAAGACATCTTTATTACTCACTCTATTCTGATGGCCCCTTGCAATGTGAAATGATCAGTTGTTCCAAAATCATAATCAAACAGAGTAATGTTGTACTGCATTTTCTCAATGTTTAGACTCATGATAGCTTCACATGGATCCATCAGGACTTGTACATTGATGGAGCGACCATTAAGGAAGGCTATCTCAGCACAGCAGTCTATACTGGTACAGGTGTTGGGGATGTGGCAGGACACTGAACTGGGTAATGCAGGCAGGAATGGAATGCTGGGACAGTCTTCAAAATATGTATACATGTGTCATGTTTTAGAAAATATTTACCATTGAAAAGTAGCATTACATGTACCACAACATCATCTAAAATTTTAGTTAGTGTCAAAAATAACATGCAGCAGTTTTCATATCAGATCAAATTTGGCTTTTAAAACATCCTGTTGAATGAATATGCAATTCACATAACACATAGTCATGTGTATTCACTTGACAGGTTAAGCACCTCCCATTCATCTCTCTCTCCCCATTACCATCATCATTGAAAAAAAAAAGTCTTTATTTATCCAGCATAGTCTGAATGTAATTTTTTTCAAGCATCAAATGAAAATATCACCAAACCATACCATTCTTCCATCCACTTCCACTAAGATGATAGTTTCCTGATGTTCTTTTACACTGTGGATCTTTTAAAAAATCTGACATCCCTAAGGATGAAAAAAGTGATCCAGCATTTAAAGATGAAAGAACAGCTTTAGTGTCTAATCCTCGGTCCTTCAACCATGACTGCAGAGAAAATTCTGAAAATAGGAAGGTTATTTTTTTTATTAGTAAAACATTAATTATTAAGTATTTTATGAATTATTTAACATTGTATATATACATGTTCTCAAAAGAAGCTTTTAACAACCTGACACAAATCCACTTCCCCATTCACACAAAGTTTTAGGAAGGATGAAATCCTGAATCAGGTGAACAGTGTCTAATGCACATGGTCCTACTCCATAGCAAATCTTCAAACTTGCTGAGATTTTGTAGCTTTTTTCCAATGGCTTGTCATCTATTTTGAATCTGAAAAAAAACTTCTACTGTGATTCTTAAGCTTGATACACTTTTTTAACTCATTCAAAGTCATACAAGATGATTTTAGTATGAGGATTATGTTTTCTATTTCATCTCTATCTTAAAAACTCTGCTTTGGGATTAAATTGCATAAGATTTAACATTTGAGAAAAACACACATGAAACAGATAATACATTTATACATACTCAAACTGAATGACGCTCATAAGAAATCTCTTTTCCACAACACCTGCAAATAACAATTATATTCTTTGTGCATTACTCAAACATTATTCTCACCTCAAAAGAAAAGAGAAAGTTGAGTTAACTATTTTAAGCACTAATAATATATAACATAAAACAAAATTACCAAAACTGTAGTCTTTCAGAGCAATTTCAATCTTTAGTTTCTCTATTTGGAAAGTCAGTATGTGGTTACAGTCATCAAGTTTGACTCCCACAGTAAAATGGTGCCTCAGTACAGAATCTTCTGCCAAGCAACAAGTCACTCCTGTACAGTAATCAGGTATGTTACATCTGACTGTGGATGGTAAGGCTGGCAAGTTAGATGTCACGCCTGACTTGCACTCTGGAACAAAAAATAATATTTATTTGAAATAATGCCGTATGTACATGTAAACCTTTGATGAAATGATCAGTTTGAAGGAAAAAAATGGTGGTGAAATTAACCATTCATTGTCTTTTAATTACAGTATTTTTAAATTAATAAACTCCATAAACTGGCCAGTGTCATTCTATATTACATTTATGTCAGAATACTTTAATTGCACACTGATCTAACACAATTCTCTCAATGGTTCATTGAAAAGATTTTACATAATATTTTTTATGTCAATTATGTGTTCTAGTTTGCAGATCCAGCATAATAAAGCAAGTGTGGAAGTGTTCCCTATATGCATCCTTCATGCAAGTTTGGTACAGGTAGGGCTTATAGTTACTTGGGAGTGGACTTGCTCCTAAAACTTTCACTAACATCAGGGGCATAGCATTATCTTATCTTGACCTCATTGGGGTGAGCTAAAACTAAGAGGCCCATGGGTTACATCACTGTCAATAATCAGCAGATTATTTTCCCTTTATATTCTAATGTAAATCTTTGATTGTCTATTTTGGCCATGTCTAACTCTGACAGTCATTTATGCTACATGTGTATGAGAAAATTAGCTGAAATTGTTTCAGCGTTCCCAAGAAGAAGCTAAAAATATTCAAAGGTTTATGCCTACAGATGAAAGACAATGACAAAAGAAAACAGGCAGCCATAGGTCACCTGAGATAATAAAGTGAATGTTGATCACAAATATCAGTTAGTAAAGAGATGAACAAACTTTGTTCAAAAATGCTCACCATTAGTTCAAAATATCTACAGGTCAATTGCTTGCTTTTAGTAGGTTTATATTTTAATTACTTACCATTTTTCCACCCTTTGCTGTTGGCAGGGCTGTATATTGTGGATGTAAATGAACAAGGGTCTTTGTTAAGGTATGACCTTATGCCAAGCATGTCCAAAAGTCTGTCTTTATTCACCTGTGACAGAATGGAACCCTCCGGTAAGGAAAGATCTCGGTACCACTCCGACAAACTGAAGTCTGAAATAGGAGAATAATTCATAAGTATTTTCAAGCACTAAAAATTATACTAAAACTCATCCTTATTATTCTAAAATTTTCCTCCTTATCATGTTTTTTCTTTACCCTAAAAAAAAAGTCTACTCTAAATCATATTATTAATGACTTCATACTAGCTGTGGCAAATCCTTCTGTCCAGTCACAGATTTTCTTAGGTAGAAGTGTGTTCTTGAAGATGTCAATGTTAATGATACATTGATTGTCATCTGAGGCCTCAAAACATGCCTTGATGCTCATTGACACTTTAAACTGTCTTTCAATGTGCATATCCTCTATCTTGTAGCTATGTGAGAAATTTTAAAAATCAATGATGAAGATATACATATTCTATTATCTTCTTAAATACAATCAAGGTACACATACTTTATTCTTTTCTTAATTTCAATCTTTTTTTTTAACAGCCAACTATTTGCATGTGTATCTACAAAAACTTACTCTATGCGAATCACACTGTTTAAGTAAAATTTGTTCTCAGTGCCTGAAAAGGAAATAATACAAAGCTAGCAAAATCTTATCATGTGATAACTAAATTGACAATAAATTAAAAAAAAAATATTTAAATATCAAAAAGCATACAAACCAAATGAAATATCATCCAAACTGAGGTTAAAAGACAATTTCTCAACTCCAACCAATATCCAGTGGTTACAAGCATCTAATGTGATATAGGTCTCAAAAGACCGCTGTAAAAAATCAATGTCCATACAACAACTGACAGCAGTGCAGGTGTCCTTAATCAGACAGGAAACAGGGTCTTTGATTGGACTGGTCAACACTTCCATCTGACAGTCTATAAAGCAATGCAAAATTAATAGTGTATGCACACAAAACTTATTGATGCAAATCTTTTTATCAATCAATTGGCAAGTAAAAGAAAGGAAAATCAAAATCTATATCCGGTTTACTGTAAACCAACTTTTGTTCACGTGCAAGAAATATCCAGGACTTTGGCGACCTACTTATACTGACAAATATTAATTGCAGCAAACCACTTAATTTGCTTTTTGTCTATAGAGATGTTCCCTCAGTCTCAAAAATTTATAGTCGCAGATTGATTTCAAACTGAAAAATTGTGAATAAAAGATGACGCAAATAATAGTTGTTTTACAGTACATGTACTTCATACAATGAATATCTTTCAAGTGTATGACAATATCATAGCTGTCAACATTACAAAATGAAGTCTCATAAGGAAAGAGTTCCTGGCTGCTGGAGATTTCTCCCCTATTTTGTTTACTTTTAAATTTTTGAGATCATAATAAGTTGGCATAGAAGTGGGTAATGATACAGACAAGAGCTGTAGAAACTTCAAAATTTTTATGTAATAGTAAAAGCTATTTCAAATTGATTTCAAATGTTTGCTTGAGTAAAACAAATTTTAAAAGCATATTTTAGACCCTCAAACCAAAAGATTAAAAGACAAATTACAAATATATAATTTATATACCTGATTTCCATCCATTAACATGTGGACTGTATGCTGGTCCTGCCCTCTGACAAGGTATTTCCTGGGTGTACTTGGCAATACCAAGCTCCTCCAACAACTTTGCAGCATTAAGGTTGGACAACTGAGAACCAATACTTGCCCCAATGTTGTTGTACCAATTTTTCAAAGAGAAGTCTTTGAAAAAAAAAAATTATTTAGTATTTTTTTTATAACATTAAATTTTACTAACATAAACTCACAGTCATAACCACACATAAAAACTTGCATAGCTTGCATTACAATGCAACTGTTTTGTAAAACACATTTTCATTGGCTAATGTATTGATGTCTGAGCATTAAGAAGAAGGAAAGCTTTTCATTGTGACATCTAAATAGATCGAGCCATGCAAAAACACAATGCTCCATGAATTATTTAATATAATGATACTCAACAATATATGATGTAAACATCAAACATAATGCACACTGCATTGCAAAGATTGCATCAGAATAGGGATAACTATCTTCTAATTTGGTATTTGCAACTGTTAATTTTGATTAAACAATTACATATATCCATTTTAATGGCTCTGCTTACACCTCATCAGGAATATAAATCTGTTTGCAACTGTAAAATGAGCATTAACAGTTGCAAATATCAAATTAGAAGATAGTTTTTTCCTAATATGAACCTGTTGCTTTTTTTCTGCTGGGGGGTGGGGGGGGGGGGGGGGGGGGGTCAACAGTTGTAGAATGTAAACTAGTTCACATTATTGAATGACTTGAAGTGGCAACAGTTAGTGGTTAATAAGATTGATATTTTCCTACATAATAGACTTTCCCACAGTAAAGCAAACCTGGAATGGTATAAGCAAAGTCCCAGCTACATCCTGGTTTAGGAATGACCACTTTGTCCAGTAATTTGAAATCATAGACACAAGTATTTTCTTCCAAACAGATCTTGACACTTAGGGATAATTGCAAATCTGTCTTCTTAACTTCATCAATTTGGTACCTTAAGACAATTATGCAGTAAATCATATATATATATTAAAAAAAGACTGTTGTCTGCAAATTGTATAAAATTTCGTGTAAAAAAAATTAGCACAAGAGTAAATTTGTTTGAAATGCGGTATAAAAACAATTCCTTACAGAATCTGTACGAAATTTGCAAGTTTGAAGTAATCTTGGCTGCCTAAAAGTGAAAAAGAGTAATATGTCAGTTTGCTCATATAAAGATTTCTTAAAAAGATTTCTGAATTTCAGACATTGTCAAGTACAGCTAGTAAAATAATAATAACAAGATTGCTTTTTTAAATTGTAAATAATTTTTACCTCAAACAATACATCAATTTTTTTTAATTATAAGTGTACAAATCTAACCATACCATAAGAGAAGGAGAAGAGTGTCCTCTCATATACATAGTTTTCTATTCCCGCTTTCAGTGTCTGCAGACAAAGGTCAAGGTCAAGGAAGAAGTGAATGGTTTGTTGTAGAGGATCCTGTAGATCTAGACAACATTCTATAGCTGTACACTGACTCTTTATGTGACAACTCAGGGGTAGTCCACTTGTAATCTCTGTTAAATTCCCTATTGCTAATGGACAGTCTGAAAAAAAAGTTCTGCATTACAGTAAATCTTTGAATGAAGGTTGGCATCAAGCTTCTGTTAAATACTTGACTATAGCTGTGCTAATACATGCTACATCAATATTTTGGATTGACTCCTCTAAAATACATATACATGTAATTTTGTTACATTGTTTTTAAAAACAAGTTAAAACTTTAATAAATAAACACCTATTTTCCATCCACCTTGGTCTGGAGACTCGGGTTTGTAAGCAGATGAAATTCTGTTACACTGTTTTGTTTTAGGCAACAAGAAGTTGGTTATTCCTAATGCTTCTTTCAAGATGGAAAGTTGGGTTGCTGACAATACAGACCCAATGGAGAGAGACATTTTCTTGTACCATTCACTTAAGGAAAACTCTGAAAAAAGATTTTGAATTCTTTTCAGTTAACTATCAGAAACTCTATATTCACATACCTATTGGTAATAATTATTGTCAAAATACATTTATAATGAAACCTTTGTCCTCTGGCATGCATTGAGAAATTTTTTGAAAGAGTAGACATTGTGTCAGAGAGTGCTGTGCAAAGAATATGGTAAAACTGAAATTGTTCAAATGTACAGTGAAACAACTTGAACTGATGTTCAATCTCTTTGACAGTTTTCATTTTAACTTATCTTAAAACTTGATGACTAATTAACCTACCAGAAGAGACTAATGACCAGTTACACTCAATTTTTGGAAGGTACATATCTTTTGCAATGTTCTGGGAAAATATACATGGCTTGTTTCTCTCCAAACAGACTTCAACTTTCATGTTCACCAAGTACTTGGTATATCCAACAAGGTCTTCAATACTGTATCTAAAATGACCACAAAAAAACATTCAAAATACAACATGATTACTTCAAATCCATTCAATATAAATGAATATAATTAGAAAAGCTGGATATTAAAGCATGTTTTTCAAGGAAGTAAATTTTCAGATTTTTTTTTTGATTTTCAGAATATAATTTTTTAAAATCAAATGGGTAAAATTCAAAGATCTTTCTTAATTTACATCAAAGATTTATAAAATGAGCACAAACATACTCTATCTTTATAATATTCTGCAGCCAAAACTTTCTCTTTGTTCCTGAAAAAAGATTCATCACAACTCAATATAAAGCAACAAAGAATTTGACAATTCTAATTTAGTAAATTAAACTTAATACACTTCATAAACTTCTAATATTTTCACAATAATTTGACACATCTGCAACCTAGCATGTTTTGAGATGTTAAAATACCTTTAAAATATAATAATAAGGAACAGACCCAATTCTTCATTTCATGAAAGGATACATGTCAAGCAAAGGGTCTCAATGCAGATATTTATCAGTCACAATCTTCGTAATAGTTCTTATGACAATATATTTTCTTGCCCTCAAAAAAAGGGGAACCAATGTACAAAATATGGAGTCAGTTCAGCACAATGTTCTAAAGATCTTTAGCAAACACCATCTTTCTTTGTCATTGATTAGTAGTTGACCCTTGTAGCAGTTTTCTTTCTTTCTTTTTTTTTTTTTTTTTGGGGGGGGGGGAGGGGGCATTGTACCAACTTTGGGTTTGTCAAGCAAAAGAGTTCTCAGGATACAGATAAAGTAGTTATGTATATATGTCAACTTTTATTATAATGACCTTTAATTTGACTTTGTGAGGATACAGAAAGGTATTATATACTCAAAACCAATGTGCCAAATTGATATCAGTTGAGTAATGGACTTTATGATTTGGGTAGAAAATGAATATCTTTATGTCCAGTATGACCTTGATCTTTGATCTTGTGACTACAAAATCAGTTGGGATCATTTACTTATTATAGGGCTCAATGTTCTAAGTGAAAAATGAAAATTGTACATTACCAAAAGTGTAGTTGTGGAGACTAAATTTTCTTCTATACTGCTCAATTCCGACAACCAAAGTTTTGTTACATGTGTCAAGATTGAGGTAAGTCTCAAAGTTTCTTCCTATTGGCTTTACTTGCACACAGCAGTGAATCTCTGTACATCTAGAGGAGATGGAACACAACACTGGTAGACCTGCCAGGCTTGGTTTCTTGTACAGTTGGGATTTTGGACACTCTGAAATTGAAATCAGAAATACACAATGCCTAAAGACAACAATGCTAGAAAGTTACTTGAGTCCCATTCTTCTTCTGAAGAATCTTAAAAGATTCTATTCCTTCTTCATTCTCATGCAAAATGTGAAAAATCCCATACTTAGAGCCAACTCTAGTCCAAAGGTGTCCCTAATTGTGGACCTACCTACCTAGGAACCATGAAATTGAAAAAAAAATGGATTTGCAAGACTTGCATATATAAATATATAGCATTGCTTTTTGTGATTTTTTAAAAAGACTTTTTCCCCAACATAAACTTTTATCCATCATACCCCTTTACCCTTATGATTTAAACAAAGCTGAATTTATGCAACTAAGGATGCTTAATCTTTAACACCCCCCCCCCCCCTTGTGACCCATCCCCTGGGGCCATGATTTGAACAAACTTGAATCTGCATTACCTGGGAATCTTTACATTGCCACAACTAATTTTTACATACTGTCAATCCATCTCTCCATACTGCTGAGCATATCATTTATACTACACTGGGGTCGTTTTAAGTATCCAGCAATCCCTAGATGTTCCATCAGCTGATCTGTCAGGGTGGGCAGTAGATTCTCTGTTGATAAACCAAGAGATGTCTTCCATTCCTCCAGTGAAAAGTCTGGTGAAAAAAAATTAATTCATCCATCTGAGAAACAGGATTTGTATCTAAAACCTGTTCATTTTTTTTTTTTTTTAAACTTGGATTGATTGCAATGCTAAAGGTGATGCCAATATTGGGGTTATAGTATGAGTAATCTCAACTTTGTCAAGTTGAGCTTAAAATGGGGCCAAGTTGATATGTGAAGAGTTAATATACTACTTATGTGATTATACAGATTTCAAGTGAACACAGAAATAAAATTCTAAAATGACATTTACATTTCAACCAAGTAGGGCAATGTCTCAGGCTTGAATTTTTTCAAAATGATCAAGAATCAAACCCTAGTGCCCAGTTCAAAACTTACCTAATTACATGCATGTTGTGTGATCCAACAGTGATACAGAATAGCACTGATCTTTGGCTTTGAATTGAGAGCCATCAAGGGAACAGAAGATTAGGCAAATTTACAATAAATTTCAGTATTTGACAACCAGCTTAATCTGCAGCTTGATCCCAAACCCAGGAACATGAATTTGATAATTTTGTAGGAATATGAATTTGATAATTTGTATAGGACTATAAAACATCATACAAACCTTGTATCAGTGCTGCTCCAGCAAAATCACAAACTTTCTTTGGCAGACGCTTCTCGTGGAAAATTACCTTATCCAGTAAACAAGCCGACTTTGAATCAAAGCAAACACTAAATCTGAGATTGATAAGATACTGGTTCTCAGCTGATAAATCCCATATCTGGAACCTGTCAAGATCAACATGGCTTACAGGTAATTTTGAGTATATTGTTTTAAATGTTTTTCAGAGTTTTTCAACCCTTACTGACACAGACTCATAATTTAATGAAATGTTTTCTTTCTGAAAAAACATTTAAGTTAATTTTGTGTCTCCTGCCTAAAGAAATTTTTTAAAAGCAAAGAAGACCTAAAAAACATTTTATTGTAAAAGCTCAAAGGCAATTCTCCAGCTGTGATCCCATGTTCTTGATAAACTGAAGCCTAAACGAAACCTCTCATTGATACAGTTAAAAAGATCCCCCCAATCTGTTTTATTTGTGTGTTTAAAACATGCAAAGCCATTAATGGTACAAAAAAACCCAAGATACTTACTTAATACGAACAACATTGACCAGTCTGACATCTTTTTCTATTCCAAAACTGTACTCCTGCATGTAGATCTGAAACTGGAATTTATCAATACCAAATCTGATGGTGAAGTTACATGGATCAATGTCAAGGTAGGCATGGAAGTTGTGGTGGATTGGCTCTGCTCTAATACAACAGTCAACTCCTGTACAGGACTCTGTGATCTGACAAACCATGTTGCTGGGGAGTGTTGGAAGGGAAGAAATGTCCCTTGAGCACACTACAAGACAGAAAATGTTGAATTCATTTATAATCATTTATTATAATGTGTTAAGAGAACATGTTTCAAATCAATTGGTTCAAAAATGTTAAAACCTTTTTTGATTCCATTGGTATTTGGTACATAGGCAGAGCCTACCAATGAACAAGGGGGATCATTCAAGAAGGTAGGAAGACCAAGTGCCTCTTTCAGTTTATCAAGAGCAAGACCTTTTATCTGGTCATATGCTGTGATGGCAGCATCATCCATAAACTGCTTCAGGGAAAAATCTGACAAAAGGAAACAAAATAATAAATATAAATCTATATTATTTCAAAATCTGGGGGGTAGTGCACAAATAGACTAAGCACTCTTCTTAAGTATATAGTTTTTAATATCTACTTGAATGCATGCAGTTAAAATTCAAATTTAAAATAATTCACGCTAGAGAGTCTTAATTATTAACACCAACCTTGGCTCAAGAATGATGTTCCCCAAAGACATGCCTGCTTTGACAATTTGAATTGATTTAGGATATTTGTGTTGATGAGACAATCACCTCTATCTTCAAAGCAGATTGCCAGATCTACTGTTACCACATAAACCCCTTCCCCTTCATGATCCCAAATGGTGTACCTTTTAAATAGATAAAACATTACTCTTATGCACTTCTCCACAGGTATCCTTTCCAAATACCAGACAAGTAGAAAATTGAGGACCTTAATGTTGATTTTAATTAAGATACATCTTTAACCCTAACAAACAAGGTTTTCCCTAAAAAAAGAGAACTTACCACATCCTGACAATTCCCATGATGACTACTTCCTTTCTTTTGCCTGCAAAAATTAATTAAAAGTTTTCTTAACACTCCAATATAAAAACTGTAAAAGCAGACAAAATTGTTGGGGATTTTATTTTGTTGTTAAAAATTATCATTGAAATTGAATCCCAAACAAAATTCTTATATGACTATATATAAAATAGGGTTACTTTCGAAACAACTATAAATGTTTCCAATATCTAAACGTTTGGGCTACACATTATTTCACAAACAGATAGAATGGAATACCAACATACATGTATATACTACATAAAAAAACTATATAAATTGTTTTTGTTGTTGTTGTTGTTTTTTTGTTTTCAAGTGAAGTGAGAAATACGAGGGTTGTCCGTAAAGTTCGTGGACAACATTGATAATTATTGACAAACATTGATAAAATGTATGAAACTATTATTTTCATTAAATTCATGTTTTATTTTATTAACATGCAAGTTTTCAACAAAATCTAAGCACAAATAGTTATATTTTTTTTCAGATTAAAAAAGACACACACTCATACCCGGAGCACTAAACTGAGATTTCATGACGTTACCTGACGTCAAAAGCATAATACGAGTACATGTAACTTTTCTCAATATAGTTACCTTTTCATTTAATACATTTCTTATGTCGCTTTAACCAGTCATAGATATGTGCTCAAAATGTTCAGGTTTCATACGTAAAATAATATTTAACAATGCCTGTCTCATATCCTGCAATCCTCTAACCTCTCTACGCGTAAAAACGATTTTATTAATGGAGATAAGGTAAAGTCACGTTACGAGGTTCATTTTCTACAGCACTGCAATCTCGGAATGATGGTTTTCCTTCACGGATGTCATCCTGTAAACTGTTCCTTCTGTCCGAAAATATTATATATCACTCAAATACTAATGTACGGCTCCTTTTACTAAGTTTTTCCCGGTTGTTTACAAAATGTATTGGTCTCTGTATGTATTTATCCGATGTCTACGCAGACTTTTATCACTGCTCACTGCTCCACCTATTCCGAAAACGTCCCTGTTTTGAACAATTCCGATCCATCCTAACATGTTCTAACTTTGATTGCTCAACCATTTTACAACTTTCAATGTTCAAATTTTGCAGGTTTGAAGTGATAACTTTTGTCAACTTTATAATGTAAAAGTCATCCAAATTTCTGCATTATTTTATAAAATTCAAATGAAATTTATAAAGTGATAAAAAAAAATTTAATTAAAATTTTGCGGTGCTCCGGGTCTCCATACTAAGTCTTATTATGAAGTCATAATTTTAATTAAACATTTGAAATTGAATCAGATTTTACATTTCTCAGTTCACATTTAGTAAAGGATTAAAAATATGCTAATAATAAATATCACTGACGCAAGTTTTATTCAATTCTGAGCTTGTCCACGAACTTTACGGACAACCCTTTCCATAATCAATATGGAAAAATAGAATTAAAATCATAAAATTTATACCATACTCAAATCCTTGGAGAGTAACAGTTTCTGTAAGCTTCTCTATACCAAAAGTCAGTTTCTGGTTACAGAAGTCAATATCCAATTCAATCTCAAAAGTTCTGCTAACTTTTCCAACCTCCAAACAGCACTTAATAGCTGTACATGTGTTTTTAATGTAGCAGGCAGTTGTTCCTCTTATTTTGGGCAAAGACATTTTAGCTGGACAGTCTACAAAATCATATTTATCAAGAACATTATATTCGTAATACAATCTGATTAAAAACTATAAAACAACTAGGTATCATTGAGATGGTGGCCATCTCAGAGGGCCCCGCTTTCAACAATAAACATGAAAATGTAAGGTAGTTTAAAGGGTTTATTTTGAAGAGGAACATTTGTGTAATACAGTAAAAGTCACTTAGTACGACTTCACAGATATTACAAATTTACAGATATATATCGAAGTTATCTTGTATCCACAATTATATAAATTTAATGGAATTAAAGGGAAAAAATTATGCACCAAACAAAGATTTTAAACAGAGAGGTTAATTCTGACCATGACCTAGAAACTTTGACCAAGGTCACTGCACATCCATTGACCAGTGGAACTTTGTGAGTGAAGTATGAGCCAGATTGGGCCAAGGAGAGAGAAGATATGCTCCGGATAAGGATTTTTCATAAAATTCTGTTATGACCTTGACCTTTGACCTAGAAACATGGTTCAAGGTCACTGCACACTGGTTACCCAAAGGCACTGTGTGGGGGAAATATGTGCCAGATTGGGCCAAGGAGAGCTCCAGACAAGAGATCTCGGACAGAGGGACAGACTGATCCCTATAGGGCGCACGCCAAGCGGGGCCCTAATTATAATTTTTTTGATACACCCTGTTTGCATGTGCACAAATTATATTCAAAATAAACACAGGTGATTAATTGATTGAATCAGACCCGGGCCTCCCCATCACGAAGCAAGATCACAGAGAAAGTAATGCACAAAAATACTTAGCTCAAATATTTGAGCCAACAGAAGAAAAATGTAAAAATATACTAGTACTAGATATGTCTCATTTTTGTATAAGGAGTATACTTTTTTGACTTATACAACTGCCATATTTTTGTGAAAAATGATTTAAATGGTTTAAGACTCAGAAACATGTTGTGTAATGAAAAACAACTTTTGACAAACTTTTGCAAATTAAACTGTCGAAATGTCAAAGCAATAAAGCAAGATCTGAAATTCAGAATTGCTGCTTATTTGTGATATTGATAAAGGAAATCAGGTTACACTTTACCTAAATATGCAAGACTGCTGGAAAGTTCAAATTTTAAGCCAGTATTCATTTCTATGAATTATAATAATTATGACAATTAAACTGTACAAAATTTTGCACCTGAGGACCAGCCGCTGTTGTCCAGTTTGTTGACACTGTAAGGTGCTTCTGTCCTTTCACATGCTGGATTCTTCAGGAAGGAATCAATCCCCAGCTTCTTAAACAAAGCAGCAGCCAGAGCTGTGGACAAACTGCCATCAAATGACAGACCTTGGTCATCCATCCATTTCACAAGAGAAAAATCTATGGGGAAAAACATTCATTTATTCTTTTTTTATGAAATAATTAAGATGGCAAGACAAAAATATCAAAATTTGTGTCCCACTTACTTACAGATGTAGATAAAAAAAATCTCACCTTTGACATTGAAATCCATTGTGAGGTCACAATTGAGAATTGGAATAAGGACTTCTTTTAATATAGGAATATCCAAATCACAGACATCAGGTTCTAAACACACAGAAACTCCCATGTCTAGAACATATTTCTTAGATACTTCCAGCTGAGTGGCTTTAAATCTGAAAAAAGAAATTGTTCTTCATGTATGACTTAAATCTTTATTCTTTTCATTATGACAAAAAGAAAAAAAAAAAAAAAAATCATTTGATGAAAAAGATACTTAAAAAAAGACAAAGCTAAACACACTTACTTGATGAAGACAACATTTCCAATATCCATGGAGACTTCCCTACCTAAATTGTACAAGAATTGAGTAAATATAATTATTAAACAAGCATATACACTTTTCATGAGGTCAATCCATAGAAATATTGAATTCAGAGAGAAGCTTATCAACTGAACACAAACTCTTAGCCATTCATGCTATCAAAAGTGGATTTTTTCCTAACAGAATCTGACTGCACTCAATTGCTTTGGCTCATTCAATCAGTACTTCAGTTAAACTGCTTAAGCAACCAAACCTACACATGTAGTTCAGCCCTGATTCTTTTGTGAAACTAAATGCCAAAAAAAATCAAACTGAAAAAATATCCATGTAAGAGATGAAGAACATGAAAAATAATTTATTCACTGTTATAGACATGTCATAACAATATACTTAGCAAGGAAATACCTGTACACCGGCCATTACACCTGACCCTTTTTTGACTCATCTACAACTGACTTTAAAATAAAAGTACTTGAATCACTTATACTTAATTTCATTTATGAATAATATTACAAAAAAACATTACCCCAGAAACTATTGAAATCCAGCAGTCCATAACTGAAAGTTTTCTTTTCGATTCCTCCAGAGATGACATAATTACACCTATCAAAGTGTAGGAAGAAGTGAAGTTTGAGGTTCAGCAGACTGAAGTCCACACAGCAGTCTATCCTTGTACAGTTAGAGGAAAGGCTGCATCTCACTTTGTCTGAGGTAATCTGGGGTAAAACCACCCAGTCCAATGGACACTCTGTAATGAGCAGACATAGACTTGAATTTGCTGTTTAAAACCGATGTTCTCTGCAACTTTTGCAGCCAGTTGACAAGTGATCAACTCGATTATTAACTTACCATTTTTCCAGCCTTGGACACTAGGTGAATACACATCTCCAGATGAATCACATGGTGTGTCTAACAAGTACTGGTCAATACCGAGTTGCTGGACCAGAAGAGCCTTTGCATTATCTCTTAGATTTTCCTGTGTTATGTTCATCTCATGAAGCCAATTTGTAAATGAAAAATCTGTTCACAAAATGAACAATAAATTTTTATATCATTTTTTTTGATTGCTTAGAAAAAAGCAGAAATTCCTCTGCATACATGAAGGATATGGAGATAACGAACAGTATTCAATCTCAAAGTCCATAAAACAATATAAAATAGGAGCAGAGCAAACACGGACCCCCAAAACATTAGAGGTATGATCAGGTGCCATGGAGGAGTGAGCATCCCCTGCTGACCGGTCATACATGTATCAAGTATAGTTTTTTCCCATGATATAGAGTAAAAATTTTCATTTTCAGTAATCAATTATTTATGCCTCTTCCCTGTTTCTTCTTTGTTACTTCATGTACATACATACATTGAAATTCATTATTGTGCTAATTTATGGAAGAGATTGTGCTTCATTTTGCTTCATAGGCACATATCTATACTTTCTTTTTTTACATACTCTTGCTTTCTCCAGTGATTATGGCTCTGATTGTTGGTAACCTGGTATTCCTTAAAATTGGGATGTCAGTTGAACACTTTCCTCCATTCAGACACACAGAGGCATGAACATTGAAAACATATACATTCTCATTTGTTATTGGCTTCACACTTAACCTAAATAAAGAATTTAACATTCAAACTAGTTTTTAAAATATGAAAGTACATGTTTATATTACAATACTTATTCAACTTCTGCTAACTCACCTGAATTTTGATTTATTTTTTTACATACTTAAACTTAGAGCCGTTACGTAGGATAAAAGGTAATACCATGGATATTTATTTCATTCATAACTAATACAATTACTTGTAGACACATTAATTCATTGTAAAATATTTCAAGTTAAGTATCTGAACTCTTTACCTCCCCCTTAATAGAAACATCAATTTACCTTAGTTTGATAAGACCTTCAGCCACACTGTAAGATTTAACCTCTCCCCATACATAGTCATTAAGTTTGATGGTCTCTTTAATGTTTTCCATTCCTATTCGGAGCTCTAGTTTGTCCAGGTCCAGAAAAGCAAACACATGTAACCCAAGGCCAAGGACAGGAATGTCAGCACAGCACTCTATCCCTGTACAGTAGTCAGGTATATAGCAGGACATTGGGTCAGGGATCTTGGATGGAAGGTAAACAATGGTCTTTGGACATTCTGTTAAAAAATAAATCCATGTATATATATTTATCCTTTTCAAAAATCTGTAATGTTTTGTTAAGTTATTACCCAGATATATTTCAAAGTGATTTATTTTCTGTTCTAAGACTGCATACTTATTGATCATAATCTATTTATATTAAACTCTTCTGATTATTTTTTTCAAAAATGCATTAAAATAAATCTTTTGCATACAAATTTTATAGATTTTACAGAAAGAAAGCATGACACTTAAACTTTGGTTTACATACTATTGTGTATCCCTTGTATAGAGGGTATGTATGGCATCCTTGTTCTGTCACATTTGGGTCTTTGGAAGAAGTCGGTCAGATTAAGCTGGTCCAGCAGTAACATCACAGCGCCCTCTGCCAGCTGTTCATCCAGATCCAGTGACTTCTCCCTCATCCAATCAGTCAATGAGAAATCTTTAAAAGAAGTACAAAATCAAATTTTTTCCAAAAGTACTAGAAACCTGGAAATGGACCTGATTTGTTCATAAAATATAATATTTTCATCAGATCATTGGTGTAAATTGCTGCATATTCTAATAGGCATCATCATTTGATGTCTGAACCAGTCAAATATTTTTGATATTTTCACAGGATCTGTTCTAACATGTAAATATGAACCTGTTAATCTATGAAATACATATTAAATGCAGATTCTAAAGAAGTACTCAGTCCCGTAATATGAACCTTGGGACCTATTTCCAACCAACACAAGTTTGATCAATGAAGGAAGAATGTTTAGTTAAAGACTACCTTCATCAGTCCATGCAAAGCATACTCACTGCTAAAGTTAATCAAATGCCTCTGATCACAGAGTGGAATTTCCTGATTTTTCAATAGATGAATCCCATCATTTGTTGGAATACATGTAGTTTTCACATCAAAGTCAAAACAAATGAGTATTCTTAAATCCACTATAAAGCCTTTGTTTCCTGGAATTTGATCTAACCTATACCTGTATAATTATATATATATAAAAAAAAAAAGCATCATTATCTGAATAATAGACGAAATTAATAAATAAGCTTCCAAGAATAAAAAAAATTACTTTTCAATTTTGTATCAAGATCGTTTCATCTCAAAACACTTTCTTTCTAGTTTAATTAAAGTTGAACTTTGTTATATCTAGATTGAGCTTCAATATCTTGAATAACATGAATATGTTGAAGTGATCTGAGTCTGTTTTTGAATCCCACTGAGTTAATATTAATTGACTTACAACTTTTCTAAACAATTTTTTCCATATACTTCTCATTAAACAACACACAGTTCTAATATCAAACTATGATGTATATGTTTATCAAGAGATGAAAATTAGGAGGCAGGCTAATTCTTAAAATATTCAAAATAATGTTTGGCATATTAGGGATCAAAATCCAGAAGTTCAACTTTATCAAAACTTATTTATGGCATCATGTCTGAGTGACTTACAAGCTGAGACACAGATGAAACCTTCTGGTAATCTATGACTTTTCTGGTAAGACTTGAACTTTAAATTATACTGACAGAAAGGATTTGGATAGACTAACAGACAGGTAGTAAGGGTTATGCCTATACAATAAGGTATATCTCAAACTTAAGTTTTAATATACTATCTTACATAATTTCAACTGGAGGTGGATTTCCAGAGCCAAGTGTCAAAGTGTGCTGCTTTCCTGGAAGAAAACATGTTATCAATGACACATAAAACTTATCATTCATTATAAAAAAAAATGCAATTGAAATATCTTGCTGATTAAAAGTTAAAGCAGTATGTTATACTACACCTACCAGGGCTCTCACACCACTTTTTGGGACTGGGGCTGGGGCCATTCAAATTGGGAAAATTATCGTTATTTTGGAAAAAGTTGGATAACAAAAATTCATTTTAAAAAATCCTAAAATTTCGCTTTTCTAGCAATTTGTCATCAATTTAACTCTGGTTTCGAATAAACAGTTAAACAGAACAAACATTATGTATATATTATGTATTGGGTATGTTTCTAGCAGCTTACTAATGTTTAAATGAAATTTCTCTTTTTGAAACCAAAATGATGTTTTTTGTCGAAACTACATGACAAGATACTCTGCACTCATAGTTAGTACACATTTTTGTAAAAACAATAGCCCAAACCAGTTTACAAATGCAATTGGCGCAAACTAATAAATAGTGGTACAGTTTCACTTTCATTTGCAAGTGTGTTTTGTTTGTTGTTGTTTCTTTTTTTGCAATTAAGTTTCATGGACTTTTATTTTTTAATTAACATTTTGCTATGGAAATTGGGAAATTTACACCTTTCTTTTGGGAAAAAAGGTACCTTTTTTGCATTGGGAATGGGGCCGAATATCGGCCCCAGATTTAGAGAATCAAGAGCCCTGCCTACCATACTCATATTCCAACAAATGTGTTTTAAGAAGAGTTTTCCTTCCAAAAGCAACGTCTAAGGAGAAATCACATGGGTCTAACTTGAACCAGAAGGGGATGTTCTTAGTTATTTTGGTATCTCCCAGGGGTATGTTGAAAGTCAGCTGAAGACAACAGTCAATTCCCCAACAATTAGGAGGCTGTTCACATGTTACCATCTTCTTCAGCTCTTCTGGTAAATTCTTTCGCACATCAAACTCAGTTGGACAGCCTACAATCATGCAAGAGTTACCTGTTTTACATTGAACACTGTTTAATAGGGTCTGTTAAAATTTAAAGAGATATATATTAAATAAGAACTAAATACCATCTGCAAATAAAATATAAATAACATCACTTAAAGCAGTGATAAAAAATGGGAACTTCATAGTGATTGATGTGCCTATTTCAGAGAACAGTAGTTCTTCCAGCAAAATGGAATGTAATATTATGTCTGAATTTAACATCTCGTATAGATAAAATCTCTTTGACAAAACCATAAACCAAGCAAAATCTCAATCTCAACTGGATCATGTTCATGATACACTTACCTGCCATAAGCATCTTAAGTTTATAGTTATAAACACTATGTTTTTCTGTATATTTTACTTTTTATAGTTTTAAAAAGAAAATGCATGCATGGGCATACTTGGCATGCAATTTGCAGGAATTATGTGTACGAATCATTTATGGTTTTAAATGTCCACAATTTTGCTTGACAAAACCCTTCACTTTACTTTACAAATTATCTCTGTTGCTCAGAATTATTTTCCAAACTTTGATGACTGAATATTTCTGAAATTATATGATTGGGCATTGTGTACCACACAGATATATATAATACTATATCATTCATCATACAATTATTTTAAGTTTTCATCACTTACTTTCAGGTGATGGTGGAATGCCTGGGCATGGTCCTGATGTTATTACATCCTGCAAAATTAAAAATTGATTTATTCATAATACATTTAGCTGTCTATATCTATGAAACAAGTTAAAGAAGTCCATAATTATGCATCATATATTTCTGATGAAATTCCATGCCCCATATGTAATTATGCTTACATTCAGATCAAACTTTCTTAGGACAAGCTCAAAAGCTTCCTCTGTCATTTTTCCTCCAATTTTTTCAAGCAGTCCAGCAAATGATCCATTTCCTAATAATAAGATAATATTAAATAAACCTTCCATAAGTTTCTTATTATTGATTCAAGAATGAACCAGAAGTCTCTGTCGAGACTGTAGCTCTACTGGTTTGTACTTATAACAAAGGATGAGAAAAGAAGCCATTGTCATCAGACCAAAACTGTAGAAGGAGTAGTGTTTAAAAGGAATTTCACAGACATTTCTATTTTTAGTAACAATGGCAACACCGTTCATCGAAATCAAAAACCGATGCACTATTTTATGTATCTTAGTGTAGTCTACTTGTTTGCCAAGTAATATTGAAACAGACCGAAATTGTAGAATGAGTAGCGTTTTAAAGGAATTTCAGAGAAAATTCTATTTTTAGTAACCATGGCTACACCGTTCATCGAAATCAAAAACCGATGCACTATTTTATGTATCTTAGTAAAGTCAACTTGTGTGCCAAGTAATATTAAAATAAGACCAAAACTGTAGAAAGAGTACTGTTTTATAAGAATTTTACACAAAATTCTATTTTTAGTAACCATGGCAACACCATTCATTGAAATCAAAAACCGAAGCATTATTTTATGTACCTTAGTGTAATCTACTTGTGTGCTAAGTAATATTGAAATCAGACCAAAACTGTAGAAGGAGTAGCGTTTAAAAGGAATTTCACAGAAAATTCTATTTTTAGTAACCATGGCAACACCCTTCATTGAAATCAAAAATCGATGCTATTTTATGTATCTTAGTGTAATCTATTTGTGTGCCAAGTTATATTGAAATCAGATCAAAACTGTAGGAGGAGTAGCGTTTTAAAGGAATTTCAGAGAAAATTCTATTTTTAGTAACACCGTTCATCGAAATCAAAAAACCGATGCACTATTTTATGTATCTTAGTGTAGTCTACTTGTGTGCCAAGTAATATTGAAATCAGATCAAAACTGTAGGAGGAGTAGCATTTTAAAGGAATTTCACAGAAAATTCTATTTTTAGTAACCATGGCAACACCGTTCATCCAAATCAAAAACCGATGCACTATTTTATGTATCTTAGTGTAGTCTACTTGTGTGCTGAGTAATATTGAAATCAGATCAAAACTGTAGGAGGAGTAGCGTTTTGAAAAATTGTTTATAGACAGACGGACAGACAGACAGACGGACGACGGACACCTTACTATCGCATAAGCTCTTCTGGTCTCTGACCAGTAGAGCTAAAAATGCACTCTAATGCTGTGAAATTTAAAAAATAAAACCTCTCCTGCTACTGAAATCAAATCCATCTCCAACTACAAACATTACATACATGTACCTTCTATCCAATTAAAATATTAGTGTGGGTGTTTTCAAAATGCATATAAATTCATTTTTTTCTTTATTTATATGAATGTTAAATTCTGAAAGTTAAATGGAACACATTTCAAATACTACCTGGAAAAACAAAGTCTCTGCACACAGGAATAGGAATCCTCAAATCTGTGAACAGATATTTGTCTAAAATGCAATCCGCTGGTGAAGACAAACAAATCATAAGTCCAAACTTCAAAATGAACACTCCTTCATCAACATTTCTTCCAATGCTGTACCTAAAATAATAAGACAATTTTTGATACAACTGATCTTTTATCTGTCCTGATATTAAGTTATACAAGCAACCAAAATATCTTTTCCTTAATCATACTCACATGATTTTCACATTTGAGCTTATTTCTGCCATTTCATTTGATCCTATAAAAAATATTAAAAAAAAAAAATTAAAAATTAAAAACATGATAATGTAACATGCCCTTATGCTGAAATAAATATGTACAAAATTGTGCAAATTGAAAACAAAAAGAAACACAATAAATTATATTATTCAATATTTCTTTCATCTTTTTCTTTCAGCTTTGGGAGATAAAAAATGCATTTCTTTTGTAGTAATGGTTACAAGTTCATTGCTCAGTTTGTAGCTGCAGTACATTCTTACCCCAATTGTAATTCAATAGAACTTTTGTCCACAAGTATTTTTCAAATCCAATTTGCACAACAAAACTGCATGGATCCAATTCTATGAATGCGGACAAAGTTCTACTGAAGGAATAGCCCAACAGTTTAACATTAATGTCAACCCACACATCAATCCTCAAGCAGTCTTTTTGAATTTTATAATACAGAAAATCTGAGAGGCTCTGTGGTACCTCTTTCAAGGTAATACTGGTACATGCTGGAATTCAAAGGTTATAAAAATATTAAATGTGATAAACAAAATTTCAAATTAAAAAAAAAAGCAACTTACAATTATTGGCACACTAGTAATTATATGTGAAACCTAGCTAGAAGTAAAACACATTTTCCGATATATGGTACATTGAAAATGTTAAATGAAAGTAAGCTTTATTCATACTCAAGTCATCCTTTGTGAGGCGTTCATTCTGCTCTGATCTTGAACCTCTTGTAGACAAGCTTCTCTGTACTAGCTCTGCTGTAATCTGTCCCAAAGTCATTTTATCAGGCTTGGGCAATGGAACATCTTCATTAAGTTTTTCCTGAAGATTGTAACAGTAGATCATGAAAATCACAAGCTTGACAAATAAAGAAATATGTTTATCACTGAATGTGAATGACTATTACACAAATTCACAATTACATTAAAGCAGAGACGATGCATAAAATGGAGTTGCAACACTGCCATCAGCAGATTTACTGAGTTAAAGACAATAATTCTAAGGCATCCCTGCATTTTTCTTAAATGGGTTTTGTTTTTTGTTTTCATTTGATGTTCTAAAGATACACAATTGTATGTACAGTTATGTGACTAAAATTGGTGTAAAAAAGCATTTTTCACAAATGTTCGCAGGCTGCTGGATACAGCATAGTTTCAAACAATTGTGAATCTCTGTTATTTATGTCTCTTTTATCATTGAAGATACATGTATATACATGCATAAAAAACAATATTACAAGATTTTAAACATTTATTTTACTTAGATAATTCCATTATCTCTGTCCCAATTAAACGAAAACTTAACATATATATGTAACTTAAAATACTCACCTTGTCCATTTTCAACAACTTTAAGAATTCATCCATCAGCTTGGATGTTACCCCCTTGATGACAGATTTTCCTTGTTCTTTGATATGCTTATATAATGCTTCTTTCAAAAACAGTTTTTTGAAATCCACTGCAAGCCCAATAAATACTATATTAGGTCATATTAGATAAAGAAGATTCATTTCTGTACTTCCTCTCATCTATAGACAGATGAGAAAAATGTAATTTCTTAATTTATGCAATCCACTCATGTATCAGATTAACTGCTGATTTTAGAAATAACAAGAGACCCATGGGCCACATCGCTCACTTGAGCACTAAGGGTAGGAAAAAGTAGAAAATGGCTTTTTATTGTAAAGTTTAAATCCAAAAGTAGTCCCATGACCAATCATGGATTTGCTATTTTTTAGAAAATGATTTTTAAAGAATTTTCCTATATATATCTTTAAAAACTTTGGTCTGCCATTTTGGCCCCGCCCTACCCCCGGGGGTCATGATTTGAACAAACTTGAATCTACACTACCTGAGCATGCTTCCATATAAATATGATGAATTATGGCTTTGTCATTCTTGAGAAGAAGCTTTTTAAAGGATTTTCCATTATATTTCTATGTTAAACTTTGGTCGGCCATTTTGGCCCCGCCCTATCCCCTGGGGTCATGATTTGAACAAACTTGAATCTGCACTACCTGAGCATGCTTCCATATAAATATGATGAATTATGGCTTTGTCATTCTTGAGAAGAATATGTTTAAAGAATTTTCCTATATATTTCTATGTTAAACTTTGGTCGGCCATTTTGGCCCCGCCCTACCCCCGGGGGTCATGATTTGAACAAACTTGAATCTGCACTACCTGAGCATGCTTCCATATAAATATGATGAATTATGGCTTTGTCATTCTTGAAAAGAATATGTTTAAAGAATTTTCCTATATATTTCTATGTAAAACTTTGGTCGGCCATTTTGGCCCCGCCCTACCCACGGGGGTCATGATTTGAACAAACTTGAATCTACACTACCTGAGGATGTTTCCCCATAAGTTTCATCTTTCCTGGCACAGTGGTTCTTGAGAAGAAGATTTTTTGAATATGCCACCAAATTTTCATTTATTCCAAATTATCTCCCCTTGAATGAGGGTGTGGCCCTTCATTTGAACAAACCTGAATCCCCTCCACCCAAGGATACTTTGTGGCAAGTTTGGTTGAAATTGGCCCAGCGGTTCTTGAGAAGAAGTCGAAAATGTGAAAAGTTAATTTACAGACAGACGGACAGACAGACAGACGGACGCCGGACAAAATGTGATCAGAAAAGCTCACTTGAGATTTCAGCTCAGGTGAGCTAATAAAATTTGAATATTGAGTTAGCAAACATCAGTCCTCAGCAAAAAAGTAGGAGACATGGATTTTACAATTAGGCAGAGAGCATATTCTTCATGATTTACTCATAAAGAATATGTGTTCTCTGCTGTATTGTACTTAGATATAATTTTGTGGAGATGAACACAAAGTTGACTTACATTTTCATAGGTGGAAAAAGGTTGAAATTGCAAATATTGATAACTATGTTATTGTTGAGACAATGCAGCTATATACTACTTACACTTAGGCCACAATAGAGATCCATCAGGTAAACAAGTAGGCACGGGAAGAACAGCATTATCCAACAAGTTAATAAACACTAGACAGTTTTCTGAATCATTAAAGCTACATAGTCCAACTCCAAATGTTACCAAAGTGGCATTTACACCTTTGAATATGTTGTACCTAGTAAATAATGATTTAAAAAGAACCTTTTGAAATCAAATCAATTTTTAAAATGGAATTCAAAAATTTCAAAAGAAACATTAGAAATGAATTCTTCTTGGCTTTGAGTACATGAATCTATAAATTGTAGAAACAAATTTTCTTGGGCATAAAATTTCATTGATTTGTCATCTAAAACGTTTTCGTGGACATAAAATTTTGTTGTTTCAAAATTAAATCAATGCAAAATATAGTCGTATAAAAATTTCATGTGGGATATATTTTCGTTGATAAATTTTAGCAACAAAATTCAATCCCCCATGAATATTTCTGCTTTTACAGTATATTCAAGTGATATATTTACCTAATGACTGCTTCTAAGCCTCCTAATATATTCAGCTTATTTCCTGACCTCAGTTCTCCTTCATAACCTTAATGACCATAGCAAAAGAAAAGGTCAATCAGTAAATTTTCAACAAGAAAATAAAAGAGTGTAGTTCAAACTCAGGTTGGAAAACAAATAAGAGCACATGACCATACTTTGACTATTTTTACAGTACATAACTAAATCATTAATTAAGAGCATACCATCATAGGTTATATCACTTGGTATCTCAATTCTGTATGTGTACGAGTCCAAACCAAGGGTGAAAAACATTTGAGGAGAAGCACATGGATCAAAGCGTGCCCACACTTTTAAGATTTTTAAGAAAACAGCAAACTTAATGTTGATGCAACATTCTAACCCGAGACACATGCTGTCAAAGGTGCAGTAGACATTATTTTTTGGCATGGTGAAGGACAGCAAAGGGCAACCTACAAAATTAAATGTAATATGAGAACATTTGAACTATCTATAAATATAACAAAATTCCTTTGAAGTACTCGTCTTTTTAAACACATACCTTTGTCTAACTGCACCAGTCTTTCAATCAGCTGTTCTCTTGATCCCTTTGTGTCTTTACCCCTCTCTGTCAGTTCATTTACAAGCTGATCTTCTGTCATCTCATAAGGATTTATACAGGCTGTGTCATCTATGATGTTCTAAATATTAAAAATAACAGGTGTAAAGCTTCCAAATAATTTAAGAGCTGAATTTATTACAGATCTTTCTTTGAATACATAGAGGAAATCTATATTGTGTGATTTGATATTGGCTTTATCCATCCATAGGCGCTCCCCATGTAATTCTGTAAATGACGTATGATAAGTATATATATATATATATATATAGGTCTACCCCTCTATACTATAAAAATAACCATAGGCGCTCCCCATGTAATTCTGTAAATGACGTATGATAAGTATATATATAGGTCTACCCCTCTATACTATAATATACAGGTCCAGCACAATACCCCGATAAAGGTATATAGCTTTATCAAGGTATTACTGAAAATCGAGTTCTGAGTTGTTGTCAGTAAATTCATCCATGCATGTAAAATACTCAAACACTAACAAATCAGTATAAAAATGTGTCGTGTAAGGAGACGTTATTTAATGCTTTCTTTTTGATACCAGAGTGTTTTTCATGCACAAGTAGACACACTGACAAAAACTCAGAACTCGACTTTCAGTATTTAATTTTTAAAGAATTTTTTTGAATTTTCATTACATGAAATACCTTGATCAAGGTATTTTAAATACCTTGATAAAGCTATATAGCTTCATCAAGCTATATACCTTTATCGGGGTATTGTGCTGGACCTGATATAAACAAGGCCTGCAACTACCCCTCCATATTGGATTTTGCCTGGGACCTCTGACTGACTTACTTTAAGGGTTTCTGGGGTATACTGGGCTGTTCATCAGCATCGGATACTCTAATTTATTGAAATAAAATATTTGCAATCTTTTATCTAGCACCATTCGATCGCTTTCTCGCGTTTTCAAACATTTCTCTATTCCTCCACATAGCTGATCTCTGCCGGAAGAAGTTGATTTCGTCGATTTTCAACAACTCGTTCGAAAATAACTTTCGGAAGTTTGACAATATAGTGGGGAAAAGTATAGGCGCTTGCTTTCAGGATGGTGTATTTTGTGTAATATGTGTTTTCTAGGTGTTCTGAATACATTTATTAAAATAAAAATGAAAAATCGCTGAAATTGGCACATTTTAAAAATTTCATTTTTTAAGTATAAACTCTCACACGGGCTATTTAAAGGGGGGGGGGGGGGGGGGGGGGGTAACATCTGTCTTCAGTTCAAGTAGCCAATACAGGTTTCTTGATAAAACCAGAAGTCTCTGTCTAGACTGTAGCTCTACTGGTTTATACTTCAAACAAAGGAAGAGAAAAGTAGCAGTTGGGACTTGAGACTTGAAAACAGCAATAAATAGAAAAATGATCCTTGCCACTCATCAAAATAAAAACCGATGCACAGAATTATGTATCTTAGTAAAGTCTAATTGTGGGCCAAGTTATATTGAAATTGGACCAAAACTGTAGGAGGAGTAGCATTTTGTAAGAATTTCACAGAAATTTCTATTTTTAGTAACCATGTCAACACCGTTCATCAAAATCAAAAACCGATGCACAGAATTATGAATCTTAGTGTAGTCTACTTGTGTGCCAACTTATATTGAAATCGAACCGAAACTGTAGGAGGAGTAGCATTTTGAAAGAATTTCACAGAAATTTCTACAATGTATTTCTAGTAATCATGGCAACACCGTTCATTGGAATCAAACACCGATGCACAGAAGTATGTATCTTAATGCATTCTACATGTGTGCCAAGTTATATTGAAATCGGACCAAAACTGTAGGAGTAGAAGCATTTTGAAAGAATTTCACAGAATTTTCTATTTTTAGTAACCATGGCAACACTGTTCATCAAAATCAAAAACTGATGCACAGAATTATGTATCTTAGTGTAGTCTACTCGAGTGTCAAGTTATACTGAAATCGGACCAAAACTGTAGGAGGAGTAGCATTTTGAAACATGGTTTACAGGCAGACAGACAGACGACAGACACATTACTATCGCATAAGCTCTTCTGGTCTCTGACCAGTACAGCTAACAAAACACTTCTTTGACAAATATGAGTCTTTTTCTTGCTTTTAATATTATTGCTCTTTATCATTCATTTCATTAGGGCAATAATTTTCTCAAATAAAAGTTTCAATAAAATAAAATCTTGAAGCGAGGTATCATGTCAACCAGAAGTCTCTGTCGAGACTGTAGCTCTACTGGTTTATACTTAAAACAATGGAAGAGAAAAGTAGCAGTTGGGACTTGAAACTTTAAAACAGCAATAAATAGAAAAATGATCCTTGCCATTCATCAAAATAAAAACCGATGACCAGAATTATGTATCTTAGTATAGTCTACTTGTGTGCCAAATTATATTGTAATCGGACCAAAACTGTAGGAGAAGCATTTTAAAAGAATTTCTCAGAATCTTCTATTTTTAGTTACCACGGCAACACTGTTCGTTGAAATCAAAAATCGATGCACAGAATTATGTATCTTAGTTTGAGGACAGCAGAAATTTCTATTTTTAGTAACCACGGCAACACCGTTCATCGAAATCAAAAACCGATGCACAGAATTATGTATCTTAGTGTAGTCTACTTGTGTGCCAAGTTATATTGAAATCGGACCAAAACTGTAGGAGGAGTAGCATTTTGAAAAATTGTTTACAGACAGACAGACAGACGGACGGATGACGGACTCATTACTATCGCATAAGCTCTTCTGGTCTCTGACCAGTAGAGCTAAAAACGAAAGTGCTATTGATAAAGCATCTACCCATGGATAAAGCATACTGATAAGTTTATTTAATGGGTTGTAACCCCAACATGTATGAGATAAAATGTTTATTTCTATTAAAAGGAATATTAATGCTTTCATTTATCAATTACAGTTACACAAACTTAAAAAGAAATGCCAGCTGGGAAATTCACAATATGTCAGAGAATGAAAATTTGCCGAAAGCATCAAATGATAACTCATTAAAAGCATGCATGCTATAAGCATAGCTATAAGCATAACATGTTTAATTGTACTAATTTTTTTAAAACAAGATTTGTTCATACTGTTCAAAAGTCTTATCTTCAGTAAAACCAGAAGTCTCTGTCGAGACTGTAGCTCTACTGGTTTATACTTAAAACAATGGAAGAGAAAAGTAGCAGTAGCGACTTGAAACTTTAAAAACAGCAATAAATAGAAAAATGATCCTTGCCACTCATCAAAAGAAGAGGCCCATGGGCCACATCGCTCACCTGACAACTGTGGCTAGGAAAAAGTAAAAAATTGGTTTATCATTGAAAAGTTTTAATCCAAAAGAGGTCCCATGACCAATCATGGTTTACTATTCTTGAGAAGATGATTTTTAAAGATTTTTTCTATATATTTGTATGTAAAGCTTTGTTCGGCCATTGTGGCCCCGCCCTACCCCTGGGTCATGATTTAAACAAACTTGAATGTACACTACCTGAGGATGCTTCCATATAAATATGACCAATCATGGCTTTGTATTTCTTGAGAAGAAGATTTATAAAAGAATTTTCCTATATATTTCTATGTAAAACTTTGGTCGGCCATTGTGGCCCCGCCCTACCCTCGGGGGTCATGATTTGAACAAATTTGAATCTACACTACCTGGAGATGCTTTCATATAAATATGATGAATCATGGCTTTGTATTTCTTGAGAAGAAGATTTTTAAAGAATTTTCCTATATATTTCTATGTGAAACTTTGGTTGGCTATTGTGGCCCCGCCCTACCCCTATAAATATGACCAATCATGGCTTCGTTATTCTTGAGAAGAAGATTTTTCAAGAATTTTCCTATATATTTCTATGTAAAACTTTGGTCGCAATTGTGGCCCCTCCCTACCCCCGGGGGGTCATGATTTGAACAAACTTGTATCTACACTACCTGAGAATGCTTCCATATAAATATGACCATTCATGGCTTTGTATTTCTTGAGAAGAAGATTTTTAAAGAATTTTTCTATATGTCTCTATGTAAAAATTTGGTCGGTCATTGTGGCCCCGCTCAACCCCCGGGGGTCATGATTTGTATAAACTTGAATCTACCCTACCTGAGGATGATTCCACATGAGTTTCATCTTTCCTGGACCAGTGGTTCTTGAGAAGAAGATTTTTTAAAAATGCCAATAAATTTTCACTAATTCATAATCATCTCCCCTTGGAAAAGGGTGTGGCCCTTCATTTGAACAAACTTGAATCCCCTCCACCCAAGGATGCTTTGTGGCAAGTTTGGTTGAAATTGGCCCAGCGGTTCTTGAGAAGAAGTCGAAAATGTGAAAAGTTTACGGACAGACAGATGGACGGACAGACAGACAGACGGACGCCGGACAAAATGTGATCAGAAAAGCTCACTTGAGCCTTCGGCTCAGGTGAGCTAATAAAAACCGATGCACAGAATTATGTATCTTAATATAGTCTACTTGTGTGCCAAGTTATATTGAAATCGAACTAAAACTGTACGAGGAGTAGCATTTTGAAACAATTTCACAAAAATTTCTATTCTTAGTAACCATGGCAACACCGTTCATTGAAATCAACAACCGATGCACAGAATTATGTATCTTAATGTAGTCTACTTGTGTGCCAAGTTATATTAAAATCGAACCAAACTGTATGAGGAGTAGCATTTTGAAACAATAGTCTCTGACCAGTAGAGCTAAAAAAAAAACCTGGCATACCTTTATTTCCATCATCACTCTTGCCATTGCAGCCTTACTCTCTGTCATTCCAAATCTGTCCAGAAATTCCATGATCGTGCCAAACTTTAATCGTCTTATGTTGAATTTCTCCAAAAATTTATCTGCAGTCTTTAACAGTTTAGAGAATATTCCTACAAAATATGTTCCATCAATGAAAACTAGAATTGTCCAATAGGGACAAATACCCCCACTGGGTTTTTCAGAGTACCTGTAGGTGCAAAGTCACAAATATTTATGGATCTATTAAAAGGTGTTCACTATTTTCTTAGAAACAATTTGAGTGAAAATGTAATTGCTCATTATATTTTTCTTTATCAATGAAACTAAGGTGCAACCAAATAAAACATCAATACTAATACATTGTAACAGTTTTTTTTTATTTGATTGAAAAAATAAATTGGAACTATTTGTCATGATACTCTTGCAAATTGATTGTTAAAAAAAAAGTATTATACAGAATCAATTAAATCTAGATAAATTTATATCAAATTCATTTTAAAAATTAATAAAGTGCACCGCCTCAGCCTGATACTCCCGTCAAATATTATTCATTTAATTATTATAAACAGTTCAGAGTGCAAGAAAATCATGTCAAACTTTAAAAGGATTTCCGTAATTTTTCCATTCCTTGTAATAATTGTTTAAACATCTCCTGTGGTGTAAGCATTAATTATAACAAATAATCATCAACTGGTTTCATTAAAGCTTGACAAATGCCCCTCCTCCACAAACATACACATACGCACATATCTTTCATGTGGGACATGATGCTCTGAAATTTGTCACTTGATATTTAAAAAAAAAAAAGAATTAAAAATTTATCAATTTAATTAATAAGTCTGAAAAACTTAATCTAAACCAAATTGATTTTAGAAATAGGAAACTGCATGGCCATCGAATGACAACTGCTATTCAAACTGACCAGCACTTCTATCTTATTCCCAAAGGATTCAGATAAGAGCTGCTTGATCAGAGATGCTCTAACAGAAATGATTGAGACAGCTAGCTTCCCTACATAGAACTCATTAATTAATCTTTGATTGGATGCATGTCCACTAATTACTATCAAGGGATGAATTGATCTTAACTTTCTCCTTTGTAGTGCAATCAAAATCCAAATTGCATGTGTCATTCTAAAATTCAATCTGAAAACAAAGATTTGGTATAAATTTGTTACAAAGATTTATACTAAAAAAAAAAAACAGAAGTCTCTGTCGAGACTGTAGCTCTACTGGTTTATACTTAAAACAAAGGAGGGGAAAAGTAGCAGTTGGGACTTGAAACTTTAAAACAGCAATAGAAAAATGATCCTTGCCGCTCATCAAAATAACCAGAAGTCTCTGTCGAGACTGTAGCTCTATTGGTTTATACTTAAAACAAAGGAAGAGAAAAGTAGCAGTTGGGACTTGAGACTTTATATCAGCAATTAATAGAAAAATGATCCTTGCCACTCATCAAAATAAAAACCGATGCACAGAATTATGTATCTCAGTATCTTCTACTTGTGTGCCAAGTAATATTGAAATCGAACTAAAACTGTAGGAGGAGAAGCATTTTGAAGCAATTTCACAAAAATTTCTATTTTTAGCAACCACGGCAACATCGTTCATCGAAATGAAAAACCGATGCACAGAATTGTGTATCTTAGTGAAGTCTACTTGTGTGCCAAGTTATATTGAAATCGGACCAAAATTGTAGGAGGAGTAGCATTTTGAAACAATTTCACAAAAATTTCTATTTTAAGTAACCACGGCAACAATGTTCATCGAAATTAAAAACCGATGCACAGAATTATGTATCTTAGTGTAGTCTACTTGTGTTCCAAGTTATATTGAAATTGAACTAAAACTGTAGGAGGAGTAGCATTTTGAAACAATTTCACAGAAATTTCTATTTTTAGTAACCATGGCAACACCGTTCATCGAAATCAAAAACCGATGCACAGAATTATGTATCTTAGTATAGTCTACTTGTGTGCCAAGTTATAATGAAATAGGACCAAAATTGTAGGAGGAGTAGCATTTTGAAACAATTTCACAAAAATTTCTATTTTTAGTAACCTTGGCAACACCGTTCATCGAAATCAAAAACTGATGCACAGAATTATGTATCTTAGTGTAGTCTACTTGTGTGCCAAGTTATATTGAAATTGAACTAAAACTGTAGGAGGAGTAGCATTTTGAAACAATTTCACAGAAATTTCTATTTTTAGTAACCATGGCAACACCGTTCATCGAAATCAAAAACCGATGCACAGAATTATGTATCTTAGTATAGTCTACTTGTGTGCCAAGTTATAATGAAATAGGACCAAAATTGTAGGAGGAGTAGCATTTTGAAACAATTTCACAAAAATTTCTATTTTTAGTAACCTTGGCAACACCGTTCATCGAAATCAAAAACTGATGCACAGAATTATGTATCTTAGTGTAGTCTACTTGTGTGCCAAGTTATATTGAAATCGGACCAAAACTGTAGGAGGAGAAGCATTTTGAAACAATTTCACAGAAATTTCTATTTTTAGTAACCATGGCAACACCGTTCACCGAAATCAAAAACCGATTCACAGAATTATGTATCTTAGTGTAGTCTACTTGTGTGCCAAGTTATATTGAAATAGAACCAAAATTGTAGGAGGAGTAGCATTTTGAAACAATTTCACAAAAATTTCTATTTTTAGTAACCTTGGCAACACCGTTCATCAAAATCAAAAACTGATGCACAGAATTATGTATCTTAGTGTAGTCTACTTGTGTACCAAGTTATATTGAAATCGGACCAAAACTGTAGGAGGAGTAGCATTTTGAAAAATTGTTTACAGATAGACAGACAGACAGACAGACAGACAGACGGACGGACGACGGACGCATTACTATCGCATAAGCTCTTCTGGTCTCTGACCAGTAGAGCTAAAAACCGATGCACAGAATTATGTATCTTAGTATAGTCTACTTGTGTGCCAAGTTATATTGAAATCGGACCAAAACTGTAGGAGGAGTAGCATTTTGAAAAATTGTTTACAGACAGACAGCTAGACAGACGGACGGACAAGAGACGCATTACTATCACATAAGCTCTTCTGGTCTCTGACCAGTAGAGCTAAAAATTGTGTAATCTTAATGCATCATTTTGAATAAGATTCCTGCATGATTCTTAGATTTGTTGGGACTATCTACCAAAATTTATTTTTTTTTAAATACTTGATTTATTTGAATTTGATATCAGACTAAAAGTTTCAATCTGAAATTCATATGGAGAATGGGCATGCTGATTCCAATGTCATCCCCCCCCCACACACACACACGTCAATATAATTAGTTTTAATTATATCAAACAATATCAATTAAGTTTATTATACAGTTTCAAATTAGTTTATAATACAATATCAAATTAGTTTGAGTTACTTTTTCTCAAAATAAGTAAGCCTAGTCACTAAAACTATTAAGGCCGATTCCTTAGCCCAGTTCCCGATAGATAGATAACAACTTCTTGATCAGAGATGTTCTACCAGTTAGCTCCTTACACTTTACTAATTAATTTCTCTCTAATTTGACATGCAATTCTCTGTTATCAAATTTCTCCTTGACCAGTGCTTGATAATTATACCCTTGGGAAAGGTATATTTCTCTTATAAAATAATATTTGTTATGAATTGCTGTAAAGTATATAATTAAATTTTTTTTTCTTAATTTAACATGTTTTAAATAGGGATACTGCAACACTCTTACATGTTTTGAGATTGTGTAATTCAAAAGTAAAATACAGGTTTTTTTTAATTTCACTTTAATTAAAGGTCATGGTGACCTTGAAATAGGTGGTGACACACCTTCTACCCAAGATGCATAAATTGGCCAAGTTTGATGATTGTAAGTCTAATAGTTTTCTAGTTATGAGCCAAACAAAATTACAAAATAAAAAAGAAAAAAATGCCTGTAAAATGCATAAAAATCATCAAATCATGATGAAAATACTAAGTGCACAACTTCATTTGGTGAATAATAAGTGTACAAATTTTCAGACAAATCCTTTTCAATAGTTTCTGAGAAACGGTACGGACAAAATCTTGTCTACAGACAGACGGAAAAGCTGATTCCAACATACCCCCTAAACATAAATTGTCCTAAAATCTCAATTTAGGTTTGAACATTTTATAAAGCAGACATTTATAAAATGAAGTGGAAGATGTATTATTAACAGTCAGACAACTTATTAAAAGTACGGTACTTTGAAAAGAAAGACAGGAACAAACGGTAGCAATAGATCACTTTAATGCATGACAATTTTCAAGTCTAGTTTCGAAGAAAATGGCAAACATTAATATGATTTTTAATGCAGTTTGTTTAAGACTACCTTTTCCATGGGAAAGAGATCTTTTTCCAACAGAAGATTTGGTTCCCATAATGGCAGGGCACTGGTCATCATCTGTGTCAAAATCTAGAGCACTGCTTAAGCTCGAGTGTACTTTAGCAAAAAGGCCACTTGGTTTAGCTATACATAAATTAAAATAATAACCATCATTAAAGTTAACTGTATATGAATACTTTAGAATCAAAAGCATTCAGCAGACTTCACAATAAAACAATTGAACAGGCCCAACAGCCTGTACAAATCAGCTATATCACTTTATAACATTTATATAACAACAAAATATAATCCTTGAACTCAACTTCACCACAGATGTTTCAGTCATTTTATGCTCAGTAATTTTTAAGCCTATAAAAGGTGTCCATGTATCATAATACAATTTTTTTGGAAGAATATAACTTTTTAGGAATAAGCCCCTTATGTGTCAAAAGCTGTACAAGTTTTTTGAAAACAAACTTAAAGCCTAGCCAGATAAATATTTTTCCCAAAGCTTATAGACAGCATTCAAAATTTGTCATTTTTTAAATTTATGATAACATTTTCAAATGAAAACCTCAACTTTATCCTTGGATGTAAATTAAAAACTAGAAATATGTCCACAGGACATGAATGCCCCGCCAAAGGATATATTAGTAAGGAAACATGAAAATTCGTATGTGTATAAAATTTGATCAGTTTGGTTCAGGTAGGGCTTATAGTTACTTGGGAATGAAAATAAAGATCAGATCCAGCATCCGAAGCAAGTCTGGTAGTGTCCATCCCTAGATGCATCATCCATGCAAGTTTGGTTCAGGTAGGGCTTATAGTTACTTGGGAATGAAAATAAAGATCAGATCCAGCATCCAAAGCAAGTCAGGTAGTGTCCATCCCTAGATACAACATCCATGCAAGTTTGGTTCAGGTAGGGCTTAAAGTTACTTGGGAATGAAAATATAGGTCAGATCCAGCATCCAAAGCAAGTCAGGTAGTGTCCATCCCTAGATACAACATCCATGCAAGTTTGGTTCAGGTAGGGCTTAAAGTTACTTGGGAATGAAAATATAGGTCAGATCCAGCATCCGAAGCAAATCTGGTAGTGTCCATCCCTAGATGCATCATCCATGCAAGTTTGGTTCAGACAGGGCTTATAGTTACTTGGGAATGAAAATATAGGTCAGATCCAGTATCTGAAGCAAGTCTGGTAGTGTCCATCCCTAGATGGATCATCCATGCAAGTTTGGTTCAGGCAGGGCTTATAGTTATTAGGGAATGAAAATATAGGTCAGATCCAGCATCCGAAGCAAGTCTGGTAGTGTCCATCCCTAGATGCATCATCCATGCAAGTTTGGTTCAGGTAGGTTACTTGGGAATGAAAATGTACGTCAGATTCAGCATGCGAAGCAAATCTGGTAGTGTCCATCTCTATATGCATCATCCATGCAAGTTTGGTTTGGGTAGGGCTTATAGTTCCTTGGAATGTACCTGCTCCAAAAACTTTAACCTGGTCACTCCTCGGGAAAATGTAGGTCAGATCCAGCATCCCAAGCAAGTCTGGTAGTGTTCATCCCTAGATGTATCGTCCATGAAAGTTTGGATTGGGTAGGGCATATAGTTCCTTGGAAATGGACCTGCTCCAAAAACTTTAACCTGGTCACTTATCTGGAAAATGTAGGTCAGATCCAGCATCCCAAGCAAGTCTGGTAGTGTTCATCCCTAGATGCATCATCCATGCAAGTTTGTATCAACATGTGAAGTTTGATAACACCATCTTGAATGGTATGTTCAAATCTGAGCAAAACAATCAGAAGATGGGCGCATTTGGCGAGTGATCTGCAGGAATCATTTGTACGAAACATTTATGGTTTAAATGTCCATGATTTGGTTGGCTGAACATAGCTGGTCAGATTTTACAAACACGTCTATAGGTTTTTTTTTCATTTAGTTTGAAAGACCTTGTGAAATTGTAACAGTTATGTCCGTTTTTCCTAGGGGGTACTATAACATAGTAATGTTACACAAAAAATTTACACCTAAAATATTTAATGCATAGATGTATGATACATGTACATGTACATTATATAGAATATAGAATAGAAGATTAGAGTTGATTTCGCTCGAGAACCAAACTGAACCAAAATTTATCTAATTCAAAGTTTTAATACATCAATACATAAAACGAAACTTACAAAATGAATGGTTGTTTGCATGAAGAAAAAAAAATAATGCCCCATTCCAGGCTCGAACCAAAAACTTTTCACTTCGAGTGCACTGGACAGGAAGTCCAACTTACTGAGCTATCACAGCTACATGTATACAGTCGATTTTAAAAGGACAAAAAGCACCACATTCACATATTTGGATTTTTTGGTAAAAGTTCATTTTTTGTGGTCTCTGGGTCTTCTCTCCATTTTTTAAAAAAGTGTATTCGTTTCTTTAAATTAAAACACCCACAAATAACATTTCAAAATCATGGAGAGAAGACCCAGAGATAGAAAAAGTTTAGAAAAACGTGTTTAAAAATGTAACATTTTGTACCAAATGTCTTATCTGGCAAATTTTCAAGTTATTTTTTAGCAAATCAAAGCTCAATTTCGGGGAAATATTTTCCTTTCCTGTTGCACAAGAACCTGTTAAATTAAAAAAATGTTAAAATTTCATGTGGCATGTCGATAAAATTTCCACTTTTCAATTACGCTCAGATTCCTGCCGAATGCCAATCAAAAGCGCCCTCGTTCTTTAAGAAAAGTGAGGTCAAGGTCAAAGGAAAGGTCAGGGTCAGAAAATGTTGATGCAGTTGCATAGCTCTCATCAATATCTATCAGCATATGAAGTTTGATGAAAATATCTTGAATAGTTTCTTTGAAACTTAGCTTTGAACAGAGCTAAACGCAAAGTGTGACGGAAGACGGAAGGACAGAAAGACCAAAGGACGGAAGACGGACATGACAAACACGGCCATATTCATGGCGGGGCATAATGAAGATATCCATATCATTTTTACCATGTAAATGATTAAGAGAATAGAACTTAATAGCTAATTCCATAATTTTTTTTAATGATTATGGTCCCCCAAATCTCAGGTTCCAAAGTACCATGAGTATAAAATTAACCACCCCCTCCTTTTTATCCCTATTACTGATTATACACACAGTATTGATTGAAATTCATGTTGATTGAAATTGATTTAGCTTTCTTTAAAAAGAAGCTGAAATCTTGATTGAAATTAAAACTACAACATGATGAAGACTTAATCCCTGTGCAACTTACATTTTATGGCTATGGTATCATCAGGATTTTGACTGCTTGCTGGAAATTGAATTGGAATAGCCTTATCTGTGTTGGTAATAGTGGGGTCTTTATTTTGGACACCTTCACCCTTCAAACCAACTATAACACCAGCTGCTATTGTTTCCTTCTGTATAATACATTATACCAAACAAGGAAAAAATATTTCAATTAAAATATAAACTGGTCAGAGTGCTCATTTGTCAAGAGTAATGAAGTTTCTGATTTCAATCATAAGTAACATGATTGGGTGGAGGCAAATTTAAGAATAGAATTGAGGGAATGAAGTCTCCAAATTAAGGATAATTAAAATTAACTGAAAAATCTAAGGAATTAAATAATTCAGAATGACAAAGAAAAGAAAGACCTATCCAAAATGACCACATTCAGACCTTGAAATTAATGTCTTTCTTTGATAGATTCCCAAGTTGCCTTCTTTAAGCTCACAGCAAACTTGCAATCTGAAAATTACTTCATGTAATATTTTTTAACCCTGAGCTTGATCTTTTTAATTTCAAAATTAGTTTTGGTATTCTTTAATGCATAGGAAGATGCAAAGGCTAACTTCATTGCAGAAGCTCAAAGAAAACTAAATCCATTTGATGCAATATTTAAATTGTTGACCTTGACGTCATTTTGTAGGAAAATGAAAGTTAAGTAAATATTTTTTTTGATCTTCAATTTTTTTTTATACATAAATGTACATAACTTTGATCAATGCCCGAAAGTCTAACTCATTAATGTTCTGGAATATACAATTTTTAGTTAATAAAGCACCAAACTCCATCAAAAAAAGGGTTGAAACTTCCAACTTCCCTGATCAAGAACTATAGCATTAACAAATTCTGACGAAATTTCAATCCAATATCCAAAAGATTATCCTTTACATATCTTCTGGCAAGCAAATGGGACTTACAGTTATATGAATGCACTGACTATTATTATACATGTAATTTACCCGTTCTTGATGGGTTCAATTACAGTTAAACTCGGTTATAACAAAGTCGCTGGGACCTTTGAGATTACTTCGCTATATCTGTATTTCGCTATATATCCGTAAAAGGAATTTGTTAAATTTATATCGCTTGGGATCCAAGATAACTTCGCTATGTACGTGAATTCGTTATATCCGTGTTTGTACTAAACGAGTTTTACTGTACCTTGAAAACAAGTTTGTAGTCATCACATATCTGCTTCCACTTAGGTACAACAGGCATTAAGGACTCAAGAAATTTGGTTGGGTCAATATAGCCTCCGTCCTTTTGAAATGCTAAATGGATGTGATTATCACAGTCTGAACCAGTGGCTCTACCAATGGGTTGACCTGCTGCACACTGGAAACAAATGTTGAATCATGTGCATTGGTAAAAACACTCATTTCTGTCACTTTTCTCTAATCTGATAAGTAAACCCTTTATCAGGTTGGGCACAGTTCCTTTTTCGGGGAAGTGTTACTATAAAAGGGAACTATTACCCTTTTCAGTAATAAAAAACATTACTGAAATCGGGAATTTTCACTCGTTTAGCCTCTATTCTTGTGTTAATTTGTTTTGAATATAGGATAAAGTGCAAGAATATTTTCACATCTTCTAAATATTTATTGTCTATTAAGTGTATGTGCTCAAAACTGCAATATTCATTGCTGCAAAAAGCTGAAAAGAGTTATGAAATATTTCTATGATATAGATTACCTATGGAAGCTTACCCGTGTTAAAATTGTGATATTGGATATGTTCAGCACTTGCTAAGTTGTTCATGAGATTATTCGTTCTAATTTAATTTTATAATATTTCTTTAAATGAAATCGTAATAATAATTTCAAATTCCATTGCTTCCTTTACAGATGAAAATAATTATTTGAAATATTAAATTTCAGACGACATTCTTTTAAATGGTTTTAGAATTACTGTCCTTATTAGATTCCATACTTTTAGTACCATTCATCAGCAGGGAAAATCATTCAATCTCATCTTACTCTTGTTTGCAGCACTGAAGGACCGAATTTTTCGGTCAGCGAGGTTTGTTTGACAAAGATTAAAAACATCACATCGTATCTTTTATGCACTTTTTATTTAGTAAATGGATTAGAGCCATTATTTAAAAATTGTGACAAAAATTACCGATTTCAGTAATGTTTTTATTACTGAAAAGGGTAATAGTTCCCTTTTATAGTAATACTTCCCCGAAAAAGGAACTGTGCCCAACCTGTTTATCTTAGTTATTTTTAATTTTTATTTTCACCTGCAGTACAATTCATGTATAAAAGAAGGATTTTATATTTTTTATCAATATTCTTCTGCCATACATACTTTTAAAATTCCAATTCCACATACTTAGAAAAAATTAAATCACTGCACAGGTAAATTACGGAAATGAAAAAGAAATTATGTCAGAAATGAAATAAAAAAAATGTCCGAAACGCTATGCAGATTTCCGGAATATAATGCAGTGCTTTACGAGGGCTGTTCGAAAATTATTGAGACATTGTGTATATTTTGCTTTCTAATGAACGTCTTTCAGTGAAAATTTGCACATACTTTTGACATACACTAAGAATTAATAAAAGCAAAAAATATTTTACAAATAATAAATAATTTCCGAACAGCCCTTGTACATGCATGTGTAGATTATGTAGGAGAGATCACGTGACATTCGCCGGAGATGGAAACTTAAAAATTTTGTCCGGTGTTTGGTCTGTTTTGGTACTAATTTTTTGGGATCTTTATTCCGTTTACCTGAATTTTGGACAGCATACTTTCGTGAGTGACTGGGATACATTTTGTATTATATCCTGTGAATTATATACCCCAAAAATGCAAAGGAGAGGAAGATCACATAGTACAAAGAAAACGTCTGAAAAGAGTTCACCAAAGGGGACAGGCAATTAAGGCTGTCAATACAAACTCACTACAAAGCAAAAGCCTTCCCGAGTCGGTCCCGTTAGATAGTGAAAAGGGCAGTGTTGAGAGATCACAGTCTGTGAATAAGAACAAAACTGACGATCATGACACTGAAGAACACAGCCTAAATGCACAACTAAAGTATGTCTGTGAACAAGCAGAATGTAGAGGTAGAGCTGCTACGATCAGTGGTTATCAGGATTGACAGAAAAATGTCTGTGATGGACAATGAAATCACTGATTTGCGAGCTAGATCTATGCATGACAATATTTTAATACATAACTATGCATATTCCCATAATGAAGACCTTGCTTCTACTATGCCAGAAACTATTAATCAAACACAACGGGTAGATGTCAAATTCGTCTGAATTCATAGAAAAGGAGTTTGTCCTCAGCACTCTGATTGGCCAGTGTCTATTACAGCCAAGCTGATGGACGGTAAGAAAAAAGATGAAATTCTCAGCACCAAGAAAATAAAAAAAATAGCGAAGGTTCCCTTGCCTTTTTACATTACCCCTCAACAATCTCTGTCCATCGTTTCTGCCAGAAATAAACTTTTTGACAAATCAGATTCTTTCAAAAAACAGAACATTACTGTACTGTGAAAATGTCAAAAAATAGCCTTACTTTACCAAATAGCGATAAATATAGCGAGGAAGTTTTCACCAGTGCTTACCAGTGCAGACATTTTACAAATCGAAGTGTCTGAAACAGAAAAATTGGATGACACTGCTACAAAAAGTGTAGATCCTGTACGAAAAAAAGGATCTGAATTTTTCGAGATTGGATCTGAGGTAGACTTGGCGGAAAGTGTCCAAAACTTCTACAAGAAGGGCTGCATTGACCCCTATGTCACCAGTGTTGACAGCAGAATCTTTGTTTACAGATTCCGAGAAAACGAACAAGTGACTGAAAACTATCATGATGATGGTGAAATGGAGCGGGGCGACGCCTCCTTAAATTTATGCAAGACAATCAAATCATCAATGCGGCTTTCGTTGTGACAAGATGGATGGGAGAGCATATTAGACCCGAGTGTTTTACCATCAAAGAGAACCTCCTGAATGATGTTGAAAATCTATTATAGGAACGATAAAAAAACTGTGTGACTGAACTAAAGTGTGAATAGGGACTTTCTCTGATTCATAGCATCAATATTATGTTGGGTTTTTTTTTTTTTCAAGTGCTTTTTACTGACAATTGCCATTTATGGTCCAAATGACGATGATCCTGGGTTTTATAATATGGTGTCTGAATCAATAGATAATCTGAACAATGATAAGGTTATTCTTGTAGGGGACTTTAATTTAGTTATAAACCCAGATAAGGACTATCATAGCTATCTTCATACTAATAATCCTAAAGCAAGAGAATGGCTATTAGAAGTTATTTCTGGCCAAAATTTGTCACATGTATTCAGAGAAAATCACCCAGAAAAACAAAGATATACTTGGCGCAAGCCTCATCCATTTAAACAAGCAAGGTTAGATTTTTTTTCGATGTCAAACTCACTGTTGAGTATGATAAATGAGACTGACATTTTATCAAGCTACAAATCTGATCATTCTCCTGTATACCTCAATCTAAAGCTGAGTAATTTTACTCAGGGAAAAGGATTATGGAAATTTAATAACTCATTGTTGCATGATTCTGAATTTATTAAAACCATTAACAAGACTATAATGCAGATAAAAGTTATGCTTTAACGGTGTACAGTAAACAATATATATTGTCTAATGCTGAAATACAATTTACAACTGGAACTGTCCAAACGGGACAAAATACCCCCCTGCTGGGTTTTTCAGAAGTGCTAAATCATGAATATTTTATGGATCTAAGAGAAGAGAGAAATGCTAAAACGTTTTTAGTGCAAATGTAATTGCTCATTATATTTTTTATAAATAAAACAAAGTTCAACACTCCAAGAACTTTACAAGGCAACTTGATCCACACTTCTTTGTTAGGATAGTGTAATAGTTGTATCAAGAATCGAGGGAGGATTGAACACAAACATTTTCTTCTTTCAGATTTTGTAAATTTCTCAATTTTTAATTCTATATACACTGTTCAATACAAAAGTGGTGGAGGAGGACCATTCACACCATGAAATGTTTTAGAATGCAGTTGAATTTTTGACTGAGAATAACAAAATGCAAATGTAGGGACACAGAATCAGAGCTGGACAATCAAAAGAATTATGGTTTACGTATATTATACTGATAAGTCTTAATAAATATGTTTATTTTTGGATATCATTATTAAGATTATTTTGTTCATCCAAAAAGGTACTAAAACTATGTATGACACACTAAATACAGAAGAAAATGTGACATCATTTTACAAATCAAAATGGGGAAGATATTTCACTTTATCTAAGTCGCAATGGAAAGCAATTTTTCAGTAATAAAAGTACAAAACTACAATGGTTACAGTGTAGAATTAACCATCAAATCTTAACCACTAATGTATTTCTGTTTAAATTGGGGATGAAAGATAGTAAAATGTGTAATTTCTGTAACTCAGCTGAAGAAACAATTTATCATATACTGTGGGAATGTCCCTTTATTCAAGATCTCATCAATTTATTCTTTTAATTTTGTCAGACAAGAAATCTTGTTATTCCAAGAGATCCTTGTTTTTTTACTTTGGGATTAGATCTTGATTCAAGATGTAAGAATTTGTACCAGATATTCCCAATTCTCAAATCCTACATATACAACAAGAGGCCCATGGGCCACATCGCTCACCCGAGCCATGTGGCTAGGAAAAAGTAGATTGGTTTACTATTGAAAAGTTTAAATCCAAAAGTTAGGCCCCGCCCTACCCCCAGGGTCATAATTTGGACAAACTTGAATCTACACTACCTGAGGATGCATTCATATAAATATAAGCAATGATGGCTTTGCTATTCTTGAGAAGATATTTAAAGAGTTTTCCTATATATTTCTATATAAAACTTTGGTCGGCCGTTGTGGCCCCGCCCAACCCCCGGGGGTCATGATTTGAAGAAACTTGACTCTACACTACCTGGGGATGCTTCCATATAAATATGAGCAATATGGCGTCTCTGTTCTTGAGGAGAAGATTTTTAAAGAATTTTCCTATATATTTCTAAATAAAACTTTGGTCGGCCATTGTGGTCCAGCCCTACCCCCGGGGCTCATGATTTGAACAAACTTGAATCTACACTATCTGGGGATGCTTCCATATAAATATGAGCAATTATGGCTTTGCTGTTCTTAAGAAGAAGATTTTTAAAGAATTTTCCTATATATTTCTATATAAAACTTTGGTCGGCCGTTGTGGCCCCGCCCAACCCCTGGGGGTCATGATTTTAAGAAACTTGAATCAACACTACCTCGGGATGCTTCCATATAAATATGACTAATTATGGATCTGCTGTTCTTGAGAAGATTTTAAAAAATTTTCCTATATATTACTATATAAAACTTTGGTCAGCCATTGTGGCCCCACCCTACCCCCGGGGGTCATGATTTGAACAAACTTGAATCTACACTATCTGGGGATTCTTCCATATAAATATGAGCAATTATGGCACTTCTGTTCTTGAGGAGAAGATTTTTAAAGAATTTTCCTATATATTTCTATATAAAACTTTGGTAAGCCATTGTACCCCCGCCCTACCCCCGGGGGTCTTGATTTTAACAAACTTGAATCTACACTACCTGGGGATGCTTCCAGATAAATATGAGCAATTATGGCTCTGCTGTTCTTGAGAAGAAGATTTTTAAAGAATTTTCCTTTATATTTCTATATAAAACTTTGGTCGGCCATTGTGGCACCGCCCTACCCCCAGGGGTCATGATTTGAACAAACTTGAATCTACACTACCTGAGGATGTTTCCCCATAAGTTTCATCTTTCCTGACACAGTGGTTCTTGAGGAGAAGATTTTTAAAACATACCACCATATTTTCACTATTTCTCAATTATCTCCCCTTGAATGAGGGCGTGGCCCCTTATTTGAACAAACTTAAATCCCCTTTACCAAGAAAGATTTGTGGCAAGTTTGGTTGAAATTGGCCCTGCGGTTCTTGAGAAGAAGTCAAAAATGTGAAAAGTTTACGAACAGACAGACAGACAGACGGACAGACGGACGCCGGACAAAATGTGATCAGAAAAGCTCACTTGAGCCTTCGGCTCAGGTGAGCTAAAAAGTGGTGTCTTAACGAAAAATTATCAATCCATGGACTACTTAAAGATATCAAAACTCATCTTTCAACTTTGAAGTATATAGCTACCAAAAACTGTAATCTAAAAGATTTTCATTAAGATTGGGAAATTTGGCCTTTCATACTGAGAAGGCTCTGACTATTTTGCTTGATTTTACAATCACCAACTGATAAAATAAATGTTTAATTATACACACAAGGTTTTTTTTCTCATTTGTTAATAAGCAGCTTTTCTCCCCTTTCTCTCTTCAGCGTTTTTTTTTCCTTATATAACTGATACTGATAAATGGCACCGTTCCCAATGCCAGAAAACATTAATTTTTCCCAATTCTGTGACTAAAAATTCCCAATTCAACTGTGAAGCAAAAGATTACAACAACATTGTATTTCTTATTAAATGAAACATTGTACATGTACAAGTTGACTAATTGTTTCACTTCCGCTTAAATCGAAAGTAGAGAAAGTCGTTATTTGGCGGGAGCAGTGGTTTAGACAGTGTAGTGTCTTATATTTTGACAAATTGAAAGCATGACAATGTGAAAACAAGGGATGTTGATATAAAAACAATAAGTACTTGTTGTTTATTCTTTAAAACAAGCAGTAATAGGTAACTAAGTTGGAATAAATGCAAAATATGTTGCATTTGCATAAATAAGAAAAAATTCTCCTTTGTTTTTCTTCTGTGTTATTTTTCCCAATTGAACAGGTACCAGACCCTTTCCCAATGAGTGGAAAAAAATCGCTGCTCTTTTCCCTTCTTTTCTCTCAATCAGCAATCATAAGACTTTTGCTTATTGCACTGTGTGTGTTATAAAGTAATTGCTGATCTGTTATTGCACTTTATTGTACATGCATTTGTGAAATTAAAAAAAAATGTAGATTATGTAATTTTGTCAATCTAAAATAAGATAAGTCAAAACAATAACAAATTATTAAAAATATACAAATTCCAAAGCTTCTACATCACGAAGATCCATGTATAGCCTGGACAAGAGTGCATTTACATTTGGACAAGGTGATTCCTATTTATCTCTCCCCCACCTTCATAGGGATAAAATGACCTCATTTTCACTATTTCTTAAATTTAATCTCCCCTTGAAAATGGATAGGCCCTACATTTTAACAAACTTGAATCCCCCTTAATTCAAGGATGCTTTGTGACTGGTTTGGCTGAAACTGGTCTAGCAGTAGTTCTGGAGAGATGACTACGATGACACATTTCAATCATAAAAGCTCACTTAAGCCATTGGCTCAGACGAGTTTAAAATATCATGTGAAAATAATTACTGATCTGCCCTCTTCTGTGTCAATGGTGGAGTTGGGTTCTATGTTGGTTATGAAGATTGTAATTCCTCGAAGTGAACATCCTTCTGCACTGATGATAACAGTGCTGGAGTCCTCTCTATCAACAGTTATAGTACCACCAAAAGGAGCTACAATCTACAGGATGGGTGTAACATGGAAAAAATTTAAAATTAATATCTCTTTAATTTGACTATTAGATTTTATTGATCTTGCTATCATGAATTTCTAATCACAGTTTGTTGATTTTTGTTAAAAGATTTTTTATCATATTTAATTAGATTTTAAGACATCCTTTGGAATTTTCACTTACAGGGTCACCCTTCACTACCAACAGATCAAGTCCTGTGTGTCTGTATTCGCTACGTCCACCTCCTAAAGATGACGGATAAAATCCATTATCACATCCTCTCCCTTTTAAACGGCGATTCTTTGGAAAATTTTTGTGTGCCTTTGGTCCAAATAAGGCATCAATTATCCCTCTTGCTGTGTCATAACTAAAGCAAAGCAAAAATTTTTTTTAAAAATATGCATTGAAAACTATATTCCTATGTAAAACTTCGATAAGCCATTGTGGCCCCACCCTACCCCTGGGGTCATGATTTGAACAAAATTGAATCCACGCTACCTGAGGATGCTTCCACATGAGTTTCATCTTTCCTGGACCAGTGGTTCTTGAGAAGAAGATTTTTAAAGATTTTCCCTATATACTCCTATGTAAAACTTTGATCAGCCATTGTGGCCCCGCCCTACCCCCCGGGGTCATGATTTGTACAAACTTGAATCTACACTATCTGAGGATGATTCCACATGAGTTTCATCTTTCCTGGACCAGTGGTTCTTGACAAAAAGATTTTTAAAGATTTTCTCTATATACTCCAATGTAAAAGTTTGATCGGCCATTGTGGCCCCACCCTACCCCAGGGGTCATGATATGAACAAACTTGAATCTACACTACCTGAGGATGCTTCCACATGAGTTTCATCTTTCCTGGACCAGTGGTTCTTGAGAAGAAGATTTTTAAAGATTTTCTCTATATACTCCTATGTTAAACTTTGATCGGCCATTGTGGCCCCACCCTACCCCCGGGGGTCATGATTTGAACAAACTTGAATCTACACTACCTGAGGATGCTTCCACATGAGTTTCATCTTTCTTGGCCCAGTGGTTCTTGAGAAGAAGATTTTTTAGGGCGTGGCCCTTCATTTGAACAAACTTGAATCCCCTTCACCTAAGGATACTTTGTGCCAAGTTTGGTTAAGATTGGCCCAGTGGTTCTTGAGAAGAAGTCGAAAATGTGAAAAGTTAACGACGACAAGGACAACGCCAACGACAACGACGACAGCCAACGGACAAATTTTGATCAGAAAAGCTCACTTGAGCCTTCGGCTCATGTGAGCTAAAAAAGGAAACTTGGGTAAGCTATAAATAAATTTGGTAATTACCCTTCTTTTAGAGTGGTGTATGCATCTTTGACCTTTTTAATAAGTCCAAAGACCCCAAAAAACCCTTTCACAAATTTATCTGCCAATCCTAATAACTCATTAAAGGGGTCCATCAATAGGGCTTGGAGATTTTCTATTGTTTGCACTGCCTCTCGCCTAAGGTCTCTCTGTAAGAGTATAAAAAGTACCATTTCAAACAACTTCATTAAATTTCATAAAGGTTACAGTCAAAGGTTATATGTCAAAACATCTCATATTCAGTCACCTAACAGAAAGACTGCTGTCTTTGAGCAAATCTACCATCTACCAGACTACCCCTGATTTAGGCAAGATCACTTTAAAAAATACAAATGAAAAACTAATATCCATTCAAGTATATATTACTCTATGAATTATTTTAAAATATTAGTTGAATACAAACCCCAAATTTTCTTAATCTTTTCCTACATGTAAATTGAACAAATTATTATTCTGCAGAAGAACTTCTACCATGAGGAAAAGAGCAGGCATGTTTACACTAATTGTCTGCAAAAAATCTGCACACATCCCACCTAATGATCATGATAAGGCTACATAAAATTAAAATTCTGGTTCTCAGGCCCACGCACATCCATTTTAGGGTAGCTGCATTGCTAATTTTATTGTATTTTTGATAAAATAAAAAGTTGGTATTGCGAAGATCAATCCGGAAAAAAAAATTCTGTCCTCGTTTTTTCGTAGTTTAGTATTCAAAAATCACTTCCGGTAGCCATTTTCAAAGAGATATTGGCTACTTCGTTTGAAAATACATTAGAGGATATTGCCTACGATGTTCACATGCTGATAAGCAATGGATAAAGCAGAACTTTTAATCAGACATGGAAAGTATATATGTGATTTAATAAAATTATCTTTATGTTACAGAAAACTCGAAAATTAAAATCAAACAAAAGGCCCACGGGCCTTATAGGTCACCTGAGTATCATGTAGCAACTTTCATACTTAGTTAAATACCCAGGAGCAGAGAAGACTTTTCAAAGAAATAATGCTTTTTCACTACATAATCTATATAGCCCCATCCTAGCACCTATTAGAACCCCTGACCCCAGGGCCATGAATTTCACAATTTTGGTAGAGGACTCAATGCTGATAACAATTACAGTCAAACTTGTCTTAGCGGCCACCCGAAATCAATGGCCACTTGCGATCAGCGGCCACTTTCAGTTCCCCCCGACGATTTTTACTATATATTTTAACTGGAATAAACGGCCACCTGTGTAACGCAGCCAGCAGCCACTCAAATTCCCCACCCACAGCCCTATTGACACTGTAATAGGCGGCTATTTCATCACTTGCTGTGATTCTATTATGTCTTTTAAACTTATTCGCTTGGGTAATTATATCCCGATAGCCAATTTAACCTAGCTATTAAAGCAATTAAACAAATTACTATTAGATACACTGAACTCTGTTTGCATTTATGAAAAAACTTGTTAGATCAATTTGTAATTATTTTTCAAGATCGCCAATTGAAAAAAAAAAAAATTAAATACAATATTGATACTTTCCTCTACCTAAAGAAATTCACACCTTTTGAATTTTGATTCCATGTAGAAGCCCATTGCTACTCTTGTAAAAACAAAGTGCTTCATGTGGCATGATTATCTCGTGAATTTCACTATCAATAGACGATCGATAGGGATTAGTCACGCTCTACTGCATTTGACACCTGTGTTATGGAATGATTTTCAACTGCGTCAATACATCTTTCTGGTCAACTGGTTAATTTTATTTCTTTGTCTCATGTTCCATAGAAATTCTGATAACTTTATAAACAATAAAATTTACCAAAAGTTAAAACTTCAGCTAGTAGGTTAATTGCCGATGAATTAATGTGTGTGGGGGGTGGGTTACATTGCTGACCATTTTTGAACATATGCAAGTGAAATTTTTATTGACATATTCTTTCTTAAATTTCTATGCTTTATTTTATTAACCATTAAACTGTAATTTTGTATATTTTTTTTCTTTATAAAAAAGGATAATAGTCAGGCACTGTATGTATTTCTTGTTTAACTATTATGTAGGAACAGAAACATGCACAAAACCTTAAAAAATTCTAATTCTTTAATAGTTTTTTGAATTAGCTTGAATAATTATATACTAGTATACACATAAAGAGCCTTTGTTAAATTGACTTGTTTTATTATTTTATTAATTTAACTGTAGTGCTTAATGTTGTTTATTCATTGCCCGAATGTCTTTTTCGAGGGCAAACTGGAATAAGAGGCCAGCTGTCTTAAGTGGCCTTTTTTTAAAGACTTCCCAAAGGTGGCCTAGCTCTTAAAACAAGTTTGACTGTATGCAAACATTTTGACTGCTTGATGTTCAGGAGTAAAGAAGATTTTAACAGGGGCCATGAAATTCACAAATTAGGAAGAACTCGTATTTACTTATAAATCAATCATACATCTACATTATCTTGACATAGTTCGCTCCAAGAGATATTTTTCTACATTACTGACGTCTCCTATAAAGATCTTTTCTTGCAAAATGTTTATTCATTCATCGATTATCAGCTGGAATCATAGTAAGACAAACCATAAACTACATTCACTTCCGTTTTGAGGTTACGGACAAAATATTTTTTATGAAATTAAAATAATCTGCAAGTGAAAATTAATTGGTAACATTTTTATAGATAATATATTTTTTAGGTACTAATTATACTTTAGCCTTATCCAGAATCTCCTGTTGTGATTTTGTCAACGCCATGACTTTACTTTTACTTTTGCCTTGCTTAACTTAGCAACCAATGAAACCACTGTATAACATTTAGACCCCAATTACCAGAAGTGAATGTAGCTTATGGTTTGTCTTACTATGATTCCAGCTGATTATCGATGAATAAATAAACATTTTACAAGAAAAGATCTTTATAGGAGACGTCAGTAATGTAGAAAAATATCTCTTGGAGCGAACTATGTCAAGATAAACTAGATGTAACTTAAGTTATAAACTTAAAAGTATAAAACAGATGAACAACACTTTGTGAGAATGCAGCAGTAAGTTTATTTTGTTGACCGGTTTCGACTTGTGACGGTTGTCATCAGAACAATCAAGCATGTAAATTTATCTACTGAGGTAAAAAATGCAGATGACCTTGCTATATACACAAAAAAATGCGGATGACATTGCTATTGTAGTGGTTTAGATTTTTATTTCATAGCCATCATTTCGTAATTCCTATTTTATAAGTATTTGCTGGTATTTCAGTCAGATAATTCTATTTACCTTATGTTTTCAGTTGTTACTCACGTAAAACCCCTTTATTATTAGTCTTTTATAAGTTAGGACATGAGTTGACATTCCACGTTTTACTTTTTAAACAGGAAGTGTCATCCATGTTGGCAGTCTTACCGTAGTACTTTTGATAGCTGCGTTCTGATTGGTTAATTTAGCTTTAGGATCTTTGATAGTTATTGGCTTTTATTTTGGGCCTTGCCAGGGTATTTAAACCCGTGTTCGAGCAGTTTTCTTCACTTGGGTTGGGGAACACAGCCTCATGGTTAGTTCCTCTTTTCTGTGCTAAGAAAACCTCATGGTTTATGAGCACTATTTGATTAGATACTTAGCGGGCTAAGAAAACCTCATGGTTTAACAGGTCGAGACCACTACCTTATATGGAAGACAATTTTTAACACGTGATGATATTTTCGTCACACCCGTTAGCCAATAAAGTGAACAAGTCCGAAAGCATGACACTCTACTACGTGTTTACGATTCAATGGTGACACGTGGTTTTCGTCGGTTTCTGCATAAATATTTACTTCATCACTGGAAAAACTGTAGAGCTTCTTTGTCATTTTTTAAGTCCGAAATTGAAAGATTACATTCCCAAGTCATTGTTTCATGCTCACATTTAATATTGGAGTTGTTTTTATATGGTTAATAGTTGCTTCGAAAGTTTGAATGATGTGCAAACGCTTTGATGTTGGTATATACATTAATTTTTTTTGTTGTTGATAATATTTAGGGGTTAAATAATAATTGCGCACTTTGTACTGCTGTCAAAAACTATGTACATGTACGTATATCACGTGGAAAAAACTCAATGCTTTATCGACACGATAGCACCTACATGTACGTCTCTTCGAACAATGGTTTAGGTCGATGTATTATAAGTTGATATATAAGGCTTCATAAATCAAATTTTGTAAATGTGAGCATAGAAATGGAAGATTGTACATTATTTTATATATTTCTTCCATAAATCTCCAAAAATAATCGAAAATAAGTTTCCAAGGGACAATTTAAATTGGTCTTTATTTTCAACACAACTGAGTAGTAGTAGCCCACAATGCATTGCGACTCATTCATCGGTGGGTAAAGTAAACAGATAGCTAATTTACATGCAAATTTATTCTGACGTCAGAAAATCTAGTGGTCTCAACCTGTTTAACACACCCCTACTAATGTGTTCGGAAACTTTTATAATTCGGTGTTTTGCAAATTATAAAACCCGATGAGTTCAGAGTAGCTCTGGTAGTGGCTCTGGCGAGAGTTAGCGAGACTTAAGCGAGATAGGGTAAATTATTCACGGAAATGTGGCTAGGAAGTGACTAGCACGTGGAGGCATGGTAAACAGAAAAGTTATGTTGCGTTTCAGTTTTCACCAACCTAGAATCAGCTGATAATGTCTGTAGAAATGTACTTCAATCAATCGATCTCTTTTACATTCATTCAAATTTAAATAAGTATTTTCTTTAATACAATTTTCTGCAGTCATGAATTAAAATTTCTTTTTGGACAAATATTTTTGCATGGGAACCAGGACTATATTTTTTGGCGTCAGATTAACAAATGAGGCACCAGCATGATTTTAACTGACCAATCAGCTGAATGAGTATTGCATTATGGGTTACTACGAATACTACAGGAATTTTGAAAAAAGGAAAACCTTATGGTAAATGAAAAGCATTTTTAAAAATATTATTTTCATGCTCATAATGACAAACAATTCATTTGATAAATAAACGGCGGAAGTCTAGGTTTCTGAAAGTCATACTGCGAAAGAGATTTGCGTCTGTATTAATTCCTTTGTTGTACTATCGGTGAATACAATTGTCAGGTGAATTCCCTGGCCGAACACGTGATTACGAACGTAAACAAAGTTTTGTCCATTTAAATGCATAAGAGGCTCGTTTTCCTTACCCTTGAAGCGCTGGTATTCTGAACTAGACGCAAACTACATTTTATTAAACATTTTTTTTTCCATTTTACAACAAATTAAAAAAGCCCGTAACATCTTTCATGGTTTCTTATCCTTGTATTTTGTTCGTTAGAACATTTTATTTTGCAGTCCATTAACATGATCGAAGATTGACCTGAACTACGTGTTCGAAGTAAAATGTAAACACGTTTTTGGTGTAAACGTTGCTATTCATTCGACGATTGGTCAGTTGCTCTTGGTAAGATCCTCTGTGCGCATTTATAACAATAGCCATATAAGGAAAACAAAGGTTTGTCAGTGTAGATGATTATGCACATTTTTTTTTTTACCAGCGAATCGGTCACTAGTGAGCTCTAATTTGCGCCGAAAAGTATATAAGATATATTGTTATTTTAACACCCCCTCCTTTAGCCACCCTTTTTCTGTTGAAAATCATGAAAGTCTTTCAGGAAGGTCTGGAAACATTTATTACAGGACATGTTTTCAAAAGAAACAGGCTATAGCAATATCATGTTTACTGCCAATTTTATTTATAAAACAGGTTCTACCCTATAACCTTTGAATAGATCAACCTTAACCATGTGTCTTGAATTTAAATCACAATAACATTAATAGGGGTGTAACAGTTCTCTAGGTTTTGGCTTAGATTTAGTTTCACGTTTTTCACATGTTAGGAAACAGTTAGGATGTAGGGTATTTAAAGTAAATTTAGTTTCCCCTTTCCAAGTCCAGCCTGGTCTAGGGATATGTAGATAACAGGTTTATTTTCTAGAACCACTATTTATTATTTATTTTTCGCGTGTTGTTTATTTTCTGGGTCAGTTATTTTTAGAGCCTAGAATTAGTATTGATATTTTCAGTTCAACTCTGGAGTGTTGATAGTAGTCATATTGGGTGATGTAGCTCATTCCCTTTTCATTTTTTTTCATCTCATTGATTTTTTTTTAATAAGATTTTTGATAAAGTATGGAAGCCCAGTAGGGACATAGATTATTTTTCATAGTTTTGCCACATTCCTTCCATTTTCTGTTACATTTTTTTCAATTCTTTATTTATTTAGATTATTCATTGAGATTATTGTAAATCATTTGCCAAATTAAATTACATTTTTGATAAAGTTTTATTAATCCTGGCAATTTTCAAAGACTTTTCTGTTTGTTAAATTTTGATCATTATTTATTATTTGTTATCATTTACATTGGTTAATTCTCACTTTATTAAATTTATAAAACTTACAACGGTGTTTTCATTTAGCGTTGACCATAGTTCAGAAATCCCCTTACCTGGGATGATCATTGATAACTGGAGATAGTTTACTCCTTTAAGCCAAGTTGGCTAGTAACTTTGGTAATTTATATACTAAAGAGTTCTACTTCCGGTTACACTATATACACAAAAAAATGCGGATGACGTTGCTACATGTATATACAAAATAAAATGCAGAGTGTTTTGTACATATGCTGACTTGCTTAACAATGGTACTTTATACAAGATATAATCTGTGATCTGTTTTATACTTTTAAGTTAATAAAATGATAAATAAAATGACGCCCGCCTGCATCTGTTCTGGAGAAAATTGGCCTGAGAACCAGAGAATTAAATTTAGATAGCCTTACAAGTGTATTATAAAATCTATACATTAATACAAACCAGTGTAACTCTGCCCTTTGTAAACTTTTTGACTCTATCTTCTGCATCCTCTATTTTCTCATTGACCCATCTGTCACCAGCACTTTTCAAACTGGCAAAGGCTTGATCAGCTAGGGGCTTGTATTCAAGCAGCAATGTTTCAACATCAAACCAATATGGCTTTTCATCTGAAAAGGTTTTGTAAAGCAAAATTGAAAATTTATTTGACATGGTGTATTTTTATGAATATGTTGTTTTTTGCAAAATAAAAATTCTAAGTATGCTGTGATTTTATTTTTGCAATTACTAAAATCCTATCCAAAATCTAAAACAATTTTTGAGTCCCACTTTCTAGACTAGTAAACATTTAATATATTTGATTTGACTTGGATTATATGAGAAAGAAACAAAATATCAATAGATACATTCCTAGCTGGAAAATGATTAAATCATTCAAAACTTTTACATCAGATCTGCCTGAAACAGTATTACGTGTTTTTTTTTTTTTTTTACTCTTGTTGCCCTGATGTACAAATTACATATTTAAAGAAAAACTACGTAGGAACACAGTTTCTTATTAAATGTTTATATATTAACCAAAGTTTCTAACCCCCCGTTCACACAGAGCTGCGATTATCCCAATCAAGCCACGATCTGAAATTTTTTGTGATTGGGGCAGATCAAAGCCGATCGGCGTCTAAATAGAGCTATTTGGCAAATTATAGTCTTTGTTATGACCATACTAAGATGTCCCTACGTCAAACGCGCTGCTAACATGCTTCTACTAAGATGGTACGCAGACTGTTGCCGACAAGTGGCCGTGTTTACTGCGTTTACGCTACGCTGCCAATGCGACGTTGAAGACCATACTACGACGCTACACAGACCTAGATGACTGTACCACAATGTCGCTACGGTGGTGGCGATCATATTACGATTGCATTACGCTTCTAGTACGATTTTGGCGATGATGTAAAATTAATATATCTTGCAACCGCAGATTTTTGTGGTACGATTTTAGTGATGACACATATCTTGCCACCAAAGTTTTATGCGGCCTTTACCACATTGTTTACGGTTATTTTCAACTGTAACTGTGACAAGATGTGGAAAGTCTCAATTGCAAATGATCATCAAGTATAGTTTCACACTTTACATGTAGTTTACGGATGATGATTGGTCAAATATCAGCGCTATAAGAACAAACTCCTGTCTGATAGGTCATGATATGATCGGCGTAAGGTCATTGTAGATCTTCGCAGGATCTTCAGGAACGTAGATAGAGCGTTGTATGAGCGTACTTGGTAGGTTACTACGCTCTTACGGCGCTTTTATTACGATCACGAAGATCTCTCTATGATGCTACCATGCTGCTTCTACGATTACGGCGCTTCTACTACGCTCTTTTTACAACTTAACCCCAATTCTTGTTGGCCAGGATTCTGTTACGCTTGTTTTAAACATGTTCAAAATAAGCGTGGAGAGATCGTAGAGCTCTCCGATTATGAAGACCCTACCGCGATCATACTACCTTTCTGAAGACTCGACTACGTTTCTCCTGCGATTTGTCACGATCGGCCCTGCTTTCGACCACTCTTTGATCGTAGTAGAAGCGGCGTCTATGTGTGAAAGAGGGGTAAAGTAAAAAATTGCATGAATCCTTTCATAAAAGACATGATAGAGTACATAAATATGCTCAAGTGTAAATCATTATCCTTTGTATTATCATGAGTTTCCAAGAAGTACTATTTGACATGCATTATCAAAATCATAAATTTAATATAAATGAATGTTTTATGCTTTTAATCACCTCTTATATGTATGCATGAATACTCTCTTTTTATCCTTTTATCTTTTAATTATTGAATAAATGATCAATATGATACCCCTTAGGAAGAAGCATGCTTCTTGTACTTTTTTCTTCTGTTGAAGTATAATCTTTATAGATTGAAAAATTCTGAAGGATAAAAAAAATATTACTTAAAGTAGCTAAATGAAGATGGAAACAAGAGGCCCAAGGGCCTTGAATCGCTCTTTTGATAAATTGTACAATCAATCACTTCTATTAGAAGCCTCCAACTCTATTAGTATCATAAGACCCAAAATGCATCAACTTACAAAGTTTGATAATATTTAACCAGTTAAGACTGAAGATATTATAATTATAAAATACCATAAGTAGGTCACAGTGACCTACCTTTTGATTGAAATTTTCTGAGGACTCATGATACATTACTTGACAAAGATCGATGATTCTAATTAAATAAGAAAGATATTGAAAAGTAGGTCACCATGCCCTACTTTTTGGTCAACATTCTCTGAAAACCCAAGATGCATCATCTGACAAAGTTTGACAATTCTAAGCCAATTAGTACCAGAGATAATTAAATATAACCATCAAATGTCAAAAGTAGGTCATGGTGACCTACTATTTGGTCGACGTTATCCAAAAACCCAAGATGCCTAAACTGACAAAATTTGATGATTCTAAGCCAATAAGTACCTGAGATATTCAAAAGTAGGTCACCATGACCTACTTCTTGTTGGACATTCAATGAAACCGTAAGATGCCTTTACTGACAAAGTTTGATGATTCCGAGCCAATAAGTACCAGATATAATTAAATACAGCCATAAAATGTCAAAAGTAGGTCATAGTGACCTACTTTTTGGTCGACGTTCTCCAAAAACCCAAGGTGCCTAAACTGACAAAGTTTGATGATTCAAAGCTAATATGTATCTGAGATATTCAAAAGTAGGTCACCGTGACCTACTTTTATTTGACATTCTCCGAAAACCCAAGATGCCTCAACTGACAAAGTTTGATGATTCTTAGCCAATAAGTGCTTGAGATACTTAAATATAGCCATAAAATGTCAGAAGTAGGTCACTGTGACCTACTTTTTGGTCGACAATCTCCGAAAACCCAAGATGCATCAACTGACAAAGTTTGATGATTTTAGGTCGATAAGTACCAGAGATACTTTATTATAGCCACAAAATGTCAAAAGTAGGTCACCATGACCTACTTTTTTGGTCTTCACACTCCGTAAACCCAAGATGCATTAACTCACAAAGTTTGATGAATCTAAGTCAATAAGTACCGGAGATACGTAAATAAAGCCATAAAATGTCAAAAGTAGGTCACTGTGACCTACTTTTTGGTCGTCACTCTCCGAAAACCAAATATACATCCACTCACAAAGTTTGATGATTCTAAGCCAATAAATACCTAAGATACTTAAATATAGCCATAAAATGTCAAAAGTAGGTCATCGTGACCTACTTTTTGGTCGACAGTTTTTCAAAAACCACCCCAGATGCATCTACTGACCAAGTTTGATGATCGTAGGTCTGAAGGTAATCAAAATATGCGTTTTAAACAATTTGAAAACAAATGTCGCCAATATTCAAAAGTAGGTTACAGTGACCTACTTTTTCATAAATATGTTTTAAGGTCCCAAGATGCATCAAAGTACAAGATTTGATAATTCTAAACCTCCCAGTGTCTGAAATAATGGGATTTAATGTTTTTAAAAGGATAAGTCATAAAGTTCAAAAAGTAGGTCAGGTGACCTAACTTTTAAGTTGACATTGTTTGAGGACCTAAGATGCATCAACTGACAAAGTTTGATGATCATAGGCCTTAAAATGTCCAAAATATGCCTTCAAATCAATTTGAAAACATATCCCTGCAAAATTTAAAAAGTAGGTCACCGTGACCTACTTTTGAGTTAACATGATGTGAAGTCGTAAGATGCATCAACTTACAAGATTTGATGATCCTAGTCCTTATAGTAAGCAAAATATACACGTTTTTATTAATTGTAAAGAACTATATGCGGTATATTGCATAAATTTGCCCCCACAAAAGTCAAATTTTGAAAACTTCCTGAAATGTGCTGAATTCAATGAATTGTATTAGAAATATATTAATTAGCAGAAAATGTTATTGTTTCAAAGCAGTGCATTCACAATTTTTTTTTTTATGACGTCACAAACTAGTCCGATTTTATATCATTTTGCAGAAAGAAGACAAAATGGACAAAATTTCAACAATTTTAGTTTTAAAATTTATAGAGCGCAAGTTTGTTCAGGAACAATATAGACATATTTCATTGATATTATCATTCTACACATTATATCAAAATATTGATCCTGAACACCCATGCGCTCGGTGACTTTTACTCAAAATATCGACGAAATAAGTACATTTTTCTGTAAAATTCATAAAAAACCTAAATTTACGTCAGGTTTGTGACGTCATGAGATACATATGACGTCATTACTTATGAAAATATTCAGTGCTTTGAAGTCAGCATATACTCCCCTGTTTAAGAACTTAATTAAATATATCTCCATCAAAGTTTGATTTGGGGGGCAAATATTGGTTGTTACCGAATAAAGTTCTTTAGGTCAACTTTGAAGTGACCTTGAGACCACGCCCTTTGTCCCAGGGTAATTCCCCGTGCAAATTTTAATCTTCGACATATCCTGATCCTTGTATGTAGGTTTGGTGAAAATCTGCCTGGTGGTTATGGAGAAGAAGATTTTTTAGCAACCAGTATTTTTGGTTTTGTTTTCCTGATTATCTCCCGTTGTTTAAGGGCCCCAACCCTTATTTTAGTACAAATGATAGCCCTTGGGCCAAGGATACCCTGTGACAAATTTGGTACTGAGTGACCAAGGGGTTCTTAAGTTATAGTCCATATTCTAAAAAGTTTACGCACTCCGCACAAATGGCCATAGCATTAGCACTTTGAGCCTTTGGCTCAGAAGAGCTAAAAAATAAACAAATATGAACATACCTTATATGTGTAATTCTTATAATTAGTCCAAATACATTATGATTCCAACTTCTAAATGACTTTAACTTTTATGAATTTATCTCAAATAACTTTTCCTTAAAACTTAAGATCAAGAATAGTCAACAGTTAATTCAGGGAAATGTAACATTTCTTACGAGAAAACACCTTTCCCAATACTCTGAAGTGCTGCTTTAGGGTTTCCAAGAATCTTTGAAAATCCTTCAATAATGTCCCTTATGCTCTCAAACAAGACCTTGCCTTGATGTGGGATTTCAACTTTAATAGACTGTTCCACTGCCTGAAAAAGGCCAAAAAAAAATTTCAAGTTTATGATATTTGAAAAACACTGTTTAATGTCATTAATGTGAGTTGGTTTAATAAAAAAAAAAAAAACACTCGTGAAAATTAATAACGGAAATTTTTTAATTCATTGATAATATATATACCTAGCACAAATTCTATGGATTTTAATTGTCACCTATCATTTTTTATCAATCATTAGAGCTACCTTAAGGTTAATTATATATTGCTTGCCAAAAAGTCTTTAAACGATTTATTGCATTTAAAAATTAGTCATCATTAGAGTTCAATCCTAACATCTGAACAGAGTAAAGACAGTTATAATTTTGGATGAGGCACCTTGCTCATAAGAAATTCTAACTATTTGCTTTTTTGCTTAATGCCCAAGAGTGTAGATTGTCAAGGACTGGATTCATTTTGAATGGGCATATATTAATGTAATTAATATGGCCTTGCTCTAACACAATTTTGAAAAAAAGACCATTGCTCATCATTACTATGCAGGCATGCACCTAGTATATCTGCTAAAAATATAGGGGAAGAGAAAAGGATTTTTGAAGAATTTATGAATTTTCACTATATGATCAATGGAGCCTGATCCTAAACTGCAAATCCCTTAACCATGGGACCATTATTTCACAAACTTAAGTTTGTAGAGGGCTCAAAGCATATTACAAACATAGCAACAGTTCAACAAATTGAAGTCTAGCAGTAAAGTATTTTTTAAAAGAATCCATAAACTTTTACGATTTAGCCTTTTATTAGGCCTCATAATAACAGGGACCATGAAATTCATAAAATTTATTCCCTCTCACCTCTGTTCCTTTCTAAATTTGGTTGAAATGGGTTCAACTATTCCAGAGAAACTAAAAATGTTTAAGTGCTAATGCACACCATATAATGCATGACAGATGATGCATGATATTACAAACTAAAAGAGAAAGAATAGGTCTCCTGATTGACTCAGTTCACCTGAAAACAGATTTCAATAAATTTTCTGAGTAACTAAGATGACCATGAATGACTCAGAACAGAACTAGAAAACTGACCAGTCAGCAAGGGCCCCGCCATGGGGTAGAATTAAAAGGGTGCAGCTTACAGAATGATTAATAAATGTATGAAGAATAAGCAACAGCAACTGTATTCTTAAAATTTCAAGATAATTCCTGAATATTCAAAAACCTGAAAATAATATCCTTGTATTTACATTAGGCAGTAAAGAACAATTTAACATTGAATGTATATTTAAACAGTTAGGAAGCTTGTGTTATATAAAATGCCAGCCTTCAATGAATGCAAATATCATGAAGGCTTGACCTTAACTTCAAACAAACAGCAGTTGCAGACAAAGGTTTTCATTAATGAAAAGCCTACTAAATTTTCTGCAGCAGGCTAGATAATTAATCCCAAGGGATTAATTGTACCTCTCTCATCATTTTCTTCTAAATTTACAATAAGAACTTTTTCAGTATTAATGATAGAATGGGGTTTTTATATAACTACATTAAAAATTAATAATATTCTTGAATTAATATATTTAAAAAAAAGTGAAAAAAAAGTAAATCAAAAAATCTTCTTTAATCTATTTCTTTTTTTTTTTTAGAATTCAATGAAATCATAACTATCAAACAAAAATAAATAATAAAATTTTTTATTTAAATCCACATTTCAGAGTGTTCATAGCATTCCAAATTGATTTAACTTCAAAACAAACTTCATTTGCAGACAGAGGTGGTAATTAATCTCAATGTGACAGATAAAGATAATGCTCTGGATTTTCTTCAGGAGGAAAGCTAATTAATCCCAAGGGACTCCTAGCAGCATTCAGTTTACAATGAGAACATCTTCAGCAGTTATCTCTCTTTGCCAATGCATTCTTATATAAAGTTAAGGAATCTACCCCACCACCCCAGCTCCAAACCATAGGACATAGAGAACCAAACTTAGCATCAAAATATGTATTTCTGCCTACTGAACTACCAAACCAAATTTGTACTTGATTGGGCAACCATAAAAAAAGTTGCTGGTTCATTCTTATGCATAGTTAAGGAATCTACCCCACCACCCCAGCTCCAAACCAGAAGACACAGAGAATCAAACTTAGCATCAAAATATGTATTTCTGCCTACCGAACTACCATACCAAATTTGAACTTGATTGGGCAACCATAAAAAAAGTTATTAGAAAAAAACAGAAAATTTGTGGACGGAAGAGTGACAGACGGACAGACAGACAGACGGACGGACAGAGTGATTACTATAGGGCACCCGCAAATCCTTGCGGGGCCCTAATGAGTCAGATTAATGGAACCACTAGAAAAATTTACATGTACAAATCCCATCACATCAGTTTTTATGTCACTAAACAACTTTGCGACTTTATGCACAAAGTTAATGGTAGGCTTGAACTCTAGAGGTAGATCTTCAGGGTCATAGTGTCCTATTTTTTCCAGGGCTTCTGTTGATTTCTCTACCAAACTCACCACCTGAAATTTCAAAACAAAAAAACTAATGGTGAGAATAAGACACAGTATAAGAAATAATGTACATGTATGTGTTCTTAAAAAATCGGGTTTCATATTTTAGCAGCTTTGGCGTGGACATTGATGCATTATTTCATGAATACCGCTAAGAAATCTTGTATGAATATACAGCGTGGAAGTTTGTAGCACTCATTAAGTGCTTTTCTTATTTTTAGAAGTAATGTTTGGCATTACACTGTACTAATTAAAGGGCCCTTGGAGATAGAGCCATTTCAATAGCCTCTCTTTTCCACATACTAGAATTTAACTTACCTTATTTGGTAAACTTGTAATAGCACTGACAAAATCATCAATGACTTTCTTAAGACTGAGTCTGCCGGATATCAAATCCTTGAACAATTGTACCCCTGACTTAATGCCATTCACGATATCTGCCAGCTTCTTTGAAAAATTTAATGCGATATCCGCTATTTTCTTCATCTCATTTCCCTGAAATATAAACAGATTCTGAATGCTCAACTCAAGTCTTGTCATGTTTACTGTTTATGAAAATATAAATTGTTCAATAAAAAAAATTAAAGCAATATAATTAAACAATACTATACTCTAATATATCATTTCCATAAAAATGAAAATTTAGGGCAGATAATCAATGACAAAATCAATGACATTTGATTTTATAAACACTGTTAAAATACATTCAAATATGTATTGATTTATTAGTATTTATCTTTAAGAACAATCTATGTCCAACTGCAGAATAAATGACTTCTTTTAAAACTTCATTTAAAAGATCACATTTAAATTACATGTACCTGTAAAATGTTAAAACTGTATTCAGTGCCCCCTTGAAAACAAACTCTGGCAATGAAAAAATCATAGTTGAAATCAAGAATTCCAAAATGTATCCTTGCATATGCTTCATCATGGACATGAATTTTTAGGTGACCTTGGGTTGGGGCTACAAAAAGAAAAGTTTAAAATCAATAGATCATAATACATGTATTCAACGAAGAAATAAACACAAAATTAATCAGAAAACAAATCTTTTTATTTACTGTAGATCTACAGTAAATATACTGTGGCTAGGAAAAAGTAGAAATTGGTTTATTTTTGAAAAGTTTAAATCCTAAAGTAGTCCTATGACCAATCATGGCTTTACTATTCTTGAGATGATGATCTTTAAAGAATTTTCCTATGTTTTTCTATGTAAAACTTTGATTGGCCATTGTGGCTCCGCCCTACCCCCGGGGGTCATGATTTGAACAAACTTGAATCTACTCTACCTGAGGATGCTTTAATATAAATATGATCAATTATGGCTTTGCTATTCTTGAGAAGACTTTTTAAGAATTTTCCTACATATTTCTACATAAAACTTTGATCAGCCATTTTTGCCTCGCCCTACCCCAGGGGGTCATAATTAGAACAAACTTTAATCTACACTACCTGAGGATGTTTCCATATAAATATGATTAATTATGGCTTTGGTTTTCTTGAGAAGATTTTTAAAGAATTTTCCTATATATTTCTATGTAAAATTTTGGTCAGCCATTGTGGCCTTGCCCCTCCCCTAGGGGGTCATGATCAATTATGGCTTTGCTTTTCTTGAAAAGAAAATTTTTAAAGAATTTTCCTATATATTTCTATATAAAACTTTGGTCGGTTTGAATTTACACTACCTAAGGATGCTTCCATATAAATATGATCAATTATGGCTTTGTTATTCTTGAGAAGAAGATTTTGAAAAAAAAAACAAGAGGCCCATGGGCCAAATCGCTCACCTGAGTAACTTGGGTGATGCAGATCTTTACCAGATTCCCCCTCTTGCTATACCAATCATGCCCAACAACCCTTTCCCTTTTTTATTTAAAATCTTTAGAATCTACACTACCCAAGGATGTTTCCACATAAGTTTCAGCTTTCCTGGCCCAGTGGTTCTTGAAAAGAAGATTTTTAAAGATTTGTTCTAAATATTTCTCGGTAAAACTTGGATTCCCTATTGTGGCCCCGCCCTACCCCCGGGGGTCATGATTTTAACAATTTAATATCTACACTACCCAAGGATGCTTTCACATAAGTTTCAGGTATCCTGGCCCAGTGGTTCTTGAGAAGAAGATTTTTAAAGATTTGTTCAATATATTTCAATGTAAAACTTGGATTCCCTATTGTGGCCCTGCCCTACTCCCGGGGGTCATGATTTTAACAATTTAATAACTACACTACCCAAGGATGCTTCCACATTAGTTTCAGCTTTTCTGGCCCAGTGGTTCTTGAGAAGAAGATTTTTAAAGATTTGTTCTATATATTTCTATGTAAAACTTGGATTCCCTATTGTAGCCATGCCCTACCCCCGGGGGTCATGATATTAACAATTTAATATCTACACCACCCAAGGATGCTTTCACAAAAGTTTCAGCTTTCCTGGCCCAGTAGTTCTTGAGAAGAAGATTTTTAAAGATTTGTTCTATATATTTCTATTTAAATTTGGATTCCATATTGTGGCCCCGCCCTACCACTGGGGTTCTTGATTTTACGAATTTAATATCTACACTACCCAAGGATGCTTCCATAAAAGTTTCAGCTTTCCTGGCCCAGTGGTTCTTGAGAAGAAGATTTTTAAAGATTTGTTCTATATATTTCTATGTAAAACTTGGATTCCCTATTGTGGCCTCGCCCTACCCCCGGGGGTCATGATTTTAACAATTTAATATCTACACTACCCAAGGATGCTTCCACATAAGTTTCAGCTTTCCTGGCCCAGTGGTTCTTGAGAAGAAGATTTTTTAGTGACCCCACCCTATTTTTGTCTTTTTTTGATTATCTCCCCTTGTAAGGGGACTTGGCCCTTCATTTTAACAATTTAAACTCCCCTTCACCCAAGGATGCTTTGTACCAAGTTTGGTTAAAATTGGCCCATTGGTTCTTGAGAAGAAGTCGAAAACGTGAAAAGTTTACAGACGGACGGACAGACGGACGGACGACAGACGGACGGACGACGGACAAAATGTGATCAGAAAAGCTCACTTGAGCCTTCGGCTCAGGTGAGCTAAAAAAGAATTTTCTTATATTTTTCTATGTAAAAGTCCGCCATTATGGCCCTGCCCTACCCACCTGGGTCATGATTTTAACAAAATTTAAATTTAAACTACCTGAGGTTGTTTCTCCATAAGTTTCATCTTTTCTGGCACAGTGGTTCTTGAGAAGAAAATTTTTAAAACATACCACCAAATTTTCATTAATTCCCAATTATCTCCCCTTGAATGAGGGCATAGCCTTTCATTTGAACAAACTTGAATCCTCTTCACCCAAAGATGCTCTGTGGAAAGTTTGGTTGAAATTGGCCCAGCGGTTCTTGAGAAGAAGTCGAAAATTTGAAAAGTTTACAGACAGACAGCCGGACAAAATGTGTTCAGAAAAGCTCACTTGAGCCTTCGGCCCAGGTGAGCTCAACAAGAGGCCCATCGGCCACATCGCTCACCTGAGCAATGTATACTGTATAGATAGAAAAAAAGCAGAAATCAGTGTATTATTGAAAAGTTTAAACCCCAAAGTGGTCTAAACCAATCCTTAAAATTAAAGGGAGAGGGTATGATTTGAAGAAACTTGAATCTTCACTAACTAAAGATGCATGCATATTTCTTTGACTTCCTGTGGCTTTATTGCTGTTCACATTTGAACTTACATTGTGGCCCCGCCCTATAACAATATGACTTGAACAAAATTGAATCTACACTACCCAAGAATGCTTCCATATGAACAGGACTAATCATGGCTTTGCTATTCTTGAAAAGAAGAATTTTAAAGATTTTTTCTACATGTTTCTATGTAAAACTTGGATTCCATGTAGTGGCCGAACCCTACACCTTTGGGTCATGATTTGAACAAAAATTGAATGTCCACTACCTGAAGATGCTTCCATAAAAATATGATCATTCATGCCTTTACTATTCTTGAGAAGAAGATTTTATAAAGATTTTTCCTATAGATTTCTATGTAAAACTTTGATCGGCCATTGAAGCCTCGCCCTACCCCCAGGGGTCATGATTTGAACAAACCTGAATCTACACTACCTGAGGATGCTTCCATAAAAAAATGATCATTCATGCCTCTGCTATTCTTAAGAAGAAGATTTTTAAATAATTTTCCTGAATATTTCTATGTAAAACTTTGATCAGCCATTGTGGCCCCGCCCTATCCCCGGGGGTCATGATTTGTACAAACTTGAATCAACACTACCTGAAGATGCTTCCCTAAAAGTTTCATCTTTCCTGGCACAGGGTTTCTTTAGAAGAAGATTTTATAGAATGTTCCTCTATATTTCTATGTAATACTTTGATCGGCCATTGTGGCCCCGCCCTACCCCCGGGGGTCATGATTTGAAGAAACTTGAATCTACACGACCTGAGGATGCTTCCTCATAAGTTTCATCTTTCCTGGCATAGTGGTTCTTGAGAAGATTTTCAAAGATTTTTCCTATATATTTCTATGTAAAACCTTGATCGGCCATTGTGGCCTTGCCCTACCACTGGGGGTCATGATTTGTACAAACTTGAATTGACACTACCTGAAGATGCTTCCCTATAAGTTTCATCTTTCCTGGCACAGTGGTTCTTGAGAAGAAGATTTTTAAAGAATTTTCCTATATATTTCTATATAAAACTTTGATCAGCCATTGTGGCCCCGCCCTACCCCCGGGGTCATAATTTGAACAAATTTGAATCTACACTACCTGAGGATGCTTCCTTATAAGTTTCATCTTTCCTGGCACAGTGGTCTTGAGAAGATTTTTAATAAATTTTCCTAAATATTTCTATGTAAAACTTTGTGGCCCCGCCCTATCCCGGGGGTCATGATTTGAAGAAACTTTAATTGACACTACCTGAGGATGCTTACCTATGAGTTTCGTCTTTCCTGGCACAGTGGTTGTTGAGAAGAAGATTTTTAAAACATACCATCAAATTTCCATTATTTCTTAATTATCTCCCCTTGAATAAGGGCATGGCCCTTCATTTGAACAAACTTGAATCCCCTTCACCAAAGGATACTTTGTGCTAAGTTTGGTTGAAATTGGCCCAGTGGTTCTTGAGAAGAAGTCGAAAATGTGAAAAGTTTACAATGACGACAAAAACAACAGACAACGGACAAATTTTGATCAGAAAAGCTCACTTGAGCCTTTGGCTCAGTTGAGCTATAAATGGAGATTTCTTAAAACCTTCCCTTGAATTCAGCAATTTTTTGAGGAATTCCCCTCCCCCAAATAAATAAATATATTAAGAATTTTTTATGGCTGCTGAAAAGCTTCTCACCCTGATCAACTTAAAAAAAAATGTTGACAATGCATTTTCATCTTATTCAAAGTAAAACAGCTTACAACTGATAGTAAATATACTTACATGTATATCCATGATTTTTTAAGCATGCTTGAATAAATACTTTAATGCTATCATTTACCTACTGCTAAATTCAGGAAGTTTATCATGATAACTCCAAAAGATGCACCAATATCTTGGGTGCCAAGTGTCTTTCTCCAGTCTACACCTGGAGCTTCCAGTCTAAAATAGTGTCCTTCCCAAACATTCCTACGAGAACGCTGATGATCTGCAGTAAGGTCTACTACATCCACACCAGAATCATATGGATCATCCACAATTGTTGTGTTGTCAAACAATTTTTCTTCCCTACCAAACATTAACATATTAAATGAATATCCATTCCAAAATACATTTACATGTACTGTAAACCAACTTTTATTCCCATGCGAGAAATTTTCGCAAAGTTCGCGAGAGCCTCGCCATCGCGAATATTTCTCGCCGCGAATCGGTTCTTAAAGTCTATGTGTCTATAAAAAAAAAAACCTTAATATGCTTTTATCGCGAAAATTAATCGTTGCGAACTGGTTTATTCCCGGCAAATCGCGAAATGAAGTTGTCGTGAATAAAAGTTGTTTTACAGTATCAATGCAAACAATCTACATAGGTCAACTTGTTATTAACTACTACCTGTATTTTGCAAGCTACAAAATGCATTATTCTTTTTTAAAAAATAAAATTCTTAAAAAAGTACCATAAAAAAAACTCCTAAAGAAAAACATGGTGAACTTGCTAAATAAATACATGTAACGAATTGAAGTGTAACGCAGTGAATTTCATTTCCTGTGTTTTTACTTGACAGATATAATGAATTATGATTATGCCTTATCAATACTTTCCATCCCTGGCACTTCTTTAGAAGCCTGTTTTATTGTATTATGTACCAGAATTAACCGCTTTGTATCTTAAATATTATTTTAAAAAATAGACATGATGAAAGGAAATATTTCAACAAGACAAAAAGTCACAAAATTTAACATAAAATTGGATTCATCTTTATTAAAATTTTCTATTCTAATGTTTTGTTAAAAAGAAATACTTAATTATCACTTACTTGGCATTCATAGGCGCAATCATCTTTCCCTTTGGATGAGCCATGTACAAGAGAGAAGCCTCATATCTGACTGACTGCTCCTCATCATACAGAGCTGAATACAGCAGAGTCTCAGCAGCCTAGGAATCCAATAATTGTTAGACTACTACTAAATACATTCTCGATAGAGACTGAACTCTAAACAAATTTTGAAAAGTTTGCTAATTAATTGTTTCAGGAGTTGCACACTTCCAACTCTTTCTTACATGTTCATGGTGGTATTTGCGGAGGGCATGACATCCCGCCCTCTTTATCCATGGTGAGTTTGTGCTGTTGATATGAGATAGAATGTAGTCATAGGAATCATCTAGCCTGGCATTTCCCAAAGTCTCAAGGAGAATAACTTTATGGCTGTCATAGTCCTCCATTTCCTGCCTCGTCATCACAGCTCTCTTTTGTCTGTACTCCCAAGGATCTGGAATATTTAATAGTAAATTAGCATATATCTCAACTACAAAATCGTTTCAAAACAATTAATGCCAGCATGAAGTAAAACTTTCTCATCATGACATAGTCTTCCAACTATTTAAAAAAAAAAAAGAAAGAAAATATAACTTGAAAATATCTACATGTACATTATTCTTCAATAGTTGTTACAAGTATCTTGGCAACTAATGTTTTAACTTTAATATCAGAAAAAAATCTGTATCAGTTTCAAGTATAACCATGCAATCCCAATTTCAGATGAATCCAAGACATTATTTTTCTGGCTCTCTCTGTCTGTCCTTCCTTAAACAGTTTGTGGCTAACAGCTCCTAGGGCCAGCATGCATCTACTGTGTGTGTCCTTGATGTAAAATTCTTTGGGAAATTTCTCTTGATGGATCACTGCATCTTCTAACGTTTTCAACATCACCTGTATAAAAAAAATTAACTGTTTAATCTTTTACCATGGATCTTAGGCAATAATTATTATTCTGTTCATATGTATATCATGAGAAATCAAATTTTTCAAGAGCATCTTCCAGAATTGTCAAAACCTGTCGAGTCCTGTTGGAAATGCCAGTATTAATTGTCTGGAATTATGACTTACTTGAAAACAGAACCTTTAACTTTATCAGACCAAATGCCTGACAATGACTTTAAAATTTTGACAACTCTGCTTCTTAAAATACAAGATTGTAAAAGTAAACAATTCTACAATGTGCTGCAAATTATAATCTGATGACAATCTTTAAATACATAAGATTTTAAAAAAAAACCCTGGTATGTTTATTTTATTTCATCACTTCATTTGAAATCTTTAAGATGATCAATAAATGATGTGAAAAATGTCCATTAGGTGATCTAAAAACAACTTAATTGTCTATATCCAAGTAATATTTTTAAATAAACACTTACCTCTGATGGGGCCCTGTCATTGATTGCAACATGAGTCAGAACCCTTTTGACAAGATCATGATCAGGAGTGGGACTCAGAAGAACTTTCTCTGCCAGTAGTCTCTCAGACAATTCTGTGTTCATTGCTCCGAAAGCATCAACCATATTCTCTATAGCTCTACGATACTTATAAACCCTGGATGAGGAAGAAAAAAATAATAGTCAATTAAAGAAGTAAATGTGAAAAAAATTGCTAACAGTGGATAAGATGAAAATCATTCAAGTTCAATATCCCAGATATTGATTATAAACACTGATCCAGACACAATTATGACTTACGTTGGTCGCAAAGCACTGAAGTAGAACTCTGCTATTTTTACAATTTCCTTGTCTGGTAACCCAAGAAGTTGATTAACAATATTTCGAAAGCACAATCCAGCAACAGGGGAACCTTAAATTTGGAGAAGAATAAGTAAATGTAATCCATTTGTAAAACCAGTTGCATATCAGAAAGTTGCCATATTTATTTCAAGAAATCCATTTAAACTCGGTTTATAATTTTTTTTTTAGCAGACTTTGTTAGATCATGCTTTTTTATTAGCTAATCATTCTTGATCATTCATGTGCATTAATTTCATCAGCCTTGACAACAATGCACCATGTGCATCAGCATGTGGTCTGTATATTACAAAGGAGACTTTGACAAACAGAATTCCAAAACAAAAGGCCCAGGGGCCACATCGCTCACCTGAGCAATTGGCTAGGAAAAAGCACATATCAGATCAGAACTGAAAGTTTACTGGGGGGGGGGGGGGGGGGGAGGGGGCTTGAATTTTAACCACCCAGGGGGTCATGATTTGAACAAAGCTTGAATCCACACTACCTGAGGATGATTCCCTATAAATATCACTAAGCATGGCTTTGAAGTACTTGAAAAGAAGATTTTAAAAGGTTTCCCAATATAAACCTTTGTAAAACTTTTATCGATCATTTGGCCCCACCCTACCCCCGGGGGGTCCTGATTTGAACAAATTTGAATCTACACAACCTGAGGATGATTCCACACGAGTTTCATCTTTCCTGGCCCAGTGGTTCTTGAGAAGAAGATTTTTAAAGATTTTTCCTGTATATCCCTATGCAAAAATTTGATCGGCCATTTTGGCCCCACCCTACCCCCAGGGGTCATGATTTAAACAAATTTGAATCTACACTACCTGAGGATGATTCCACATGGGTTTCATCTTTCCTGGCCCAGTGGTTCTTGAGAAGATTTTTAAAGATTTGTCCTATATATTCCTATGTTAAACTTTGATCGGCCATTTTGGCCCCACCCTACCCCCAGGGGTCATGATTTGAACTTGAATCTACACTACCTGAGGATGATTCCACATGAGTTTCATCTTTCCTGGCCCAGTGGTTCTTGAGAAGAAGATTTTTAAAAATTGGTCCTATATATTACTATGTTAAACTTTGATCGGCCATTTTGGCCCCACCCTACCCCCGGGGGTCATGATTTGAACAAACTTGAATCTACACTACCTGAGGATGATTCCACATGAGTTTCATCTTTCCTGGCCCAGTGGTTCTTGAGAAGAAGATTTTTTAAAAATGCCATTATTTTTCTCTTATTCATGATTATCTCCCCTTGGAAAAGGGTGTGGCCCTTTATTTGAACAAACTTGAATCCCCTTTACCCCAGGATACTTTGTAGCAAGTTTGGTTGAAATTGGCCCAGTGGTTCTTGAGAAGAAGATGAAAATGTGAAAAGTTTACGACAACGACGACGACAACGACAACAACAACGACAGACGACGGACAAATTTTGATCAGAAAAGCTCACTTGAGCCTTCGGCTCAGGTGAGCTAATAAATAAAATTTCTTTTTCTAGAAAGGATGAGGTGACTTGCGGCCCCTCGTATACTGACAAAAAATTAAATGTCTAAATTTTACTCAAATTTTTGTATGTAACTAATCACTGATAAGTGTACCTTTATAGAATACTATTTTAAACAAAAATAGAAACGTGATTTGAAAGATAGAGTTCTTTTATTGTGGTAGGGGTATCATGTTTACATTCAATTCCCATTGCATTTTAACCCCGCCCCACTCTTTGAAGCCCTAAAAATATACGAGCGCAGGTAGGTACAATTTTCTCCTTTGGCTGGTCACTGTATTTTATTGAAATCTACCTATATGTGAAAGGAGAAAATTGTACCTAACTGCGCTCACATGCTATTTTTTAAAAAATTGTAAAATCTAGTTGGCCTTTCCTATTATAAACAGATCGACGGAACTAGATTTTCTGACGTAAGAATGAATTCATATGCTAATCGAGGCACAGGCGATACTTTCTAACTGACCAATCAGCTAAATGAAATTCGTTACGAGTGAGTAACACAAAAATACTATGGAAACATGCTTGGAATTTTACTGCTTTCCGATATTTTTTATGCATTTGAGTCACAGATTAGACACAGATCTACATATGTACCATTTCCGAGACCACAGCAAAATTTATATAGAGTTACAAACAATTGATAGAATATACATGATATACATTAGTTTAAAGTTTTGTAGCATGTTTGGTGAGCAATTCGCTAGTTCTACACGTATTCCCAAGTATCAGTGAATCCAAGTTTCATGTGCATTTCTTGTCCTAAAAACCGTAATGCTGAAAATCCATGCATATTATTAAGTATAATCAGCATTAGCTGACCATTATAAAAGTTTGAAATGTAGAAAAGGACAACAGGTAAATTGACCAAAACCACGTGTTTGCAATAAAATGTAAACATAGTAAACCAGCATGTTTTGTTGTTCTGTCATCGGATTGGACAATGACTAGGTGCGAAATAATAACAATAGCCATATAAGGTCTTTTTGGGCACGCATATCCCTCTATTGTTCTACGACCCGCCCATTCTCTTGCCATAAAAGAAAATATTCGCACAAACCTGGCCGAATTGAGCTGTGATAGGGTCTAAAAAATCAAAGATAATGCACTGTATTCCTTATAATTAAAATGTGTCTGAACTATTGAAACTATTCAAAAAGTGTCATATTTATTCACTCATTTTGAAAACTACCAACATCGTTGTAGATTAAATATAATTCGTTGTGGAAAAAGGGGCCCCAGATAGCAGTTTTGTCACATCATCGTTTGTATCCCTTCTTTGAAAAAGAGACAATTTTTTTTATTATTCATTTAAAGGTGCCCCTAGTAGAATTACTAATTCCTTGAGATAGCAAATTCATAGACTAATATTAACTTTCTTTCCTGAATGCATAGAATATATTGATTTTGCATTTATCATACCTTGTTCAGGCTGATTTTCAATACAAGTCAGATTTGCCATGATGTTTTTTCTGCACTCTGACAAATTCAAATGTTTTGGTGTGTGTTTAACCTGAAAATCAATCAATGACAAATGAATACCATTACAATTCATTTCTAAAATACCACAACCAAATTTCTTTACATTCTGTTTTAAGGTAGATTGCGGGTTTACTGTCTGCCTGAAAACATACTCTGAAAATTTGTCAGCTGAATCCTCTCTTTTCGAATTTTACTTTCTGAAATTTTTGTGAGATTCATCTGCGTGGTTATATTGTTATCGTATTTCAAAGGCACTAATGTTGATGAGAACAGGTGGTGCTATTACAATGAAATATATAGTAAATGCGCCTTTCTTGCCGGTAAAGGCATTTCAAAACCATGCTCATAATATGACAAGAGGCCCACGGGCCTTATAGGTCACCTGAGTATCATGTAACATATTTCCAGCGATTGTATTTGGCTCGTGTTTTAATCCAAAAGCCATGAAATTCACAAATTTTGAAGGAGGCACCATTGCTTATCAAAGGGCAGATTTCAAAGCATTAATTTATTTTTAGTCAAAGTACCCCCCTGGTACCCCTGACACAGCGGCCCTGAAATTATCTATTTTGAAGGAGGCCCCTTTCTTCATTATAAGGCCAGCATTTTTTTTATGTTTAGTTATGAACATGAGAATAAAAAAGTCCCGAAGTAGAAGGAAATAAAAATTTTTTTTTGATAAATCAATTATTAACATTTGTACATTCTTTTTTATGCTATTCTAATAGGCTCCTTACCACTGGACACATAATGCTTACAAATAGGAAAGTAGAACATTTAACTGCTTATTTAATCATCTGCCAGTTTGGGCCAATTATATGAATTTTGTGATGTTGGTCAAAATATATTTTTAAAAATCATTTCTTTAAAAGTCTTTCAATATATCTTCATTTTTTTTAATATGTGTTAGGTGAATGTGTAGACATTTAGGAGTGAAACGGTTCACCGCGGTATTTTTTCTCGGTTTGATACACGGTACAAAATCTCTACTTTCGGTTCGGTTCATTTATTCGGTCGGGATCGTCATTCAGTCGGGTTTGGCATAAGGTATAAACATGCTTTTCTGTATAATTTAAGTTCAAAAACCTAAGTTTGTGTGGACTTAAAGTTTGTAAAATAATTTTTAACAGTCAGATCAATTAAATTGATTTATTCTATACATTTTGCACATAAATTATTTGACTAGATTAAGTAAAAGGTAGCATAAAACAGCAGTTGAATTTGTTTCCTTCTATCAAATTGTATCGTACCGAAAATAACCGAACCGAGACCAAATTTTTCGATACGTATCGAACCGTGAAGGAGGCGTATCGTTTCACCCCTATAGACATTGTTCTAAAATTTACTTGATGCCTAAAATTATAATTCCTATCAAAAAACAGACAGGGAGTATTGGGGAGTAAGGGTGAACATTTTTTCAAATAAGTGTAAAATAATTTTTCTGGCTGATACAAATGATACTACATGCCTGTATATATTTGTATATTCTTGCCTTTTAATCATGTTAATAGTTGAATTTTTTTTTTATTTCTTCAGATTATTGTTTATTTCTTCCTCAAATGGACTTAATTTCTCCCATAGTTTTATTCATTACATCTGATGCATAAGCAACCCTTTTCTGAAGAATGATGCTTAGACTGTAAGCTATAACAGAGACCTAAACAATTTCGCTGGCAATATGCAATAGCTACCATGGGCAGTTTAAAACCTTGGGGAGGAAAATAATTTACAGACAGATACTTTTGAAACGAATACATAATTATCTCACCAGCATGTCATTGTGCAACAAAGTCGTCAGCATTTTATTTGTCCTTTGAACGGGTGAAACGTTTTGAATGAAACTCGTATCGATGAATTTTACACTAAACCAAGCTATCTTCTCAGATCTAGCTTTATTTACCAGCCGTTTCATCTTAAAACCGGAAGTGTGATTTCGTAAATTTGAAATCTCGATCCCGACTCAAATTTGACATAGGAAAGAAAAAAAATTGTTTTATTTTTTTCTGAAAATTCAAAACCTTGAGTGGAGGGTTTGTAAAACTGAAAATAAAATAAATCCTGGCCTTAAATATGTAATTAGATCATTAGTATATTAACCAGGAGCAAAGGATAAGATGTTCAAAGAATTCATGCATTTCACTATATTATCATTAGAGCCCCACCCTAAAACAAGAAACCCTTACCCTTTTAGTTTATTTAATACCCAGGAGCAGAGAAGAAGATTTTCAAAGAATTCATGCATTTCACTATATAAACAAAAGATCCCCGCCCTAACACCAGAACCCCTGACCCTGGGGCCATAAAATTCACAATTTTGGTAGAGGCACTCTTGCTCATCATAACTATGTACTTAGTTAGTTTATTTAATACCCAGGAGCAGAGAAGAGGACTTTCAAAGAATTCATGTATTTTCACTATATAATCAATTGAGCCCCGCCCTAACACCAGAACCCCTGACCCTGGGGCCATAAAATTCATAATTTTGGTAGAGGCACTCTTGCTCATCATACCTATGTACTTAGTTGGTTTATTTAATACCCAGGAGCAGGGAAGAAGATTTTCAAAGAATTCATGTATTTTCACTATATAATCAATAGAGTCCCGCCCTAACACCAGAACCCCTGACCCTGGGGCCATAAAATTCACAATTTTGGTAGAGGCACTCTTGCTCATCATAATTATGTACTTAGTTGGTTTATTTAATACCCAGGAGCAGAGAAGAAGATTTTCAAAGAAATAATGCACTTATTTAGCCCCGCCCTAGCACTAGAACCCCTGACCCCAGGGCCATGAATTTCACAATTTTGGTAGAGGACTCATTGCTGATTACAATCATGAAAACAGTTTGACTGCTTGATGTCCAGGAGTAAAGAAGAAGATTTTTAAAGATTGCATTAATTTTAGTGGTTTTGGCCCCACCCCTCAGGCCCCGGGGGGGGCAGGGATCATGAAATTCACAATTTTTGTTTCCCTTTACCCATAGATGCTTTGTGCCAAATTTGGTTGAAATTGGTTCACTGGTTGCAGAGAAGAAGCTGAAAATGTTCAAATGTTAACGGACGACGCACGACGACGGACGAAAACGGATAGCAATAGGTCACCTGAGTTTACTCAGGTGACCTAAAAATGGCGCAGACGAATTTTATATTACTCAACACAATGAATGTGAGATAAATTTAGAATCAATCTATTAAAAAACCAGAAGTCTCTGTCGAGACTGAAGCTCTACTGGTTTGAACTTATAGCAAAGGAAGAGAAAAGTACTTAAGCAGCTGGGATTTGAAACTAAATAGAATAATGATCGTTGATAAAGTCTCTTTATGTTCTTAGTGTAGTCTACTTGTGTGCCAAGTTATACTGAAATCAGACCAAAACTGTAGGAGGAGTAGCATTTTGAAACAATTTTACAGACATTTCTATTTTGAGTAACCACGGCAACATCGTTCATCAAAATTAAAATTCGATACACAGAATTATGTATCTTAGTGTATTCCACTTATGTGCCAAGTTATATTGAAATCAGAGCAAAACTGTAGGAGGAGTAGCATTTTGAATCAATTGTACAGATATTTCTATTTTTAGTAACCACGGCAACACCATTCATCGAAATCAAAAACCGATAAATAGAATTATGTATCTTAGTGTATTCTACTTGTGTGCCAAGTTATAATGAAATCAAACCAAAACTGTAGGAGGAGTAGCATTTTGAAAGAATTTCACAGAAATTTCTATTTTTAGTAACCACAGCAACACCGTTCATCAAAATCAAAAACCGATACACAGAATTATGTATCTTAGTGTATTCTACTTGTTTGCCAAGTAATACTGAAATCAGACCAGAACTGTAGGAGGAGTAGCATTTTGAAAGAATTTCAGAGAAATTTCTATTTTTAGTAACCACGGCAACACCGTTCATCGAAATCAAAAACCGATACACAGAATTATGTATCTTAGTGTAGTCTACTTGTGTGCCAAGTTATAATGAAATCAAACCAAAACTGTAGGAGGAGTAGCATTTTGAAAGAATTTCACAGAAATTTCTATTTTTAGTAACCACGGCAACACCGTTCATCAAAATCAAAAACCGATAAACAGAATTATGTATCTTAGTGTAGTCTACTTGTGTGCCAAGTTATACTGAAATCAGACCAAAACTGTAGGAGGAGTAGCGTTTTGAAAGAATTTCACAGAAATTTCTATTTTTAGTAACCACGGCAACACCGTTCATCAAAATCAAAAACCGATACACAGAATTATATATCTTAGTGTAGTCTACTTGTGTGCCAAGTTATATTGAAATTAGACCAAAACTGTAGGAGGAGTAGCATTTTGAAAAATTGTTTACAGACAGACGGACAGACAGACAGACAGACGGACAGACGGACGGACGCCGGACGCATTACTATCGCATAAGCTCTTCTGGTCTCTGACCAGTAGAGCTAAAAATTGATATGTGTTTTCGCTCATTTTCTCGCAAAAAAACTTTAAAGTTTTACAAATTTGTAACAAACGTATATATTACGACGTTATATAACGTTAGTGCGACGTTATTATTTTCATACATCTCAGAATCACAATGTAATCAACAATTCACTGAAAATAAAACATGTTTTATCCGTATTTTTAATTGATTGACAATAAATGTTCATGTAAACATTATCATAATTTACCTGAATTCTCACACTTTTTTCAATGAAACACAGAGTCATGTTATTTGTTTTCTTGATAAACTCAAGCAGTGCTGAAAAGTTAGGACAAATCTTCAAACATAAGAAAACAAAATCTTCTAATCGGATTTGAGAGCATTTGTAAACCTATTTTACATATTTGTTATCTTCAGTAAAATGTGCCATGATTTTAAATCGAAAATGTTTTTACAAGTTACAATTAATGAATTAAAAGTATACCATGTATACTGTAGATCAGTAAATTAATTTTTGCGAGCACGCTATCTATAATAAAGTTCTCATCACAAATATTTTTACAGACAAAACAAGCTTTAATGTTTGTTTTATTTTATGATGCATACTGATGGAAATACTTTTTGCTTGTTTGTAGTTTGATACTGTAAACGTAGTAAGCTTTTTACGTCGAATCCTATTGCGACGTCAGCAAACCCCGCGATCTACCTTAAGAAATGTAGGTATGAAGGATAAATGATACTAAAATCAAACTAACAAATAAACGAAATTATGCTTTAATTTTATAAAACAGTTTGAATAAGCTTTTTTGTTAAATATATACATTTATCACCTTTGGATATGGTGAGCACAAAATGCATTCGGAACAGAGTTGTCTAAAACCATCAATTTAGTCAGTAAAAAAACAGTTGAATTCTTTCTGGATCAATAACTTATAAGAAAACATTGGCTGCTTGGAAAATCAAGTGTGAAGCATATCATGAAAGATGGGAACTGTGTGAAATTAAATTCACAAAAGCAACATAGATGGTTGAATGGTGATGACAGTCAATCAAATTTATTAAGCATTTTATATTTGCATCTGTGAGTGAAGAGTCTCAATCCTAAGAAGGGGTTTTTGTAAGAGCAATGGATGATAGAAATGATAGGGGCATTTTGATGCAGTTACTTACCTTTCTAAGTGTAAAAATAAGACTAGTACATTTATCTGATCTGACAAAAGTGTACAGTCCAATTCTATGACTTTGCATTAATATGTGAATTACACTTCATATTAATCCTTTCATAGATGACCCAACTTGAGAATACACTTACAGAGCCAACATGTATTGGGGCTTTCAGAAGTTTTTCACTTGGCTTCAACCATTGTTTTTTGTCTAACTGTCTTGTAAGGAAACTAAGCTTGCCTTGACTGGTGTAGGACATTGTTGGATACTCTACAATAAAAATACATTAAGAAAAAAGTGTTGTTATCTAACATGTGATACTTTACTAAATTTTAGAAAAAAATTTTGAAACATGCCTTGTGTTACAACATTTCTAAACATGCACATAAAAATTTACAAATTACCTTCTTTACTGAAGTCATTTACAGCCTTTACTTTCCTCATGCCATGATATGGATCAAATCTTAAAGTAAAACAGTGCAGACAAACCTGAATACCGAGAGACCTTCTAAATGAGAAAGGAGCAAGAGGCCTATAACCCACTTTTCTGGCCTAGTGATTTTTAGATTATTAAAAGATGCCATTAATTTTTTTCTCTCATTAATAACAAGAGGCCCAGGGGCCACAACGCTCACCTGAGCACATCGGCTAGGAAAAAGCACATATCAGTTCATAACTGAAAGTTTACTGAAGGGGGAGGGGGGGGGGGGGGGGCTAGAATTTTAACCCCCCAGGGGGTCATGATTTGAACAAACTAGAATCTACACTACCTGAGGATGATTCCATATAAATATCACTAACCATGGATTTGAAGTACTTGAAAAGAAGATTTTAAAAGGTTTCCCAATATATCCCTATGTAAAACTTTGGTCGGCCATTTTGGCCCCACCCTAGCCCCGGGGGTCATGATTTGAACAAACTTGAATCTACACTACCTGAGGATGATTCCATATGAGTTTCATCTTTCCTGGCCCAGTGGTTCTTGAGAAGAAGATTTTTAAAATAATTTCCTATATATTCAAATGTAAAACTTTGATCGGCCATTGTGGCCCCACCCTAGCTCCGGGGGTCATGATTTGAACAAACTTGAATCTACACTACCTGAGGATGATTCCATATGAGTTTCATCTTTCCTGGCCCAGCGGTTCTTGAGAAGAAGATTTTTTAAGATTTTACCTATATATTCCTATGAAAAAATTTGGTCGACCATTTTGGCCCCATCCTAGCCCAGGGGGTCATGATTTGAACAAACATGAATCTACACTACCTGAGGATGATTCCACATGAGTTTCCTTTTTCCTGGCCCAGTGGTTCTTGAGAAGAAGATTTTTTAAGATTTTTCCTATATACTCCTATGTAAAACTTTGGTCGGCCATTTTGGCCCCACCCTAGCTCCGGGGGTCATGATTTGAACAAATTTGAATCTACACTACCTGAGGATGATTCCACATGAGTTTCATCTTTCCTGGCCCAGTGGTTCTTGAGAAGAAGATTTTTTAAGATTTTTCCTATATATTCCTATGTAAAACTTTGATCGGCCATTTTGGCCCCACCCTAGCCCCAGGGGTCATGATTTGAACAAACTTGAATCTACACTACCTGAGGATGATTCCACATGAGTTTCATCTTTCCTGGCCCAGTGGTTCTTGAAAAGAAGATTTTTAAAGATTTTTCCTATATATTCCTATGTAAAACTTTGGTCGGCCATTGTGGCCCCACCCTAGCCCCGGGGGTCATGATTTGAACAAACTTGAATCTGCACTACCTGAGGATAATTCCACATGAGTTTCATCTTTCCTGGCCAAGTGGTTCTTGAGAAGAAGATTTTTTAAAAATGCCATTAAATTTTCACTAATTCATAATTATCTCCCCTTGGAAGAGAAAGTGGCCCTTCATTTGAACAAATTTGAATCCCCTTCACCTAAGGATACTTTGTGCCAAGTTTGGTTGAAATTGGCCCCGTGGTTCTTGAGAAGAAGTCAAAAATGTGAAAAGTTAACGACGACAACGACGACGACAACGCCGACAACGACAACGACAGACAACGGACAAATTTTGATCAGAAAAGCTCACTTGAGCCTTCGGCTCAGGTGAGCTAATAATATCTCTCCTTGAAGTAAGATGTGGCCCTTCCTTTGAATAAATTTGAATCCCTTCCCCTAGGCCTCCCCAAAAATTATGTTGTATATACTTCTATATGTCTTAAATGTTCACGATTGTTTGTGTTTAAAACTTCTTTTACAGCTACTGTAGGTAAAAATGGCAGTTTCAACTGCATTAGTTTAAAATGAGCTTTCTCTCTCTCTCTTTACCCTGGAGGTGTTTTCGGAGAGGTAAAGTTTTCTTCAATAAGCACACTGTGAATGGTTTCAAGGTAGTCTTGGTAGATCATAGTCTGAAAATGATAAGATTGCAGAAGTGATCACTATCGTGAAAGCTCAACTCTATAAATGTCTTCTGTTGTTTAAACTAAATCAGTGAATATATAACTGTCAATTGAGAAAATTATGTATAAATTATATAACAATCAAATTAGTAATTTTTCTGAAATTTGAATTTACGCATTAAACTGCAAGAAGGTGAAAGTCCAACAGTCATATTTTGACCGATTAAGTGTATCTTTACTTAGACACATCTGACTGATAGAAAATAAGTCGCATATATACAAATTTTGTCACTCCAACTCACACAAAGAGGTCATGAATTGAACAAAACTTACACATGAACACTGTCATATTAATTTGTCAAACTGAATCAAAACAGGGGTTGAATATGGGAATATGCTAGAGAGACAATTCTGAGGTGGTTGAGTGAGAATATCTGTGATATTCTCATTCAACCAGCTCAGAATCAGTACATCTTTTGTATTTTCAAGTCTCAGATTGATTGAGGATAATAATCATTCTACATACGTAAATCTTAACAACTTCATTTTTTTTCTATAACCATTTTACCTTATGAAATGATGCCTTTGCATTCTTTACTGGGTGCTGGAGTCTTGTCTTTTTGAACTTTAAACCTTCTTTTACTGGGGAAACCATGTATGTAGCATTATGTTCTCCTAGAATTAAATAAGAAGATTCCTTGTTAATCAGGCATTTAACACATCACGCTGAGTAATAAAAAATATTCACAATCTAACAATAATCTGTTCTTCCTTACATCACTGTCTATCGATTACTTCTTGCCAAGTTCTTGGAGTAGATTTTTAAAAACTTTATTTGGGGAGGTGAGGGGGCTTGAGGAAAAGATTTTGGTTTTAGCTAGGATATATGATTTCAATAAATGTTAACCATCAATAAAATTAGTAGCTCAACAGTATGCTAAAGATTTGGGGATCATTTTCATTGAATTTATAACATCATATTTTGTTATCATGATCATGTATCATTCTTTCTTTGTACATGAGGACAAACCTTCAGTTCCATTCTCAAAAATATGGTAAGTAAAACCACCACTGCTTCTATTTCCAGGAATCTGAAAAAGGACAATGTATAAATTGAACAACAAAACTTTATAGAACCTGAAAAAATATGAGCTTAAAATGTTAGAATATGTGTCTATAAATAAAATGATATAACCCAAATTGCAGTTTTGCAGTTATTTTATTTATATGCCATAAAATGGAGAAGGTACAGTTTTCCCTTACAAAAATATTAGTGTCTTGTGTTTTCGACCTAAATATAGTATCAACGCCAATGCAGTTTTGGCTATAAATATCCAATGGATATTCCAAACAATAAAAATACGATTGTCTGTCCTTCAAAAACACATTGAACAGGTTGCATATTTTGGTTGCAAATACATTTATTTGTTGGTTGAATCCATCTGTCAGTAGCTATGCATTTCCAAAAAAAAAACAAGAGACCCAGGGGCCACAGCGCTCACCTGAGCACATTGGCTAGGAAAAAGCACATATCAGATCAGAACTGAAAGTTTACTGGGGGGGGGGGGGGGGGGGGCTTGAATTTTAACCCCCAAGGGGTTCATGATTTGAACAAACTAGAATCTACACTACCTGAAGATGATTCCATATCAATACATGTATCACTATTCATAGCTTTGAAGTACTTGAAAAGATGATTTTAAAAGGTTTCCCTATAAATCCCTATGTAAAACTTTGGTCGGCCATTTTGGCCCCACCCTAGCCCCGGGGGTCATGATTTGAACAAACTTGAATCTACACTACCTGAGGATGATTCCACATGAGTTTCATCTTTCCTAGCCCAGTGGTTCTTGAGAAGAAGATTTTTAAAGATTTTTCCTATATATTCCTATGTAAAACTTGGGTCAGCCATGTTGGCCCCACCCTAGCCCCAGGGGTCATGATTTGAACAAACTTGAATCTACACTACCTGAGGATGATTCCACATGAGTTTCATCTTTCCTGGCCCTGTGGTTCTAAAGAAGAAGATTTTTTAAAAATGCCATTAATATTTCTCTAATTCATAATTATCTCCCCTTGGAAAAGGGCGTGGCCCTTCATTTGAACAAACTTGAATCCCCTTTACCCAAGGATGCTTTGTGGCAAGTTTGGTTGAAATTGGCCCGGCGGTTCTTGAGAAGAAGTCAAAAATGTGAAAAGTTTACGGACAGACAGACAGACGGACGGACAGACAGACGGACGCCGGACAAAATGTGATCAGAAAAGCTCACTTGGAAGGCTCAGGTGAGCTAAAAATCAATGAAATTACGTTGCATTTTATAGTAAAAATCTGTAAGAAAGTGCTCATATTTAAGGTAGAAAAAAAAAGTTTGATCCACCCATTCATTTCAATATTCATGCATCTCTTTGACAGTGATCTTAATTTTCTTTCAGAAAAATTTCATTAAAAATTTTTGTAATTAATCGATTACGGCTTTGATTAATCAACAGATAAAATGTGCATTAGTAAAAAGACTAGAATTTCTGACATCAGACTAAAATCATCAGGGAAAATCAGTTGAATTAATTATTTTGGGTATTTTCACTACAGTTGTGCTTCAAAGGTATTTTTTCAAGTGTAGCAACCGAAAATAATGTTCTTCTAATGAGTCTATCATCTATTTTTCTGATGACATGCCAGTTGCAACATATTTTTTGTCATTCAGCATTCATTTCTGAAGAAGAAAAAAAATTGCACTATTTTTTGTTACTTCAATTACATGAAGGAAATATTCTTACTCATCCCATAGTTCATGAGAACTTAAACTTTTTTTTCTATATTTCATTTGCAAAGCATCTTCAGGAAATATATTTGGAAATGTACATGTTTATAGAAAAAGCTCAAGATAAGATTTGCCTAAGAATTTAAAAACAGTGTTATTATTCTTGTACCTCTCCAAATTCGTGTAGTTTGGCAGCAAATAACGAAGCAAGACCTTTCTTTGTGGCCACCACTTCGTCTTCTTCTCCGTGTGGGTGATACACATGGTCCACCACTCCTCGTGTAGATATCACGAAAGAAAACCTGTTTGGTTGACATATGTACAATTATGTTTCCACAAATAAATAAAATGTTTCGTTCTTTAAAAGATTTCGCGAAAAAAAAAAAATGATTCAAACGAAGTTTCCCACCAAACGACAGGAGTCTGTTTTATTTGCACGTCGATCCCGATGCGAAGCAGGATGTCCATCTTGACAATCTCTCGCCTGAAAGCGTATTGATATTTACGCTTCGCTGCAAAAGTGACTGGCTACAACAAGTGGACCGATTACTCCGGGTAGAGTTCGCATCTTTAGGACTATTTTTAAATAATAGCATGAGGTATTGGGGGGGATCCAGGAATTTTGGTTTAGGGGTGTATTTTTTTCAGAGGCAAGGCATCTGGGGGTTCATTTTATTTCCTGTCTGTATGACCTTTCACCCTGACCTCATAGCCATCCACCCGTGCCGGTGCACGCTTACCACGTCAGTCGAGTCTTACCAGTCAAACCATTTTTTTTGTTTACCTGTACCTATATTTGTTGGCTTGCATGTACCTGTGTTTATCCACCATGCAAACCTCGTCGTCACCTTCCCGCTATCGTCACCCCCGCTATCAAAACACACTTCACACCTATTGTTCATACCTAATTATCAAATGTGTGCAAAACGGGAACACACCGTCATGACCTTATACTAAAGTAGGCGACATTTCCAAAGTAAAATCCCCCTAATTTTCTTACGTTGGCTTCGTCGGTAGGAAATAGTAAAATCCCCTAATTTTACTACATGTCACAAAGATTATCATCTTTAAAGTTCTTTTTCTTTCTTTCTTTTTTTTTTTTTTTTGTATCAAAAACTATGGTAACTATGTGTCTTAAAAATAGATGATTAAGGATATCGTCGATGATCTGATAATATTGACTGATTGAAAAATAAAATTCATGTAATTCGGATTTTCCAAGAGTGGCAAAATGTTGTTTTTATTACATTATCTCTTTCAATTTTCAACCTTTAAGGTACTTGTTTTATGATTTTTTTTTTTATAGGTATACACGTCTAACATAATTTTTGGAGAGGGTGCGCCCAGGTCCCTCTAGATCCACAAATTAATAACACGGTACTTGAATATGCGAATGGATTGAAGGTTTTGTCTAAAATTAAGGATCTATGATTGCAGGTAGATTTTTGTATGCCAGTGACATCACCGTGCCATGCCTTGTTCAATCCTAATCCACCCGATAATGGTTTTTCAGTTTTCCACAAATATATAATTCCTATTATTAATATTTTCATTCCATTCCAAAGACATCAAATATTTTTTTTGTCTTCAGGACAGATGAAACTAACAATTTTTTGTCGAAAATTAATGAGTAAAATGAATAAATTTAACCGCGTAGTTTTTGAATATTTATTCAAATTCTCACAAAAATGGGATTTGAAAAGAAAAAATACTTGTATAGGTTAAGGATTTCAATCCCTAATGGGACCAAATTCTCTACCCTTATATGTCCGTCAAGTACACAATACTCTGATATTATCTTAAAGCATTTTATAGTGGAAAAGGATTGCCCACGAGAAATTTTCAAAAAGTTCATTGCATTGAAGTCTATGGGGAAAAGCGTTTTTTCAAAATAGAAATTCAAATAATTTGAATATCAATAAATCCTGTGGTGGAAAGATGCATTGAAATATTAAAAATATAATGATAATTGAAAATATTTTTTTTACCAGCTAAATTTTTTTAAATTGATTTTTTTTATTAATTAAAAAAGGGGAGATAACTCTTACCAAAATTCAAGGTCATGAATTAGGACACATCCCACTAAACATACTTATAGTAATAAATGGAAATTATGTCTAAATAAACTGAGTATTCAATGCCTTCATATCTGTTATGTATTTAATTTCATTGAATTTCTTCCTATTAGGGATTGAATACCTTAATAAGAATGGTTTCAGAGAGGTAGAATTTTGAACATCATAGAAGGTTTACAATTTACTTTATATGCTAGATTTTTTTTACATCATTTTCAATGAAATAAGACCAAAAAATATATACCAATCCAGGCATCCATTTTTTGTTAAGTTAAAGAATGTGTACAGTACTCAGACTTTTAAGAAAAATACGTTTTGACGAGAAATTTGAATTTTACCAAATAAGAAACTTTTGCGTTAAACTCCTTACCATTTTGAAAAGTCATTGTCGATGCCCTTGGTATCTAAAAAAAAAAAATCAAAAGTCAATGCAATTGATACTATAAGTGAACAGATAATTTGATATGATAATAATATTATTATATTATACTATTATGTATAGACGGCACACTATTGTCGTTTACTGATTTTTATTTGAAAATTAAAATAAGTAAATGGCTATATATGTAGGACTCCAAAGTGCGATGGAACTCCAAAGTCCGATGGTCACGCCAAAGTCCGATGGTCTGCGCCAAGCCTCGATGGTCTGACACGCCAAAATCCGACGGTTCGGAACACAATTAACGTTTATGACGTCATAGTAGCACTGCGTCCAAACCTCAATGCCGCAACATGCAAAGGTCTTTAGAATAAGTATAAATAAATGCGAAAACTAACCCTTATCTCTCAGGCAGATGCGAGACTAACGCCCGAAAAGTGTGTTTTAGCAATAACCTAATTATCTTGAGTTGGGGCAAGACTAACCCTTATCACTCGACTTGTGTGCGAGAACTAACCCTAATTCACTCGGGTTGTGCAATGCAAGGACTAACCCTAATCAATCGAGTGGTGTGCGAGTACTAACCCTAATATTTCTGGAATGTGCAAGCAATACTAGTAAACAAAATCAATAATAAAAATTTTATTCGAGTACGAATTCAGAAATAATTGCCTTTGAATGCAGGACAACGGCGTCAAGGATTGACGTCGGATTATTGTGATGTCATAATCGTTGATTGTCATCCGCACCATCGGACTTTGGCGTGTCAGACCATCGCACTTTAGCGTCGCGCGTCTCATAGGAAACGATCCATCGGACTTTGGCGTGACCATCTGACTTTGGCGCCCGTAAAGACAATGAGCCATCGGGGTTTGGCGCAGACCATCGGGGTTTGGCGAGACCATCGGACTTTGGCGTCACCATCGGACTTTGGAGTCTTACATATATACTCGTGCACTTATTTTAATTTTCAAATAAAAATCAGCAAATGACACCATCAACTGCAATAATGCACATAATATAAAATCTTACTTGGATTCTCCTCTGGGGAAACATTCAAGTTGTATACTTTTAACAACAATTCCTGTCCATCGTCCAAGCTTTGAATGTTTGTATAACTGACCTGTTAAAGAGTGCAGTGTCTAAGGCGTATAATTTATGAAATAAGGTGTACATCTCAAGAGCCTTCATCATTAAAATTAATGCAAGTTTACGTACTATAAATTACTTAATTTGCGCGACACCTTATTTTCGCTAGAAAGATATTTGTAGTTTTGTACTCTTTATTAGCGAAACAAAATTTTCACGAATTGTGATCACTACGCTATATTATCTTTTTTATACGCGAGAATGGTATTTTCAGCAATCTGTCCCGCCTAATTATGCGAACAAAAATTCTCGCGAATAGAAAATAATTAATACACTGTAGTAACTGAAATGAACAGGCTGTTAATAACAAAGGAGATATATGGTATATAGGAGGTTTTTAAAACCGCCAACTTGCATAGATTGCCTAAAAGGGGAATTGAAAAAAAAGATTCAAGACGTTTGATTAGTTTCTGACTCGTTCTGAATATTCTTATTGAAAAAAAAGTAAAAATTCTGACATTTAGTTTTTGGCAGAGTTGTCGTTCGTTTCTTTCTCAGACAGTGAATACATGTATGAACGGATGGTAGAGAGTGGTACCTAGCATTGATGTCCGCAGGTTGCAATTTCATTTGGAAGGGGAAGGGGGAGGCACAGTCATATATTTTCAGTAGGGGACACTATCAACTACCAAAAAAGCAAAAAAAAAACAAAAAAAAAACAAAAAAAAACAAAAACAAATGATGTTAGTAAAACACGTATGCCCCTTCCCCAAATACTAGTAATTTGAATTTTTTTAAGTCTAAGGGACATAACTCTGTCAAAAATGGCTCACACAGAACAGAACTTAACGTACCTGGTAGATATTTTTATGATAAATCTGTATACCAAATTTCATTTCAATATGTGCAACCTCTGCAATGAAAATGAACATAAACTGCAAATAATTGGAATTTTTCTAAGTCCAAGGGGCAAAGCTATGTTCAGAATGGTATGATCATACCAAAAACAGAACTTGACCTAGATATTCTTATAAAAAATCTGTATACCAAATTTCATTGAAATATCTACAACCTCTGCGAAGTAAATGAACGGAAACTGATGGTGGAACGACAGACTGACCGACCGACAGACAGAAGCAAAGCAATATGCCCCCCCCCCTTCTACGTAAGGGGGGGGGGGGCAAAAAAAAGTCATCAGGCGTTTTAATTGAGGGGGCACAAGCGAACAGTAGTAAAGTTTTCTATAGCATTACTACATGTTTTTGGGAGTACTCAGTACTCTGAATGACATGTCTATTTATAATTCAGTCTGTATTATTATATACAATCATTGACATTTCTAATTCCCAAAGATTGACCATGGGTCCATTAAAAACTCTTAATATGCATGTACGACGTGCATGTGTACATTGTTTAGCAAATTAGAAGTGTATGTGTGTGTCCGGCGAGTAGGGACATGGAGGATGGGGTGTGGTGCTTACCTCTTATGATGATCATTGTATTTCTATGCACAATCAGAAATCATCCATGCATTTAGAGAGAGAGGGAAAGAGAGAGAGAGAATATTTCATTTGCATGTGATTTGTAAAGCGCTATGGAGTCAATATTGCCAATAACTCCCTCTCCGCTATAAATTTACACATATCAGTACAATTTAATTGTTTAAAATTCACTGCATGTATCTATCATAAAGCACACTGATCACCCCCCCCCCCTCTTCACGCACGATTCTAATTTTGCAACAACTATGTGATCAATATATTATAAAATCCGATCTAATCTAAGAACTAGCATAAGTTTATTTTTCCTTTTGTTTTTCTTTTCTTACCATCTCTTTTATTCACCCCTTACTCTGAAATTATTCTCAAACTGACTGATCAAAAGGTGTATTATTACATTTTGCTTTTTTTTCTTTTGCTTAATCTCGACGCGAAATGTAACAGCGAAAAATATAATCATTCAAAAATCGCATTATTACAGTTTACGTAATTATATTTTGCGTTGATCTCGATGCAAAATGTAATAACTCAAAATGTAATTATCCTTAAATATTTACATTTCCAATGTCTTTGTCCGAGATAAAATTACAAATTGTAAATGCACTTTATTTCCCCATCAATGAATTGGCGCGCTTCAAAAAAAAAAAAAAAAAAAAAAAAAAAAAAAAAACACGTGCAGCGCGGGACAAACAGCTAGACAGAAGCAGGGCTTGGATTGGCGGAATCAAAGCATGTAAATATAAGGAATAACTGTCAGATTTTTCAATTTCATGAAGATGATCAATCGATTGGCTTGCGTGATAATTTCATACATAAACGCCTTCGGCGTTTATGCAAATTATCACGCAAGCCAATCGATTGATCACATCATGAAATCGAAAAATAAGACAGTTATTCCTTAAATGTTTTTTGTTACAGTTTGCGTTATTACATTGTGCATTGACCTCGACGTAAAATGTAATAACACAAAATGCAATAATCCAAGTTTATTACATTTTGCGTTGTAACAAGGCGTCTCCATATGAGTTAAACATTCTCGAGAGGGACTTAAAACAACAGCCAAAACATCGGTCCAAAAGTAAATTACTCGTCTTTCGTTTCGCACTGGACATAACCCACAAACAAACACATTTACACGGTTGCGAAACTATATCCCCTCATTATTATATTTAATTTTATAATTAAAGTAATAAATTTTGACTACGTATCTAATGAAATGTCTGTCAATTTTAAAATAGTGGTTTTTTTTGGCATATTTATTCACAAGTGCATGGACACTTAAAATAATTTTTTCTATGTTATGTAAATAACTTGTACATGTATGACTTTGACCTTGAACCATGTAGAGGACGTATATAGACCGTAAATTTCGGTCCAGACCTTTGATATTTATTCCATAATAATTTTGTTTTAATTTTGAAAAATCTGAGAAAAAAGACCTAATTTGGATGTAGACATCACAGATTACACAAATAAAGACCTGAGTTATTTTTAAAACATCAGGCATAATAGAATGATTAACATTTATCTTAATGTGAAAAAACTGAAAGGAGTCCCCTCGGCATTTATACTCAACTATTCAAAAGCCTTTGAAAGTTATACACGAATGAAAGTCAAACATAATTATATAAGATTTATATAACAATCTTAGATATGAATCATGCACTTACCAAAAAACAATCTAGAAATTGACAAAATCGTTCTTCTACGCAGTTAAATTATACCAGTATTTGGAATCTTGTCAACAAGAGCTTGTCAAAAAAATTCTATGGTCAATTGTCCAAATTTTTAGCTGCGCAATTTTTAAGAACTCATGCTGTTACCAGAGATATGAGAATTCTTTTAATGGTATTTCTTTCACTAATATTGGAATAAACATGCATTTAAATGCATGGTGGGAAAAGATTAAGAAATGTATAACATCTTTGTCCTGTGTGTTTGCAAAGGGCTGAAATCCTTACAAAAACAATTTATTCTTAAACAGAATATCAACAACTATCAACTACTAAAGAATCTATATTAAAAATCTATTTGAGTATCTTTAATAACCAAAATGTACTCTAAATTTGGGAATACTAATTAAAAGCTGGAATTCTTTTCAAATATGGCTTATGCAAGCAAACACATGTCTATCCAATATCAAAACAAATAATTTTCTGCATTTAAGAGATATCATTCAGCCGAACACAACCAATCAAGGTTCTTGCTCCATGTAAGATATCAGAGATTTCATGCAATTATGATTTTGAATAAACAAAATCAATACATTTATTTAAATGCATGTTGGGAAATCCTGATACATATTTCATTTGAATTGCGCAGTTAAAATTTGTCAAGGTTTTGAAATCTTTCAAACATTTTCTTGACAGAAAAACATTCCCAGTTCTATGACAACACAAAAAGGCTATTATAGAATTGAACAGTTGTATACCATACCTATTTGCCATTCTTCAATAATATAACAATGCAAACTGTAAATTTTGCTGGGTGCACCTACACTAACATTTGGACATAGTGACAACAAATAGTTCTGTCAACCGATAGCAAAAAGTTTCAAGTGTTAAAGTTTTAATCCTGATCATTCTAATGCTGTGTAAATTTACTCGCAGGTCAAAAATGCATTTAGAGTACGATATAATTCTTTCAAAAAGTACCTGAATCCCTCCATTACCTATGTGATCATTATTGATATAATAAGTTAAATTTGTTTTTGTTTTTTTCTTGAATATTTGTGTAATTATTTTTAATTTTATTCAAAAATCATTGAAATAATTACTCAAAATTTGGTCCGACATACGACTAAAGCAATATTTCACATAAATAAATGTATAAAAAGAGCATGCTTTAAAATAACCAGTTATTGTATTTTAGTTCTCGTATGACCTAATCTTCAGCCGTTACAACTGCTTAAAGCAGTAAAGGGTTAGCTGATTTATACTAGTAAGAAAAATTAGCGAGGTGTATTCTTCAACTTTGAATATAGTGAAATACAAGACTCGTCCCTTTTGGGATTAAGAATATATTTCTAATTTAAATTACCATATCATATGTTCACTCGTATTTTGGATTAAGAAACTCACTAAAATCCTTACAAAGATACATAGCTGGTTCTAATAAATTTACTCCACACAAAAATATGAACAGCAGAGAAAATGCGGAGCACTGTGCAACAATACATTCAACAATGGATGCAAATCAGATGTAGATACTTCCGAATTCCGAGAACTTTTTGAGAACTTGAAATCACAAACTTTCATAAAAATCAATAAGATGAAAATGTACGACCTTTTTACTGTATAACGTTTTAATAACTTTATATACAACCATTCCCCATAAAGAAATTAAAGTTCCGACTGTTTGACATCACTTACACTGCTTTTTCAAAGAAAACAAGATGTGTTTGTGAAATACTATGCACCCGGCGGCAACAAAGATCGAAAAAGCTAATTTTAGCATATATATGTAGATCTCAGTCAAGGTCACAAGGTCATTTACCTTGGTGTCATTTGAAAGAACTTTATTAGTAGAATGCATA